AATTGGTGCAATCTAATTAGAAATCTTTCTTCAAATAAATTAAAATAATATAACACATGGAATTTACTTTAATTAATTTTTTTAACAATTTAATATTGATTCTTTGTTCTTTAGAATTTTAATTACGTTAAATTTTGTAGAAGCAATGTACTTTCCATTCCATTTTTTCCAAGATAATCGTTCAAGGATCATTGTGAAAGGCCTGAAAGACTCCACCTGCCTCTTTCGAGAGAGCAAATCCCCCTCATCTTCGCGGGGAGAACACAGTGGAGTTTCCTTTAATCGGTCATTCTCGAAGTAGGACAACTCGCAGCCGGTAATTCCAGCGCACCAAGATTTCAATGTCCAAGGGACAGTGCCATGGTTTACATCAACGAGGCAGTATCGGTATTCCGTTAACGCTATCTGTCAATATCGCGTTAATGTAATACGTCAATATTGATGGAATAACAGTAACCGCAAGTTGATGGGGACCAACGTTAACTGTTGATCATTTAAATGCATGGAAATCGCATTGATTCATCGAATGACTTTTTCGATCATTCGAGATACTCACAATTCCAACGGACGCATCGCTTATCATTCGATACGATATCGGTGAAAAGGATTCTCTGATTCTTCTCTCGACAAGCATACACATACATATATGTTCGCGCGGACACGCAAATGGACGAGACGAGCCGTGTTCGATCGCACTTTCATCGTCCCACTTTCTCCGTGTTGCTTCGTGGGACGCATCGCCGGACTGACCGCACTCTTCTCCTTGCAAGGGGATCTTTCGTAACCTCCGCGGCATCCTTTCGTCCTCGTCGATCGTCAAACGTTAAAAGTAGAAAATGTCGCGGACGAAACGTTTCCCGAGAAAGTCCGGGAACCGCATCCGTCTCAGACACGTCACCGTATATATCCGGAGGATAATGACCCAAAGGGAAACCTGCTGTCCGACAATTTGGGAAAGTCCCAAAGTCAATCGTAATTGTGATCGCTCGCATGTGACTCCCCTTTATGTAATCTCGCATATTTTTCTCCCTTTTTTATAATTATGCATAGAATTTTTAATTTATAAATTTATAGATTTTATAGGTTTTGTAGATTTTGTAGATTTTATTTATATATTTTTTTTATTTATATTTTATTAATTACATTTTTTTATAATTATAATTATATCCTTTTCTTTCTTTCTTTTCGTTTGACATCGTAATTTTATAATAATATATTTTCTAAATATATTTTCTCTCTCCTTCTAAAAATATTGCGTAGAAAATTATTTTTATACCGCAACTTCTTACAATGATTAAAAAATAAAAAGAATTTTGCAAGATTTGTTAATAATATATAAATTCTATATCAATTAGAGTAAAGCTGATTTAAAATAAATTTAACGGTAAATCTTATATCAAAAATATAGAAATAGACTTTCAAAAAGATAATTATTATAAATTTACGATTGAAAAATAAAGAAAATTTTATACGAGATTTGCTAATAATTTGCAAATTCCATCAAAGTAAAATTTATAGAAATTTGAAAATCCTATCGAAATAATGATTTAAAATAAATTTAACGAATGATCTTATTTATCAATATAAAAATTGACTTGAAATTTGTCAGAATAGATAATTTGTTTATAAATTTTATTATTGAAAAAAAAAGAAAATTTTGCGACATTTGTTAATAAATTGCAAATTCTATCAAAATAAAATTTATTTAAAATAAATTGAACAATGAATTATTTTATATCAATATAAAAATCGACTTCAAATTTGTCGCAAAAAACAATTTATCATTATAAATTCAAGAAAAGAAGCATGCAAAGAAAATTTTTGGTAGATTTGCTAATTATAAATCTAATTACTAATTATTATATTAAACTTATTAATTACGATCTTTTATTTACATCGCAGCATTTTCCATTTTCAATTGCCTTTTAGCATTGCATGAATATTCGATTAAATAAAAGAATGAACTGTATCAAGAAATTAGTCATCCTGCAACAATGTGACCGCAGTTTTACGGTATTATTCCACGTCATCTTGTTAATAAACGCTTATTCACGAGCGGTCGGTAGAATTTTTATTTTTATTCAATCGTGACACGATTGACATTGATACGAATACGCATTACAATGCGCGCCTGTCTTCATCTCAAACGCATTATAGCGGTATCGAAGTCACTGCACCGTGAGAATACAGTTACTATGTACGCTATATTCTCATGAATAATCATCACGATTACGGCGATGGGTAAAGGGTGAGAAGAGTGCGAAATGAAGCCGGCTGTGCCATTATGAAGATCGTCACGCTTACGTCGCTCTTCGCGAAAACACTTCCCAACAGAAGCTCATTCACTTGAGAACGGTTATTACATCGAAAACAGTCATTTAATTGTAATCTCTTTCTTTCCCACATTGCGAAGTTTGGGATGCATTACAAGGAGGGTTTTAAGCAGTAATTCTAGCAACGATGGATTCCGAATCTCCATTAATTCCGTTTTATTTTAGAAAAAAATTCTGTTTATTTAAAGTTTTGTCTCATAAATTTCTTCGATTTAATTTTAAAAAACGCAAAGCTTTATTTTATTCCTTATATTAATAAGATTCTTGGGACATTCTGAAAGGTCGGATCTCGCGTGATGGGACGAACAAAATTACAAACGCCAATCATATTTCGCGAGAAGAAAGCAACGGGCATGCGAGAAAGGAAAACACTCGGAGTGAAATTAAATTCCGTTAATTGTTGCTCCGGAGAGAATCCGTGTGTGTGTGTATGTGTGTGTGTATTTCAGTCGCGAATCCGAAGTAGATCTGAATTTTGAACAAATCGCGAACGCGTTCTTGTTTGCACGATGCACTTTCTATTTCTAGTATACTGTATGCGCGCCTTTCGCGCCATATCAGATCGGTTGGCTAGTATCATAATTCGCTCTTCATCCCGGGACTTTCTATTCCAAGCATAACTCGCTGGTTTGATCATTCCTAGTAAGAAAAGGATCGTTGGTATGTGATTACCGTAAAATTACATGACGATTATTTGTCGGGGACGCGCAATCAGCTGTGAAACGTCAAAAGGTTCAGTTACTTGTTTCTCTCACGCAACTGTTCTTTGTAAAATAATACTTAAGATAACGCAAAAGTTAGGTAATTGTGCGATATGAAAGAAACTGTAAAATCTTGAAATCCCTCAAATTTAGGTTGTATAATATTCTTGACAAGACCAATAATCTTGACAATCTTAATCCTGGTATTATCTTGTTAATTAATTAAAAATCTTATTTTTCTCGAGTTTCAAAACAAGATAATATTCGTAAAAATATTATATTGATATGGAAATTTTCGAAAATTGAAATTTTATCTTGATTTTGAAAGGATTTTTTTTGTACAAAAATATCTCGTATTGTATCATCTTTTTATTAATAATTGTTATTTAATATTAAACAATTATTTAAAATAATATTTAACATAATTTTTACAATATAATTTAAGATAATTATTTATATATATCATTTGCGTGTTTATTTCCCAAAACATAATATCTTCATTATCTTTACGAAAAGGTAATTTTCATACATAAAATGATGCAGACATACATGCATACAATCAGAGAACCACATACATGTGCTGCTCGCAAAGTCATGTATAGTTAAATAATTGCATAAAATTTTATATTGTTTATTTTGTATATTATATTAATTGTTTTTAAATTTGTCAATATAAATATTTTTATTTATTAAATAAAATTTTTTATAATATAATGATTTTATTCTCATCTATACTAATATACAAATTTAATATTTGAGGTTTTGTTTTCGCGTGATACATGAACATTAGGAGTTTAATCGTTTCCGGATTTTAATTGCTTAAATTTATATTCTTTATATTCTTTAATTGACTCGTTTACAAATTAATCAAACAATTAATTTGCAATTATTTTAGCTTTTTTTTTTAAATCTTGACGAGACCAATAATCTTGACAATCTTAGTCTTGGTATTGTCTTGGCAATTAATTAAAATTATTGTCTTGATTTTGATTCAAATTTTAAAACAAGACAAAATAAAATCAAGAATAGTCTTGATATCTGCAGACCATGCAATCATATTTAAATTCTTATTGAATTCTTCTTTCTCATGTTTTCTTATCATGTTTTAAAGCAATACGATTGATTTCGGTAAAGGAAAATATATAAATATGCGAATATAATCTGTCGAGGAAATAATTTATACATTTATGAGAAAAAAATACAACCGAAAATGTACAGAACGAAATCTCGTGGAGGGTCACAGTCTACTTGGCGATATGAACTCGAAATCCAGGAAGGAATGCATATCAAGGCCGATCTCTCGTTACACGCGCATTTCCACCCGCTGCTCTCTCTCATTATCGTTCGTAAACCCGCGGCTAATTAGAGCTCGAGCTCTCGCCGCGTTCGCGTTCGAAACGCGCTTGTGAGGAATAGAAGCCGATTTGAACGGGATTTCAGTCGCGATGTCAACCTTCCGTGACGAGGAGCCATTTGATCATCGACGAACTGAATAATCTCGGTCTATTCTGTTTAATTCTAAATTAATATCTCAGTCGGGAATCGCAATTATTGTAATCATTAAAAAAATGATTAATATAATTAAAATCAATATAATTATTACAATTATTAATATTAATATAATTGTTGAATTAAAATTATTAAATTAATTATTAAAATATAATATAATTATTAAAATTAAAATTAAAATTAAAATTAAAATTTGTTAAATGTTATTATAATTATTAAAATTATAAGACAATCTTTTAAAGAACTTAAAATAGTAACGAGAAAAAAATAAAGAAGATTAAATGTGTATAAAAAATATTATATTTAAAGATGTGCAAATATCAAATTGTAGAATCTCCGGTAAATTCAAAGTTTCAAGATTCTTCAAAATTCTTCTATCTGTAAAATATACAGAAATTAAAATATAAAAATTTTAAAATCGGAAACTGCAATAACGAGTTGTATTTTACGTTTTTAGGGAGTCAGTTCAGTGACAATACACCGCCCACAATGTGGCTGAATCGGAACTGGAGGCTTCCGGACAACGAACCCGTAGGAAACATCGTGACCAGGGTTCGCGCCGAGGACAACGAGCAGGATACGCTGACCTTTGGTTTGGAACCGCACAATTACAATGGGGACGACAGTCCACCATCGCCGTTGCCCTTTTACATCGACAACAGCACCGGCACCGTCTTTCTCAACAAGACTCTCAAAGGAAGAGTGAGTTTGATATTATAAAAATTATATTTTGTATTAAAATTTTTTTAGTATACATTTAAAAAAAAGGTGTATCTCGAATATTTAAAATAAATAATTTTGGTGGAGAAATATAAAAAAATAATATTTTTTTAATAAATAACATAATGTTAGAGAATATATCTGATTAATTAAATAAATATTCTAAATATTGTTGAATGTGATGGATCGAATAAATCGAATTTATTGGAAAAATCGTATCACATATAATGTGTTGTTTTCGATTGGATGAAAGTAGCTTGTCTACATATACGGTGTTCGAATGCTCGGATGTCGAGATGCTTAAATTACGCTTCTTGCTCATTCTTCTCTTTCCAGGGAGGCCAGAACCTGTTGCTCTATGTGACCGTTTCTGACGGTCAGCTTACGGCGAAGACCGAGGTTTACGTTAACATCATAAACTCATCGGCAGATCAGGGAAACCCAAGGTGCTCATGCACACATTATACATACGTTTGCATACATTTGTAGTGTTTTTGATAGCGTGTGTTTATATTAAAAAAACTAACAATAAAAAGTTCGACATATTTAAATGCCAGCTTTTGGTAGAAATGTAAAAAAAATTTTCAGGATTATCGATTTAGATGTCAATTTTATTTTATCAATATTAGAAATTAAATTTGTAAAATTATCAATCTTAGAAATTAAATTTGTAAAAAAATTTTCAATGTTTAAATATATAATTAGGAAATATATACAATATTTAACATTTTCCAAAATTAATGAGCTATTTTTTAAATTTATATATATCGATGATAAAATTGATTTCATTTAAAATGCAATTTATGATAAAAACATACGTCATTTTCGAGTCAACTTTTCGTGACATATATTTCGAATATTTATTAAATCTTGCAATCTATATTTATTACTTTGGAATTCTTTCGAGTTTTCGATGAATATTTAAATATTAAGAGAAAAAGAAAGAGAGAAATAAAGTGCACGTTATGTCTAATTAGTTCGAAATATTCTAATTTGGTACAAACTCATACACATTTAATTATTTATAAAATTGCTTTTTTTCTACAATTCGAAATTAATTTAAATTTATATAAAATATAGCAATCTTAATGAAACATAATGAAATATAATAAATGTATATAATGAAATATATAATATATAAAATATATTAATATCTGGATGACAGAAAATTCTATTAAATTGAGAGTTTTACAAAACGGCATTATTCTTTAAAAATTTTAAATGGCAACCAACAATACGACCTTAAGGTAACACGACCGTGTAACCCAACCTGATTCATTTCATTATTCATGCTCCACTTGGTTAACGATATCAGGGACACATCGAAAAAAATTATAAAGTATAGAAAAGTATTTATATTGCAGAAAAATTACGATTTCTTATGTAAAACGTATCAGAATACTGATTTCATAAAATTGACGAAACAAGCTTTCAGAAACAAAAAATATTAAGAAAAATAAATAAAAATTACTAAAAACAACAAGTTTCAAAAGTATATGGTGATGTTATTATTGAATTTGAAACTTTCTATTTTATTCGATATTTCTTTTCTAAAAAATTTGTTATATTTAATCTCAAAAGAATTCTTTCCGTTTTTTTTTAACAGGATACCATTCCCATTCCCACCAAACCAGCACGGTTCCGGCGGTCGAATAGGATCGCCCTACCTCACTTTACCAAATTTACCAAATTTCGCCTCACCCTTACCTCCTTTGCCGACAAAGCAGTATCTCGAAACCACGAAACTCGAATTGGAAAAGACGAAATCCAAGGAAAACAACGTTAGCGGCGGTGTCGTTGGCAGTACCATCACAGAAGAGGACGTCCAGGTGAACGAAGTGGAGAGTCCTGCATTGAGCTCGAAATCACCCACTCGTGCACCCTCCACCGCGCCACCCTCGCAGGACATGGCGATGACTCTGATACCAGTGGTAGCCGGATGTGCTCTCGTTGTGGGCCTCGGCATGGGCGTTTGGTCCTTGAGGAACAGATTCTGCGGTAGCCGCAAATCCAAGGCGGATACGGTACGCGAAATAAAATATATCTGAAAAGAAAGAAAAAAAGATAATTTTTCCATCTTAAAAATATGCTAATAGTCTTCATACATAAAATGTTTAATTAGGATTTTTAATAATCTACTGAGGTGCTTGAAACAGTGTTCAATGATTTTCAGAAAGAACAAGCGTCAGTCAGCGTCTCTAATCTATCCGACGACCCTTCTCTCATTCTGAAAAGGTGGCGAGGTCCAAAGGCTCGTAGCAATCGTTATCAACCGTGGGAGAAAGAATCTCAAGCAGGCATTCAGAACAAACAGGAGGATAAATGGGAGTTTCCCAGGCATAGACTGAAAGTAATGATCGCCACATTCGATCATCGTTAATTCCCGCGTTCGATAATTAATTCTTGGATGTGTTATTAAACTCCCAAATAGAACAATTGACTGACTAATTAAATATACTAATTTATTAGATATAAATAAGTTCTGAATAACTCAAGCAACTTATATAACTTGATTAATTAAATTAAATAATTATTTCTTTACCTTTTATTCTTTTTTAATTTACTAATTAATTATTCTCAGGTTTTCAACATCCTTGGCGAAGGTTGCTTCGGTCAAGTATGGAAATGCGAGGCTCTAGATATCGACGGCAAGTCCGGTGCCACAATTGTAGCGGTGAAGACTCTGAAGGAGAATGCTACCGAACGTGAGCGGCTGGACCTTGCACAAGAATTGCGGGTCATGAAAAATCTAGATCCTCATCCTAATGTAGTGCGACTTTTGGGATGTTGCACCGAGCGCGAACCCATGTTCGTCATCTTGGAATACGTAAGTGGTGGTAAACTTCAAAGCTTCCTCAGAGCCTCCAGAGAAGAAAGGAATCACGGAGGTGCAGGATTGACCTCCAGAGATCTCACTGGATTTGTATATCAGGTAAGCGATCGAGAGTCCTGTATTTTGAACCTATCAATTAATCTTTTGCCATTTTTTGCACACAGATCGCCAAGGGTATGGAGTATCTGGCGTCGAAAGGCATCATTCACAGAGACTTGGCTGCCAGGAACATCCTGATCGACGAGAATCGCGCGTGCAAAGTGGCGGACTTTGGCTTTGCCAGGGACGTGGCAGCCAATCAGATTTACGAGAGAAAATCCGAAGGCAGACTTCCGATCAGATGGATGGCACCCGAGAGTCTGTATGACAATATATTCTCTGTTAAATCCGATATCTGGAGCTTTGGCGTGTTGATCTGGGAAATCGTGACTTTGGGATCGACCCCGTATCCCGGACTAGCTGCCGCAGAAGTAAGAATATTTATAAAGTAATCTATACAAATTTTTCTAGAGAAAATTTTCAATTGCAGTTCTATATAAATTGAATTAAATTGAATTAATTGAGATTAACTGATAGCTGTATGTATTTGTAAAATATAAAAAATTAAATTGACCAAAATTTAGTTAATAATACAAAATAAAACCAGGTAAGGAAACATTAAATAATCTGATTGAGAGTAACATATGATTAGAAAGAAAAAAATAAAATTTAATTAAAATAACTCCTAAAATAACTCCTAAAATAATAACTAAAAAATCACGATCAACCATATTTGTTTTATATCTTAAAATACTTATATTTTTGCAGGTGATGCGAAGGATTAAAGAGGGTTACAGATTGGACAGGCCTGAGCACTGTAAAAGAGAGCTCTATAATATCATGTATTATTGCTGGGACAAGGATCCGGCGTGCAGACCATCCTTTGCCGAACTTGTTAGTTTGACTGAAGGTCTACTGCTTGATGAAACGGACTATATCGAGCTCGATAGGTTTCCAGATCACTCGTATTACAATGTACTTAATCTCAGTGGAGAAAAATTGTGAGGGTTTGTGATGATTGTGATCATTATTTGGATTTTTGTTAATAGATGATGCGTTCTTACAATTATTATTATCATTTAATTAAACTGATCTATTGCATTATATTGAATTATGTAAAATATTTCAAATTAAATTATTAAATTAAATTGAATAATTTAAAAAGTTTTTTAATCGATTATTAAATATTATTATGTAATTGATCGAAACGTAACACTGTATTTTGTAACGATGTGTCTTTAAGTTTGCTTTCGTCAAAGGATGACTTGAGATAGAATTTTAATATTTCCGCTTGTAAGACTGTTTGATCATTTTGTTAAATACTCACGCGTGTGTACATATGACACAATTTTATACATTAAACTTATATGACATTAACGCGATGCAAATTACTCCTGGAAAAAATTCATGTGTATAATCAAATATAAATATATATATGTGATTTATAATAATATAAAAATATAATAATTATATATATCTTTATTTGATTATAAATGAAATTTTTCTCCCGGGACGTTTAAATCGAAGGAAAATATTTACAAATAAATACTTTAATCATTATTCATCCATATCGATATGAATTTGTATATATGTATCGAATTAAAATATTGTAAGTTATTGTATAATTCCTCTCCTTCTTGTAAGAATAAATAGATTTATGCATAATCTGACTTTTATATATACTAAAATATTACACTGGAATATTACACGGCACTGGAATATTATACGGCGCTATTTATTTCCTTATGTTATGTACTATTTAACAAATTGCAATTTTTTTAAATCTCAAATTTCTAAAAAAGAATATCCTTTTTGATCATATAAAAATTTTGCTCTGAATTATGTTGCAATATTAGTCACGATCGGATTGGAAAAAGAATTCGATAATATATTATAAATAAATATATTATAATATATTATATATTAATAAATATATTATAATATATAATATATATTATAATAAATATTATAAATATATATATATATATATATATATATATATATATTTAACGAATTAATCGAACGAATGCATTCCGATTCATCTTTTCGTTTGATATATATAAATATTTAATTCACTATTCGACTGATTGCGTTCCGACTCGCTTTTTTATTCGATATATATAAATATTACACTTAAGTGTGAGTCCAAGAAGCAGATTTCGGATATTCATTGTAAGTCAGCCGCTCCTCGGGCGATCGGGACGAGATTTAAACGGTAGTGTCGCGAAATGGTGTAGAATTTTATGCAAAAAGAACGAAATCGTTATCGCGTCCGGAAGTCGAGATATAAATTGGCTGTTTTTCGTCTGCGCGCGGACGGTCGAAATCGTGCACGACGCCGCGCATATTGCCTGCCTCTCTTGCGCGATATTCACTGTAACGCGGTGAGTAAAATGGCAAGCCAAATGCAATCGTTCGATTAATTCGTTTTATATATACCGAACGAAAAAGCGAACCAGAAAATAATCGTTCGATTAATTGATTAAATATTTATATATATCGAATAAAAAAACGAATCGGAATGCAATCAGTCGAATAGTGAATTAAATATTTATATACATATAGCACCGGTGTTACCGGCATTTCGTGCACATAGACACATAGTACGGAACAAAACCAGAAATTGTACACATTATATATTATCTTCTGAGAATATTCATGGACTTTGGCTTTGTAGTTCATGTCCACGTTTTCAATGTCCATAGAGGGAGTTTCGCTTTCAGGGATTATCTAAAAGCAGGCCATGACATCTCTCAGTCTTCTCTCTGTATCAAATATGGCGGAATCTCGCCATATATTTAAAAACAAAAGATAAATTAAGAATTTCAAACTTTTCTCTTTGTCAATAATTATAATTTTAATTAGTAATGGTAAAATTTAGTATAATTTTGTAATTTACATAATATAAAAATATAAAGATCGATCAAATTTAGTTTAAAGCAAAATAAAAAATTAGTTTCTTAATATAACTTTTTTGTTAATTTTATAAAAAATGATGTTTATACATGGCTGTTATTATATTAATTCGTACATATTGTTAATTGCTGATCAAAATTGACTACGAGGAGGATTTTTTAGAGTCTGATAGTAATTTACAGAGGTTTTTCAATCAATAATCAATCGTAAAATATATATAATCGATCATAATATCGATTACATATAACATCAAACTTTTTGTCATAATGTATACGTGTTTCGCTTTCAAACGCAAAGAAAAAAATTCGCTGACAATTGTAAAATTTAGTTGACAAATGCAAAATGTAGTTTTGAGAGGAGAGCCTTATCATATGTCATTTGTCATGTGTACATGTATTAGAATAATTAGTAGTTGTGCACTGGACTCGAGGAATTCAACGAATCAAATTCAAGTCTTGTGAAATGATATGCTTAAAATTAGCCTTAATTTTTGCTCGTATTTAAAAACCTGCCCAGTTTTATTCAATTGTGGCAGGACATAACTGAAAGCGACGAAAGAGAAACGGAAAAACGGGGAATTCCACAAAAGAATAGATAATAATTTTACGCAACGAGTATTGCCGGTCGTATTACGTGTCCGAAGTAACGTTTTATTTTTGTATCTGTCACTCGAAACTGATAATTTAATCACGATGGTAGAAGAAATTCGTATTATGGTACAGTATTGTATACGTTGTATTCTCTCAGTGGGTGTTGGCTAAGATTTTTTTATATGTTTTGTTGTCACGATTTATACAAGATTGTTTTTTAATGCAGTCTTAACAAACTAACTGATTGCGTACAAATAATTAAGTCTTTTAACTTAACATTTGAAATAAATATTTTTTTGAATAAATTAGTGTATATATATATATATATATATATATATATATATATATATATAATTAATGAAAAAATATATATACATCAATAATAAATATATTTCATGAATAATTCTATATATTATTGTATATACATAAATACAAGATTTTTTCAATTTCACTTTAGTGGTGTGATGCTTTGGAGGAGTTGCTGCAATGTCCTGTATGCTTAGATATATCACAGGGTATACAAGTTCAGTGTACAAACGGACATCACATATGTAATCAGTGCAGGTTACAGCTGCAAGTATGTCCTGTTTGTAAATCTTCCTTTATCGCTACAAGAAATTTAGTAGTGGAACAACTGTCGGCTAAATTGCATGACATTAAGGTACAATCTTCATTATTATAATTAATATAAAAATATTAATAATAAAGTGCGAGAATAATATATGATATAATAATGATATAATAATTATATTGCTTTTATATATTTGTTGATTGAAAATGAAAAATGATTGATTAAATGATATAATTTTAAATGAAGTATCATTTGCAGCTGTCATTATTGCATCCGTATCATGCACTGAATAGAAGAATCTTGCATAATAAAGTATGTGTGGCTACTCAAACCGAGGTTTGCATGCCTTCTACATCCTCTGCTTGTCAAACTGAGCCTGTAAATCAAGCTAGACACATTAATCCAAGAAATGAACAAAAGCCATTGATAAATTTAGCACCTAGAGTAGGAAAAGGAGTATTTCCATGTCGGATCGGTTCCTGCACAGTTGAATTACCACATGGAAGAATAATTGGTCATTTAAGATATCATCATAAAGATGTGTTTTATGAGGTATATTGTTCAGAAGATTTTATAATTATCAATTAATGAGGTTGGAGCATAGCAATATTATAACTTAATTTTTTCTCATATTTAATCAATCTTTAAATTGACTTGAGATGATTATGTTTTCTTTTTTCGATTTATGATAAAATATAATTACAGTTTATCACAAGGGATACTGTATTTAAGAAAAAATGGAGCTTAGAATATATTTTGAATCGGGATTATGATTTTGCTTTCCATATCAAAGAAATGGGTCTCTTTTTTCTAAATGTCACTATAGATCACAAGGGTGATCTAATAGCTTTTGTACAAATTGTTAATTGTATGGCTGTGAGCAAACAGTTTGTTTATACATTTGAGGCAGTTGGGACATATATTGCCTCTTACACTGGTCAGGTAAGACTATAATCATGCTGAATTATACGATATAATTTTTATATAAGGAAAAAATGCTCGTTTTTTATATTTTCAGATGAAATCATAAGTAATTATATCGTAAACAATTATAAACTTTTTGCTAAAGAATTGTTTTTAGTATTATTTGTCTCTCTTTCTCTTTTTCTCTAAAAAATAAACATATTAAACTATTAAAAACTCGTATTCTTTTCAATAGGTAAAGTCATGTAGAACAAGGCCGGACTGTATCTCCAACGATTGTCTGCGTATACGGGAGAATAATATGCGCCATAATATGATAGATGGTAAAAACTTTTTTCATTGCAATCTTACGATAAAGCGTAGAGTCGATTATTCTCGCGATAGACCAATTGCCGTCCAAAATAACGAAATGCAATTATTTGAAGACATTTAATTAAAGAAACAATGATGATATATTTTTTAAAAAATGCCAAATACTATGAGTCTTCATGATATATAAAGAGGTAAAAACTAAATGTAATGTTCATTTATTGTTTTTACTAAACATAATTTCTATATAAATAATGATGATTTTCACTTGTAATATAACAACTTTTTATCGTTTATAGTATATTAACAAATTGTAACATTTTATTTTATGACTCAATGTAATTTTCATTGAAATAAGTATGTAGCTTTAGATTATATTTTAGTTTTACACATTGGTACTATTTAATTAATAGATTAGAGAAGCATTTGAGAAAAAACTTGAGACTATTAGGAATTGCAGAAATAGATGCAATTATACGCAAATATTGTGACAGTTTTTTATCAAATGTTTTCAACTTAATTTCATTACAAAACGACGATTAAGCAGTTCTGTCTTGAAAAAAGGAAAAGAAAAAATATTTCTCTTGTTTTTCTTTTGCTTGCTACACTTTCTTATATTCTCTCAGTAAAATAGAACAATATCAAAAGTATTGATCAAAAATGAGAATTTTAAGAACTTGTGACAAAACAAAGCAACACTTTGCAATGTGTATGTATTATGTGTAATTATGATATATATGTGATGTAACTTACATATAGTATTATAGAAAGAAAACTTGTTAATATACTTTTATATAATATGAAATAAAGTTATTGCATTTTGAAAACGAAGTGTTTAATTAACGTTATGTCCATCTAATAAATGTAGGATTTCAGCATTCGAGCTGCTACAACAAAACTATGCTATTGATATAACATAGGTAATTTTGATTGAAATCATTCATGTTTATTGCGAATTTTCTAAATACATGAGCAAAACACAAAATTCACGCGCCTCTCGCCTGTAATTAACATCTACATTTTCATTTATTTCCTGCGTACTAATTTAATGTATATTAAGAACTACTGCATCTTGCACCTCTAATAATTTTTTTTCCCTTTGTTGCTTGCCTATTTATTCCCATACAAATTAATGAATTGCGGTTGAATCGCCGTCTCTCATTGCTGATCTCTCGATTTGCTTTTCTTAATTTGCAAAAAATCCGAAGATCACGCAAGTGTCTGTTGCAGATCTCTTACATGCAATTACAAAATAAATGAAGATTATATTACCTCTGCGCATATCATAATGCCACGAGGACAACAGGCTGCGTCTTATAGTCGAGCACAGTATCCGCTCTTTCTACATATCTTTTGAGAATTTTGCGCATTTCTCTCATCGAATAATTAAGTGATTTTTTTCCGCTGCCACGCATACGCTTGTATCATTATTTAAATCGGTATACGCTGAATGCGAAATTACTCTGCTTGGCCTTCTTTAACGGATTTCGGCGCGTCCCTTCAAGTGGTCCCGCCTTCGCGTAGCGATTTTTGTTGCTCCAGAAGTCGCTCTAACGGGGAAGGACCTGGTCCAGACCATAGAGACTGCTGATGCAATCGTGCCTTCATTTGGTCTTGACCGGTCGAATTCGTATTGATCGGCGTAACGGTGCTCCATGTGTTGCTGCTGAACAAGGAATAAGTATTGCCGGTATTCACGGATTGGGACGGCTTCTGGTCGAGCTAGAAAAGATATAGAATAAATTAGAATAGATCAGAATAAATTATTACTTAATTATTTCATGTACAATGTATGATTTACAAATTTTAGTATAAAATGTGATATAATGTAAAATAAATCACTCTCCTCTCTCTTTGTGAATCTTATTAAATAAATCTAATTTTTTTTTAATGAACGCTACATGACTTCAAAAAATCTTGATGAATTTTTATTAATAATAATAATAATAACATATTTTATTTGAAAATATAAAATTAAAAACAATTTTATTTGCATTATATATTAAGAGAATGGAGTAAATAAAAGAAGTTATAAAAATAAAAGAAGAAAGAGAACATGTTTATGTATTAAAAAATGCTTTCTTAGAATATCAGAAAAGAATATAAAAGAATCTAGAATTTAATAAATCGCATTTGTACATTATAATAAATATTTTAGAAAATTTTACTCTTAGACTTTAGTTTGTTGAATTGTAATAACATTGTTTCTTCAAATTCTCTTAATGTGTCACAAATTGTTGCAAATAAAAATTTTATAATTTTAAAGTAAATTAATAACTAAATTTCAGATATGCATTTATAAGAACATTTCTCTTACTTTATCTTTAGGATATATCATGCAAGTCTCATCATATATTTTATGTATGTTGTGTTTTCAGAAAAAAAAAAAGAAAAAAAACAACAACAACAAAAAAAACAGTACTTACTTCAAATCTAGAATCCTCGAAATTATTTCCTGTCATCAGATGTCTGCTGTGTTGTCCGTTTTGTTGTTGTTGCTGATAATTTTTACCAGGCGTCAGTGGCACTCTATTTGCTATACTTCCGAGGGCAGACGAGTCGCTCCATTTCGAAAATGCATTATCGTTAACAGTGGTATCCTTCATATGCATCTGAGCCGCGGTATTACCAGCTGCACCCCACCAGGTGATCGGCGGTTGGGGCGGTCGATTGTCCCTCCACAAGTTAAAATGCTCCGTCGGCTCGTAATTGCAAAACATGTTATAATTATTCGTCACTGGTTGCTGCTGCGATTGTTGATTCTTGTTAACTATCTTAGTCTGATTGGGAAATTGAAAATCCATCGCGTCGGGATTATTTTTATAAAACGACGGCGATGGCTGATTTTGCGACAATGAACCCTGGCCGACGAAAGTTTGATTTTGATTAAAGTGGTTCTGATTGAAATTAAGCTGAAAGTTAGATCCGCTCGTTGGACTTTGCGAATTGACCAGCGTTGTTAAACCCTGAGGTTGCTGAGGATCCTTTTCGTATACGGACAAGGTCGACATCATCGTCGATACATTTGCCATGCTTGAACTGCCGTTCATATTCAATTGATTATGCATGCTATTCGATCTGGAATTGCTTGGTATCATGTTTTGCTGCTGCTGTTGCAATCCGATAGCGTGATTCTGTTCCACCTTTATGTTCGCTTGTAGCCCCATATTATTTGCCGGTAGATTCATATTTTGTGGTAACATGCTCGGTTGAGCAGGCGAACCCAATCGCAAGTTTTGCTGCAACAATTGCGCAGGGCTATGGGACACGTTCTGCGGCATCCTCTGATGTAACGGTCTGCTCTGATTGATCGAATGATGTATCCCGTTGATGCTCTGCGGTATCGTTGAAACCGGTTGTCCATTAGTACTAAGTTGTCCCTGTAGCTGATAATGTGGCGCATTAGGCGTCAGCGGCGGTCGACTCGTCATAAAGTTATTGGCAAACTGGGGATTCTGCGCATTAAACGGTTGATTCGAATAGCAAACCGGTCCCAACGTCGAGGTCTGTTGACCCGTCGTCATACCACTGGTGTGTATTTGTGGAAGCATTTGCTGAGCAACTTGCTGAGCAATTTGCTGAGTTGGTTGTTCCTCGACTACCATCAATTGAGTGGGCATGGGGATGTTCGGCGACAACTTGACGGGTCTCTGCTGACCCTGAACCAACACGGACTGGTTTTGTGAACTGGCGGACGAGACGAGCGGCATTGTTGACAGCCGATTCGAAGCGCTAACAAGAGTGTTGTTTATATTGGAAACCTCATTAGCTTTAGGCATTTCTAGAATCGGTGTCGGCTTACTCGCCATCGAAGTACTGATAGTCGGTGGAACAATCGTTGCTTTCGCTTTCTTATCATTTTCTTCTTCGACAATCACGGGTGACACATTCTTGAATGTCACCTGCTTTTGCTCAGTCTCCGCGCGACGCATAATCGCTTGCATTGCTATATTTTGTCGCGGTTTTCTTGCGCACGAAAGAGAAGAACACGCCTCAGCGCTACTCGTTTCCATGACGTTCGATATAGAGTCTCGATTTCGTTCTAAAGAACCCTGGGGCTTAAGGATACCCTGAAAAATTTTCTTATCTGCAGAAATCTCGATATCAGTTTCCACAGAACTTTTGCTGCTACTAGCTGCCTCAGATAGTACCGGGCTCATCGAAGTGTTCAATTGTTTCAATTCTTTGTTCAGGCTAAGTTCCTCGAGTTCTTTCATCAATTCGTTGCTGGGTCCAACGCCATTGCTCGTGGACGTGAATCTGCTATCGCCCGTTTTCTCCTCCGTCGTAATCGAAATTGGCGCAGACCCATTGATTCGATTCTGAGCGAGACAACGGCCCAGATGCAGAATACGTACGGCCCGCAATTTGTTTAATGTTATGATGTCGCCTTCTAGCGCAGTATTCGTAAATCTGAGATTCTCGAAACTCTTTTCCAATGGTAAGAAACCCTGAAGGTCGCGATCTTCTGGCAGTGGCACTACAGCATCTGTTTTATGATTAAATTTATTAAATTTTATTAAATTTGTCTTATTTTCTATCTTAGAGAGAAAGAGAGAAAGAAGAGAAGAATTTTTTGCAATATTAATATATATTTTTTTGTATATTCAAAAACAAGGCATATTCTCGTTCAAAAATGTTAATTTATATAAATATATAAAAAAAAATACTTATAAATATTATTTCCGATAGTAAACTTTATTTTTAAAAACTCATCACTTATATTAAAAATAATTTTAGCAAAAACTGTCTGAATCTTAAATGCAATGCAAGTACTTACATTCGTCGTGCTTAAAATCCACTACACAATTCTGCAGAGCATTCAAAAGCACACAGAGGCTGGGCCATATCTGTAATCTCGACGTAAAAGCAACTTCCTCCAAAACCATGGGTTTTATGTTGATCCAATCAAGGCACAGTTTTACTGTAAAGAAAAAATAGTTCTGTTTTATTTTATAATCATAAAAGAAAATTGCAACACACACAGTCACACTAGAGATATACTTACTAGAAGGCAATGCAAAGTACTCGATGATAGAGTTCTTTATCGTATAAACGGGTAACAGTAAAGCAGACAGAGTGCCTGCGATTAGGTCCAATATACAGTCACGGGCCAGTTTTTCATCATTGGTCAATTGCTCGTTCTTGAGCAATTCTGTGCTATCGGTGCCAACTCCAGTCGCGTGTTGCAAAGCATATAGATTGATTACCAACATCTGTATCAGCATCCATGGACTGAAACTCTCGGTGGCGACTAACGCCGTTAACGTTTCTGTCAATTGTTTACTGTATAAACATGCAAGCTTCAAATCGCCAAAATTGTGAATTATTCCATGCAGTTTTAGAAAGACAGCAATATACTCCTGAGAGTTCAATTTGGTCTTGCCGTCGATATTGAAAGATTTGTCGTTCAAGGCGGAGGACAGAGTCGTGGCAAGATTGGCCATGGCGACGGGAAAGGGATGCTTAACAGCTACCGAACGTGTATAATGAAACACTGTTCCCAATTTGTCACCGCGGGATGCTTCTAGCAATGCCAATTGATTGTAAGGTTGTCCGCTGGATGGTGACAACGAAACGGCATGTCTATAAAACATTTCAGCTTGCTTGCTTTCATTTCTATATCGTGCAATGTCACCCAGATGTACAAGGCAATATTGGCAAGCATAAAAACAAGATGATTTGTGAGGTGGAGATAATTTTTCAACAGCCTTCCACGGGGATGTACACCCATATACGTAACCCTTCCTGTAAGAATTTAAATGCAATCTCAATAATAATAAATTTATATAAAGTTTTGCGCACAAAATATATAATTATGATAATAATTATATATTATATATATTTATTATATATATATATATATATATATATAGTATATTTATTATTGATATTTAAATTATATATATTTATGGTAAAATTAAAATATATATAATTATACTTTTGTGTCACAGATGTACCTTCTAAATGGTAGATCCAAATCAAACACAGTGCAAATTTCCTGCAACAGGGTCAAATAAAAGCCGCTAGCTGCTTCTAAGCACCAACTGAGCAATGCTTGCGATTCGCCGCGCTTGGGATTCTTCCTGTCCTTGGCTTGCGACTGCAGAGTCGCTATATAGTTCTTAAATCCAAGATTCCACAGCTCTTGCTCGACTTTCCTGTCGAGGGCATATTCCAAATCCAGTATGAGGACCTGTTGGTATATTTTCTGCAACTGCTGCTGACATACCCAGGCGTCATTGTCGTTCAACAAATCCTTGCAGCGTTGGACTTTATCTTTCAGTGGTTCCGCTTTCCTGTCAAATCACACATGTTTCGCGTGTCGATGGAACGTAAACTGGAAGACGTCTCGTATATTGACTGTAATCGAATACTTACTTCAGAGCCTGAACGGCTGCCTTTAGGCCCATATTCTGTCTTCCCAGAGCAGTCAAATGCGACGTCCCTCACCTGCACACAGGTTTATTCATAATTGTTAATATCCTTCTGCTCGAAGGGAAAGCAGAATTCAACTTCGTCAGGAGAAATCAATTCTTTGAATAATCGAAAACTCTGAGATAACTTGAATTCTTTCCTTATAACCTCTAATCGGTGATCACTTCTACTACGATCGTCATCGCGGGACAATGTTTAGGAAAGAGATAAGAAGCAACAGCGCAACAAACGTACGTTTCATCATCGTCGATCTGTCAAGCGACAACTGCAACCGCACAACTCGATCAAAACAGATCACGACTCGCGTTCCAGCAGAAAGTTGATTAAATGGACGCTATTTTTTTTTCTTTGCAGCGTACCAAAAGTACAAATAAGTACGACTCGTGCAAAGTACAAGAGCCTACCCTCACCCAACCTCAACCTAACCTAACCCGGAGATTCAAATTCCCTAATTGCGTGTGTCTTCTGCTGGATCTCGCAATCGAATGTGCAATCGTTCACGAAAGAACTCGACGATTCATCATAACTAGCATAATTTGTCACAAAAATTTAAGTTATGCGCGATGTGTGCGTATTTTTTTTTTCTTATGCTACAGACACGTGTAAATGTATGTTTTGCGAAAAAACGCAGTTTTGGCGGCAAAACCCGAGATCTAATAAATATCTAATAAATATATTCTAATGAAGGATATCGAATAACTTACGCGCATCTCTGCACAGCCATTGACAGCGCACAGCTGACAGCCTGTCAACGCCTCCGACGTTGACAGATGGAAGCTCTACGTTTGGAGAAAAAAAACTCGCGTCGCGCTCGTCGCGGATTATTTTTTTTTAATTATATATAATGAAAGAAAGAAAAACGGATAGATAAAAACTTTTTTTTTACGAACGAGGCTTTTAAATTACAGAGTTTTGTTTTTAACTAATTTTATATAATGCATTTTTTATTTCGAATATCGCGTCCACACACGAGATTGTAAATTAATTTTCGAAAATGTTGAATATTTCTGTGAGACCGCGCTTAGGCGAGTTTCTGAAGCATCTCCAATATCTGTGGCGATACGAAAAGGTAATAATTTTTGATAAGATTCTGTGCACAAAGTATCTAAAAATCTTATGCAGTCGCGAAACTTTTTATGCTTAACCTTCTTTTGCAAAAAAACACTTTTATTTAAGAATTGAAATTAAGATTCTTTGATAAAATAAAAATGATTTTGAAATTACAAGTTTTATTTAAAAAAAAAAAAGAATAAAAATTTATGATTATTTGATCAAGGATTCTGTAAACTAATCCTATTTCATGTTACCAGTACAACACAACGATTGATGCAGCCAAGACTAGACAAGAGAACATAGAAGCCAGACAGAAAGAAATCATGGCACGTGGACTTCCTAAGCGAAAGCGGATAAAGGGCGTTAAACAAATTTTGCTGGTTGCCTCTGGTAAAGGTGGTGTTGGGAAATCTACAACCGCAGTAAATTTAGCGACAGCCTTAAAACTTAATGAACCCAAAAAGTCGATTGGATTATTAGATGCCGACGTTTTTGGACCGTCTATACCACTGATGATGAATATATATGAATCGCCGATAATAAATCAAAAGAATCTCATGGAACCTCTTGTAAATTATGGCGTGAAATGGTGATTAATTGTGAAACATATCAAACGATCAGATAAACGGGTATGTGCTTTATAATTTTATATTTTATATGCAGTATGTCAATGGGATTTTTAATTGATGAGAAATCACCAGTAGTTTGGAGAGGTCTCATGGTAATGAGCGCATTGGACAAGCTGGTGAATCAAGTGGCATGGGGATCGCTTGACTATCTTGTAATTGATACTCCTCCTGGAACGGGAGACACACATCTTTCTTTGATTCAAAACTTCTTTATTACTGGCGCATTGCTAGTAACGACACCACAGAAGGTCGCACTAGAAGTGACTAGGAGAGGTGCAAATATGTTCAAGAAGTTGGACATACCTGTAGCTGGTATCGTGGAGAACATGAGCACTGTTATGTGTCCAAAATGCATGACTGAGATTCCTCTCTTTGGCAATGCCACATTATCATTAGCCAAAGAACTTGGTAATATATCACTATTGTTATGATAATTTTTATTTTTATTTTATATAGTTATATAGTAATATATACATTATTAAATTACAATTTATATTAAAAATATATTTTTTCTCTCTTTGTATTATTTTTCTTTCTCTTTATATTATAATATTATAATATATATGTGTGCATATCTGTGGATGATATAATATGAATCATGTATGCCAACAGGTGTAGATATCTTACAAAGGATACCAATGCACGAGAGTATCGCCGAAAGTTCAGATAATGGTAAACCAATTGTTTTAGCAGCTCCAAAGACTAGACAAGCAGAGGCTTATAGAGAATTGGCAGAACATGTTGTTGCATTTTTGAATAAGCAAGAAATACATGAAGAATGAATTTGTACTCAAGTAATATATATTCATTTTTTATTCTCTTACAAATCTAGATATAATAAAAGCTCATAAAGGTTTAATAAAAAGCTATAAAGATTTTTCAGAATATGATTCAACAAAATGTTGAAATTATTTCTTTTTACTCTTTTATTCTCTAAGGCCAAATATGATATAATATTTACTTAAAATGAGATAAATTTCTTAAAATTTTGTAATTGTTCGTCGTTTTAATAACAATTTAAGCATTTCAGTTCGAATTTAGATTTAAAAGGGATCAACTGAAAGCTAAAGATATCAAATAGATTTATATTAAATATAAAAGAAAATCAATGAAGTATATATAATATTGGTTAATAAGTATATATGTATGTGTGTGTATCTAGTTAATCTAAAAATATATAATTGTATCTGACAATAATATAAAAAATTATATTTAGTATTTTCCATAACTACAAATTATTTTTTCGTAACAATTTATATCTAAAACTTTTTATGATATTTAATAATATTAATAATGATTTTCTTACTTGATTTTTTCTCTTATATATATATATATATATATATATATATATATATATATATATATATATATATATGCAATTTTGAAAGAAATTGGAAATAAATCTAGAAAACACACCTGTATCCGACAATAATAATACAAGATATAGCTAATAAATATTCCTCATAATAATAACAGCAAATAATTTTTTAACGCAGCTATATAATTTTGTAACAACAATTTCCGAACATAATAATGTTGATAACGATTTTTCTTCAAACTTATCCATCCCCGTTGTAAGGGGGAAAGCACTTTGAGCTGGACCAATAGAAATCGACTGTCGCCATGTTGCGAACGGGACTTGTGCTCTGCCTCTAGACTAGACCGAGCGTCTCTCTCGTTAGTGTCGGTACTTACATACTCCGTTGTGTTTTGTCGATTTTGGCGGGCCGAATCTTTCTAACGGCACCTCGTGCCTCGATTGTATCTCCTGTCTCTACGAATTTCGGAGGGATAAATGATGACGGACAAGGACGGCGGTAAGGAACCACGTGTTTCTCGCGACCGTTTATCCGCGCGATAAATAACAAATTATAAAATGCGATCGGCAATTTTCGCAAAAGGACGCCCCGATATAAACTGCCACGCTGCTCGAGAATAGAGTGCAAATCTTGCCGCTCATCATGTTTATAAATATGCAGGCAATTCGAGATACAACGGTTATAAATAAGATTATGCCAGTGATTTCGGAAAGTGTTCTCGTCTCGCGATGGTATTTCTAAATAATTTGATTTTTCCGACCGTAACATGCCGGTTAAACGCGCCATGTCCTTATAAGTATTTAAGTGGAATTATTGCATTGCTCTCTGCTTGAAATTAAAAACGAATTTCGCTCACAGGATGCGAAATATCCCTTTAACTTTGTGTGGGATGTTTGTAATTAAAATATATTGGAGCATTATTTTATAAATTGTATTATATGTTAATATTAGATATTGCTTTTAATTTTTTTCAAAGCGTGCACAGAATGCATATTTATATATTATTAATTATGTGTACAATTATAATAAAAAATTTTTATTATATATATATGCATAAACTGGTAACTTGAATGATTTAAGCAAAATTGTTATGTTGCGGCATTGTTATTTGAAACTAAATACAAATTTTATTCACAATTGAAAATATTCCTTTAACTTTGTATATTAGAATATTTATAATTATATTGAAATACTTGTAATATATTGTAATATATTAGTCATGTATAATCATTATTAATCATGTATAAATATTAGATATATTATTTTTAAATTTAAAAATTGATTATACATTTATATTATTAATTATATATACAATTATAATAATATAAATTTTATATATATATGTACAAATACTGGTATTGGACAATTTATTTTGCGTAATAATTATGTTAGAATTGCGTTTAAAAAAATATCTTTTATATTGTATCATTTATTTTTTACAGTGTAAGATTTTTATGAGAATTATAATGTTTAGTTCGTATTATCATTACAGAGGGTTTTGACGATGCAGTAGAAGAACGTATTATTAATGAGGAATACAAAATATGGAAGAAAAACACACCATTCCTATACGATCTTGTGATGACACATGCTCTGGAATGGCCTTCTTTGACGGCTCAATGGCTACCAGATGTTACTCGACCTGAAGGAAAGGATTATTCGGTTCATAGATTAATTCTCGGCACTCATACTTCGGATGAACAGAATCACTTGCTCATTGCTAGTGTCCAACTACCGAATGAAGATGCGCAATTCGATGCTTCTCATTATGACAATGAGAAGGGCGAGTTTGGTGGATTTGGTTCTGTGAGCGGGAAAATCGAAATTGAAATAAAGATTAATCATGAGGGTGAAGTCAACAGAGCGCGATACATGCCGCAAAATCCATGTGTAATTGCAACAAAGACTCCCTCAAGCGATGTACTTGTATTCGATTACACCAAACATCCAAGTAAACCAGATCCTAATGGAGAATGCCATCCAGATTTAAGGTATTTGCACAATTTGTCAAACAGATATGTATATAAATATGGACAAAGCGTATCAATATATTTTTATTATTAATGTGTCTATTATCATACCTGTAACTATATAGATTGCGAGGGCATCAAAAGGAAGGCTATGGTCTCTCATGGAATCCAAACCTCAATGGATATTTACTCAGTGCATCTGATGATCATACTATTTGTCTGTGGGACATTAATGCCACACCAAAGGAGAATCGCGTTATCGATGCGAAAACTATCTTCACAGGACACACAGCAGTGGTCGAGGACGTAGCTTGGCATTTATTACATGAATCATTATTTGGTTCAGTTGCTGATGATCAGAAGCTCATGATTTGGGATACTAGGTGATTCTTTCTCTGTACATTATAATATATAATTGTAATCGTTATTTTATAAGAAAGTTTAAGTTTGAAAGAAGAATATTTAAAACTTTTTAATTAAAAATAATTTGAGGAAATTTTATATATACATATATATATATATATATATATATATACATATATATATATATATATATATATATATAACATTAATGTCACTAACATTACAATCATTTAATAGCATATATTATATAGTTAAATTTTAATGTATACAGATGCAACAACACTAGTAAACCAAGCCACACTGTTGATGCTCATACCGCTGAGGTGAATTGTCTTAGTTTCAATCCATATTCTGAATTTATATTAGCCACTGGTAGTGCAGACAAAACTGTAGCATTGTGGGACTTGCGGAATTTAAAATTGAAATTACATTCGTTTGAATCACACAAAGATGAGATCTTTCAAGTTCAATGGTCGCCACATAACGAGACAATATTGGCAAGTAGTGGCACAGACAGACGATTACATGTTTGGGATCTTAGTAAAATCGGTGAAGAACAATCCAGTGAGGATGCTGAAGATGGACCGCCTGAACTTCTGGTAATAGGAATTTAATTGACGAATAAAAGAATTAATAATTAAAAAAGAGAATCTTTTAATTAAAAAATTTATAAATATTTATAAATATACAAATATATATATATATATATATATATATATATATATATATATATAATTATATTTGTATAATTATAAAATATATAAATATTATTTTTCTTTATTTTTCTAATTTATTCGATTCTTTTTTTGGAATTTTCAATTAAGAATTTAAAAAGAATTAAACTTTTTTTTTATAGTTCATACATGGAGGTCATACTGCAAAGATTAGTGATTTTTCATGGAATCCAAATGAACCATGGGTTATATGCTCGGTATCGGAGGATAACATAATGCAAGTATGGCAAATGGCAGAAAATATTTACAACGACGAAGAACCTGAAACACCGGGCAGCGAAATCGAAACTGGTGGTTCATAACGTGGAATGTAATTTACGTTGTTTCGAACCATTCTTGTCGATTGAGGATTATAAGCGCAGCTACAATTGCGCGTCATGTTGTTAAATCTTTTGGTCTAACAACTGATCCTGATGATACAACACAGATTTCTTTCCATTGAGAAATAATAATCCTCGCTTATAATTGATATGTAAACTACTTGAAAAATGTTGTAATTAAGAAAGAAAAATATCACCGTATTTTCGAAAGATTCGTGAATGCATTTTGAATAGATAGCATAATAAATTATTGACATTTTATCGCATTTGATTAAACGAATTTATATTTCCTCGAATGACAATTACGAATAGCGAGTATTATTGTTTCGCAGTGACGACTTGGCTATGTTATAAATAATAAAATAAACTAGCTAAAAACAACTGTTAGTTACATCCATTGCGAATCATCTTTTTGTATGAAGGCACTATTTCTTTGTCACAGAGGAAGAAGCTCAAATAAGATTAAGACATGCCAAGTACTTTTTCTACTTCGTTTTAAGCGTGAATAATAAAGAAATAACCCAAACTTGAATGATCAACTTAGTTCAACTTGCGCTTTTCCTAATTTCCTTTATTATCATTTCCTTACGATTTTTTTCCACTATAATCCTCTTACAATAATTTAAAATTATAAATGTAACAGAAAAAAAGGAAATGGCAACATATTGCAATAGATAGGGAATTGTTAACTCCTAGAATTATTGCAACAATCGAAAAAAATAATTATTTTTAATAACTTACAATTTTTTTATTTGAACCGAAGAAACACGAAGAAAGCACGTAAATCAAATTTACATCATCAAACTCTGTATAAATCTCTTTAAATAAGCACTTTAATAAAATTAGCGATTATATATAATATATAATCAGTTCCTTGACGCTTTGCAAGTATATATAATAGGAAGTGCATTCTTATTCGAGATAAAATATACATATACATATATGTGTGTAGACTTTGTTCCCATATTATAAAGCTGTTTGTGAAAGCTCGTTGTATATCTGCGTGAGTAAGGAATCGTCGTATTCAAAGCTGTTCAGTGATATAGCGTCCTCATTGTCGATATTTATAATTCTGAAAAAAAAAGAATAGAACGGTCACATTAAATGTTTCTTCAATCCTTTATTTATTAATCAGCGCAATTAATGATTGGTTTATTACCAAAATCTGCGCGTTAAATGGACATCGCTTATAGAGCGTGTCTTATGCCAGCTGCGCATTCAAAATAAATTATTTGCAACATCAATGATTATTTATAAATTGTATAATTCATATAAATATACACTTACATAAGTAGAGTTTTATATATTTAATAATTATTTTAATATTATTAATTTAATATGTTATATATATATATATATACATATCAAAATTGTAAACTTACCCTTTTCCAGCGTCTTGCCTTTTAATATCATCGAGCAGGCTCATTATGGAGGGCGTCAGGGTCGGACGAAATACCTAGAAGTTAATTAGTTAGTTATTGATTTCGGCAAATTTAAAATCAAAGAAAAAAAACGTTTGATACTCACAGTTACGGCCGCGCATCGCATTTCACGGAGATCAATATTCCTGAAAAGATCGTGGATCAACAATTCCTCTATGCTAGTAAAATGATGCTCCGATTCCGTGAATATCAATTCGAGAAATCTCAGAACCTGAAATTGAAATATATAGGAAGATGCTTGTTATGCGAATCAATTATTATCTAGTTATTATTGTTATCAATTCATATACCTGCGGATACATTTGGATGTCTGATAATTGGACGGCAGATGGTCTAAAGGTACATAATTCATAACCGGCACACATCTCGAATAGCATATGCCCTGATAATATAAAAAAAAGATAAGTTATATCGTTAAATTATTTCTAACAGTATATTAATTGCTCTCCGAAAATAATAAAATCTTTTATATAATTTATTTTATTAATGATGACGGATAATTTCTTCTTTTCGCAAAAAAGAAATATTATAAATTCATTTTATTAAATGTATAAATTAGATACTATAATAAAATTAAATGCTACATTTTATTAAAGAGATATAATATTAAGTTTTATTAAAAATATTAAAATATTTATATTAAAATATTTGGTGCCTATTGAAATGTAATATTAAAAAGAATAAGTAACGTTATATCTTATAACATTTTTACATTAAAAATACAAAAATGAAAGCAAATTAAAAAAAGAATATATATATATATATATATATATATATATATATATATATATATATAATTATAATCTATTTTATCAAAAATATATTTAGGAAATGATTGAAAATTATATTAAATTTTTTTGCAAAATAAGGTAGAGAAACCTTTTTAATAAAAAATAATAACATAAAACATTATATATCAAAATATTTCATTCTAGATTAAGAAATACGATAACAAAGCAAATTAAAAAAATTAAATTATTATATATTACATACAAAATCTATTCTTTTATAAAAAAATATAATATTTAAGAAATTATTTGAAATTTTTTGTAAAATAATAGTCTTTTATATAGCAATACATAAAAATCTTTTTAATTAAAAATTTTTATGTATTGCTATATATGTACCGAAACATATAATGTCAATCGAGGTGGAATGCGTCAATCGGGACGTTACGATGGGATGTATTCGACTGGTAAAACCTAGGAGATTATTCTCCAGACCGGCCAGTCTTGCAACGCCGTTCTGAATTACCACATTGCCCGAATGGAGATGAGTCACTGTGGGAAATCCTCGTTCCTTCAGGAACACGAGCGCTTCCAAAATCTGTCGTCCCATCCGTTGCACCTGCGGTAATGTGAGTCCTTTGCCCCGCGCGGCATATTTATGAATCCACTCTTCATTCCAACAATTTCGTTCGATCTGTCAAACAATATATATTTTCAGGATGTAGTTCCCTGGAGATCGAAATTCCTCTGTGTTCTCAATAATTGAAAATAAAAAAACGCATTCCTCGTGAATCAATCTCTATATAAACGTGTAAATAAAATAATGAAAATAGATTTCAGTCTTCAGTATTATTTTAAGTGAACTTTAAATACTTTTAATTAACATATCTCTTTAAGAGAGAAAATGAATTTAAAATTGGATCAAAACATCTAAAAATAAAGTTTGTACGCGTAGTTTTGCATCATCCTATAAAATGTAAATATGTTTTTATCCTAAAAACGAGATACTCACGCCATATATTAGATCTTTGAGACTACCCTGGTTGATAGGTTGCACCAAAACAATGTATGTTTGGTCCTCGTATTCGAGAAAATCGACATGAAAAACAGGACAAATGTAAGGATGTTGTAAAGCCAAAAACAAGTTGTTCAAAATATCCTTAGTTGAGGGACAGACGGACAAGGGGCAGTTCCGGTTCAATGGCACCAAAGTTAACAATCTGTCTGTCTTCAGCGACGTGTCCCTCACCATGAACCAATATTTGTCCACTCTTGATCCTGAAGAATATCTTAACAATTCTATCGACATTTCTTTACAAATTTTTTTAAAAACATTTTACTCGGTCATTGAAATAGAAATAATAATATTTTTATACTCGGAAACTTGACATTTCTATTGCTAATATTTATGCTATTAATCATTGCTATTGAATTACATTTTTATTTTTTAATTTTCTAAACTTCCTTATATCACTTATTCCTGTTTTATTATTTCTTTTTCTTTCTATTCGGTTGCCACTTAAAAAAAATGATCGATAAAGGCTCACCGATATTATTGAGCTGCTTAACAAGAACAAAACGCGGTGTTTTATCGATGTAATCCTGACAGATAGATAAAGCGCGATCGCGCGATTTCTTCTCCATTTCGATATACTCGATTCCGTTCTCGTTGATGGATTTCGACCCATTGTTTAGCGCCGTGTAACGTCCATTCCTGTTGAGTATATGTAAAATTTTATTTAACCATTCTTTTCTGTTTACCGTTATTTTATATTTATATTTTATATTTTATTTTTATATTTTTTTATTTCCTCAAGAAGCGAAGCATCGCGAAATTATTTTAATTGTATTAGGTAATTGATTATTTAATTGTATCAGGTAATAAATTATCCTATATATTCTAATTTATTTAAATAATTTATTTATTATTTAAAATAATCTCAGACACAGAATCTCTTAAGTTTCAAGTGTTAGATTGGTAAATATATTGAACAAAACTCTCTCTCTCTCTCTGAACTTTCGTTAGATAAGCATTTCTTACTTGCATAAAATTTTCATTTTTGCATCACTAAAAATTACAATAAAGAATATTTACTCTATATCTATCAATATTTTGTTAAGACATTGAATATAAACACAGAAACACATGTATTTATAATATATTTTAAACATATAATTTATTTGGTCGACAGTAAAAGAGAGAATTTAAAAATAATTCTAAAAGATTGATAAAAGTTCCATGAAAATTTCTTGATTTTTTCTAGATACAAAAAATCCCTGAAAATTTCAGAAAGATTTTTCAGAAAGTGATACACACTACCGTAAAAGAGTATCTTAAAAAGATAGTAAAAGTAACATATTTATACATTTCTATACTTGTTTCCTTTTTTCCAAATTTTCCAAGATTTCAATATTATTTTTTATGCCGTGTATGCATAATCATATAAAAAAAACTAAACTTTCTACCTGTCGTCGAAAGGTGTTTCACAGTTTCGCGCTTGCCTGACAAACAATTCTTGTGCATTATCATGCGACCTCCGGCCGCAACAAAAGCGGATTAGATTCGCGAACCACGGATTACGATGCGTTCCACTATCGCGCCATGTTGCTCTATGACTGCAAGGGGTTTCATCCAATAAAAAAAAAAAAGAATTGTCAGTGACCGTATAAGTCAATCTTTATACAACGCACAAAGGTACGATAATTTAATTAAAAAGACTACAGAACTCTTGAACTGTTGTTGAGCTATTGCTACTGTTCTAAATTATTAGAAAATAAAAACAAGAGGAAAAGAGATGTATGCGAATTTGTTTGGAAATTATGAAGGACCAAAAGGGATTTCTTTTGAAGAGAAGATTCCGAAACGTTCTGTGTGCACTTTCAGATTTATTTTACCTGCGCACAGCAACTCGGAAATTTCCGTCTATCCGATGATGATTGTCGGTCGTAAGTTGTCGATGATCATCTTGATGGGCACAGCTCATCATTGTAGCATTATCAGACATTTGCACGAGAAACGATGTATAATTATGCGCGATAAAGATTCGCAATAAAGATCCACGAGAGAGGAAAATTCACGCTTGTATATCGAGAACAACCAAATGTTAGAAGTGATTTCAATGGACCCGTCTACAGTTTACAAACAGAACGAATGTTTGAAGATGCGTGTAAATGTAGCTGATTTATCATGACGTCATAGCAAGCAGTATCACAGATAGTATCAAAGAATATTATTAGAGCAAGTGGGAGAAGGGATTATCAATTTAAAGCGATGTGATTGTCAATCAAGCAAATGCTTGTTGATTACTCGTTGAAGCAACAAGTAATAATTGATTCGAAATGAGAGAGAGAGAGAGAGAGAGGGGAGGAGGTAAGGGAAAGAAGCAGGGAAAGAGGGAGGAATAGTATATATTATTGCTATATATGAATAACATATATAAAAGGGATGATCTTTTAATTGAGGGATTATTGCATATCTTGTTTTCACAGAGACAGATGGCTAAATTGAATATTATATTGCAATTTATATTTCACCTTTGACATATTACATATTCCTCTGCTATAGAAATCTAATCAATATGGAAGGAAATAATTTTAATCGACTTTAACAATAAACATATTATAAATAAATAAATATATTATTTTTATACATATAAATAATTATATTAAAAAATTAATTTTTAAAATGTTCGTTACTCTAAATTAATATATATTAATTTCTAATATATATCTCTCATATGTATATATATTTTCTAGTAACTCTTCAATTTTCTATTATAACTTTATACTTTCCAATTACCTTCACAATTATCTTTATTTCTCTAATTTATTTACTATAATTTTTTTAATTTTATAATCTTTGAATATATCTTTGAATAATTTTTTCTTTTGTATTTTTCACATAATTTTATAATTTTTTTACATATTAAATAAAAATTGAAATTGGCTCGAATAGTGATAATAAAATTAAATCAATAATATACTAAAATTAAATCAAAATTGACAAATTAGAGCCACATTGCGGTAGTTGGAACATAAGAAAGAAACAATATTTTCTTTTTCCTAATTATTCGTTTAATTTGTCAATTTTGATTTAATTTTAATTTTTCTTACATAATTTTATAATTCTGTACTTCTGTTATATATATCATATGAAACTTTATGGATCTTCATCTAACTCATAAATATTGTATGAGAACCGTTATTTTGTCTCTTTTTCTCTCTCTGATTTGACTACTTACTTAATATCACCTTGATCCTTGTATCCTCGCGCCGCCGACACGCGGCTGAAGAGTAGCCGCGCCAGATTGTCAAGCTTGTTCGCCAGCTGATGATGACCTTTGTCATCCTCGCTCTCGTTTTCATCCTCCGTGCTCACGCTGCGACCTCGTCGTAGCGAACCTCGAGCCGAACTCATCGCTCTGGCATTTAATTCAGTGGCGCTTTGCGTTCTGCGATTGACAGCGCGACGACGGCGACGAGTGCTCGAGTGACCGGTACGATGCTGACAGAATCGATCGTGGCCTGTCACCTCCGACTCGCGATTTCGCTGCCCATCGCTGTCGTCCCTCCTGTTTAGGCTCTGATAGAGACTGAGACTGAACATCTCTCTCGAATGATTTCGCGCGAAAAGCTGTTGCTTGGTCCCAGCTTGGTGTCTGCTGTGTTTATAGGGTTGCACTATTAAGTAGTCTTGATATTGTCGAGATTCGAGACAAGATTTTTAATTAATTGTCAAGATAATACCAAGATTAACAATAAGATTGATTTGTAAATTAGATGAAAAAATAATCATATATTGTACGAACTTAAAAAGTTTTATTTAATAAATAAAGATATTTGTGTTAACAAATCTTAAAACAATTAATATAATAAACAAAATAATAAGTAATATAAAATTTTACACAATCATTTAGTTACTCAAAATTTTGCACGCAGTATCGTTTACGTTTCTTTGATTGTGTATATGCATTGTAGCTGTAAAAATCTTTTCAAAAAAATAATGAAAAAAATATATATATGTCTTGAAATTGTGCATTGAATCTTTTCATAAAAATAAAAAAATATATATTGTGTTTTGAAAAACAAATAACAATAATTATAAATAATAATAATTATCATAAAGATTATATCATAAAGATTATGTTAACACACGCGCACACATAATATATAGATATTTTATTTCGTTTCATTTTTTCACAATTTTCTTGCACGCGCGAGATGTAATATAATGTAATATTAATGGGAGGTATATTGAATTTTGCAATTTTGCAAAGTTATTCAAAGTTTTCAAAGATTGACATTTTTCTTAAGGGAAATTTAAAGATATGATTTATTTATGAGTGGGAAATGTGTGCTTCAAGATTTGATTCTTGTCATTTTCATCTACCTATATGCAATTATTTAATTTAACTTTTAATTCTCTAATGGAAAATTTTTGATTATCACAATGATAAAAAATCATTTGAATAAAATTAGAAATTGTATCCTTCACCATTTTATTAAACGCTAAATACTTATTAAAAAGATATTGTATAGATATTAATTATAATTTTTTAAATAAATTGGTTTCCACATTTTAATTTTTTTTAAATAAAATTTTCCACATTTTAATTTCTTTTTAATAAAATTTTTTTGTTAAAATTTATATTAACGCGGAGTATCTTTTTTCTCCAAACGAAATAATTTATTCTTTCAATTAGTTTGTTAAAAAAACATGTTTATATGTATCACTGTAATAATTTAGAGAGAAGATATTTTGACTTTACAATTAATTTGTAAAGGAAAAGAACGATGAACAAAAACAATTTTTAATTGGCTCTTCATTTACTCAAGAGAAAGGCATTTATTTTAATCGCCTTTTACAAATTATTGGATTTTTCTACTGACCTTTCTTAATCTAATTTCACAATCGAAGCAAATTATTGCGAGTCAACGTCGCGAAACATATACTACGTGAATACATTATTAAGCGTGGAATCGTCTCTCTATTAATATCGCTCTCGAAATTCCAGATCGATATGAAACGAATAAATGCGACCGTTCAAAAAATACCTATTATTTGTCTGAGAATATTCTATCTCAAGTTTTGTGAGATTGTGTTAAAATTCTATTTGCATAAAGAGAATAATGGTACAAAGAAAGATCGATGCTCTCACGAATATTACGTGTTCAGATTAGCATTTCTCTTCATGCAAATCTTTATTATACTTCACGTATCCTATGCCATAGCTTATAACATATTTTCTTTTATACGTTGTGTATATAAAATGTTGAGAACGACATAGATTTCAAATGTGTTTCTAACAAAATTGCATCAATATAATAACATCAAAGATTGCTTTTTATCAAATTAATAATCTTATTAAGTCTATCTAAGTAATCAAGGAATATTGATCACTCAAGATAATTCATATTACATGTAATTCACTGTAAATGAGTAAATGTAGTACAAGATATTTTTGTATACTATAATATCTGTCGAATTTTCTCTTCGAAATTCTTTTTTCCGAAATTTAATTAATAGCTTTTAAATAAGAATATAAGTAAAATTAAGAAATAAAAAATTATAAATATAAATAAAAAATTATATGAGAAAACATTAACATATTTTAATGTATTCAATATAAAATTAATTTTATTATTTTTCTGTACATTTTATTTATTAATTCTATCACATGCATATTTAATATCACAATTAAATTATTGTAGCGTCAAATCAATTTTCTCTTTATTATTTTTTATATTCAATATCAACTTAATCGATTTAATTAATTATCAACGCGATTTAATTTGCTATTTATCGTTAGAAATGTGATCACGATTCAATTCGCTACTTATCGTTAGAAACATGATCACAATTTAATTCGCCACTTACCGTTAGAAACGTGAATTGCGCCCTTTGATGTTGAATTTTCTCGTGAAATTATTCGTCAAAATATCACAGAGGATCGATTGGTCCTTAAAATCGTTGGTCGATGAAAATTCCGCGAGCAACACTATCGAAAATGCTTAAAAAAATTACAAAAATACAATTTCTACAATATTATAATATTAAATTATTATTTTTATATATTACAATATTAAATAAATTCAATATATTAAATTAATATTCAATATATTAAATATTAAATCGATTTCTGTATATAATTCTATATTAATCAACCTGATTTACGAAATATTATATGATATTAATATATGAAAGCAATGAAATCCATATGTTAATGCAAATTTATTTATAACATTTTCTATAATAATTATTTACGAGAAAATAAAATGTATTCCTATCGAAATTGTGAACATCTCGTAATGCGATACATATACAGGTCGGTAAGTCATAAATATATTTAAAAAAAACCTTAAGAAAAGAGAAATGTTAACTTTTTAAATAAATGTTTACAAATAAAATAGAAAAAGGAGTATCTTTCATATAAAGGCTCTAAAAGAATTTAATATTTCATTAAATATTTCAAACAGTAATTTAAAAAAGGTCTTCATTTCTAATAAAAATTCTTTTTCTACATGTTTTGTAATCCATCTAACAACAATTCATCTAAGAATCTCATAAAAAAAAATTAAATTTTTCATCGACAATTAAATCAGGTCATCGTACCGAAGGAACTGAAAACGCTTCTGATTTTTCCCGGGGCTTTTAATATTAATATAGTAGCGAAAAATATGTTATTAGAGATTTTTAATAATGACATTTTAAATAGTAATTTTATTCATGAGAAAATAAAATATATTCTATAGATATCTATAAATATATTGAAATATTATGAATAGCGTTACTCGGCAACGAAAGCGTGATATATATGTATACGAGGGTCAAATCGTATGCATATTATAATTTTAAGAAAAAAATCTTATGAGATATGTCAATTTTTTTGAATAAATTTTTACAAATAAAATAGAAAAATAACGAGAAATCTCTGTAAAGAAATCTAAAAAGATTCAAGTATCTCAAACGATAATCTAAGGCGTTTATCATTTTTAATGCAAACTGCATTTTAATGTACAATCTACGTTTATATGTAAAAAAAATTAATTAAATTTTCTCGACAACTAAATCAGATCGTCGTACCGAGGAGATTACAGGCGCGAAGGATCCTCTGATTTTTCCCGGGACAGGTGCAACGTACCCGAAGTTTGAGTTTTCCGTGCTATCGACCCGTGCGCGGGTCGTGGGCAGTGTGTACGGTTTGGCGCGCGTGGACCTCCTCCGCAACGCGTGTTCCGTCGCGGCAGAAGCGCGACTTGAGACGGACGCGTGGGCGGACGGCGACGCCGCCGAGCAGCAGCGAGGCTGGGTGGACACTGACGCGATCCCGGCGACTCGGTGTGGCGGACCCGGGGCGACACAGATTCCGTTCCGCACCGCCCCACTTCTCCACGCTGCGTACCACCCTTGAGCATCGAGGGTGAGGCGAGGTAAACGGCACAAACATGGGGAGGGAAAAACTTGAAATTTTCTTGCTCCCTTTCCTTCCAATTGAACAGGAGCACGAAAGACGCATGATCCACAAATCTATGGAAACTAATCAGCAACTACAAAGCGATTTTTTAATGTGCGGAAAAACAAAATAAATTTTTGGAGATGACGCAAATTTAAAAGCGTTCTATTTAAATTTCTACAATTTCTATGAATTATTGTATACGATTTTTTGTAATCTGTCAAGTAATGTAATTTAATCGATTAAATATTAGATTAATAATTAGATATTTAATTATATTTTATTTAAATATAATTTCAAGGAGACAGACGAATATTCCGGACACGTGCAGTTTTGCGTGTAATTCAGATTAGTCTTTGCTTTCGCTCGAACTTGAAGATCCCAAACAAATTCTAATCCTCGCAGTTTTAGGGTTGCTTCTCAGGGACGTGAAATTGTAAATAGATTAATCGAGAAATATAGAATGTTACTGTTTAATCAAACACGTGTATTTTATATTTTATCTTTTTCTCTCTGCATGTCTCATAATTTTCTTTTATGAATAAAAATGGAAAAGAATAGATAATAATTATGCATTTAAATAACATTTGATAAATATTTTGTTTTTTTTTTCTTTCTTCGCAAATGTTTTTATAAATTTTATTTTATTTTGCTTCTTGTTTCATCACAGTTTTATATTGTAATTTCCATTTTTTTGGAGAAGCGCCGTATATCTGTAATTCATATATTCATATGTAGTATTACATGTATTTATATATGACACTATATGTATTTCATATAATAAGATAATAAGAAAAAAGATATATATACATACATATATGTACACATACACACACACATAAGTATTTACATTTATTCAGATCTTAATTATACTAGAAAAAAATATTAATTTAAAAAATATAATTTCTTTCTGGTATATCTAATATACAAGATTTAAGATTTTTCCATTATATATATGTATATATATATATATATACAGGGTCTACCAAAAGTGTGGAAACCCCTAAATATCTCGGAAAATATACGTTTTACAGAAAAGTGTTTCCAACAAAAGTTGTAGGGTTTAAGAAGATCTATATACTGATTCTATCAGTTTGACCTTGGATGGCGTCGTCAAGGTCAGGTCAAGGTCACATTGATTTTTTTAAATGACACCCCCTACATTTGATTGCATATTCTTATAGCTTAATTCAAGAGCTTTCCAAAACACTATAATAATGTTCATTTTTATTAAGTACTTTGCGAGTTATGAGGGTTGAAATAATTTCTTAATTTTACATAAACCATAAAATATCTAGTAAACCATTCATTTTTCGATTATCTTACCTTCATACTTTTATGTACAAATTAATGAGAGGAATCAATTGGTGTAAAGAAAACACATAGTTGTTTCTAAGAAAAAATATGTAATTTGCAATTAACAATTCCATATTTTTTCTTAAAAACAACTGTATGTTTTCTTTACACCAATTGATTCCTCTCATTATTTTGTACATAAAAGTATGAAGGTAAGATAATCGAAAAATGAATGGTTTACTAGATATTTTATGGTTTATGTAAAATTAAGAAATTATTTCAACCCTCATAACTCGCAAAGTACTTAATAAAAATGAACATTATTATAGTGTTTTGGAAAGCTCTTGAATTAAGCTATAAGAATATGCAATCAAATGTAGGGGGTGTCATTTAAAAAAGTCAATGTGACCTTGACCTGACCTTGACGACGCCATCCAAGGTCAAACTGATAGAATCAGTATATAGATCTTCTTAAACCTTACAACTTTTGTTGGAAACACTTTTCTGTAAAACGTATATTTTCCGAGATATTTAGGGGTTTCCACACTTTTGGTAGACCCTGTATATACCGGGTGTTTCAGACCACCCGTACACCCCATTTTAAAGCAAAGGAAGTGGTTATTTTGAAAAATGTTTCAGACAAAAGTTGTTGAAGATAAAGTAATGCATTACATGGGTAAATTTGATTGACCTTGGGTGGCGTCGTGAAGGTCATGTCAAGGTCGACTTGAATTTTTTAAATGGGAACCCCTATTTTTCATTGCATATTCTTGTAGCTTATCTCGAGAGCTTTCCAAAACACTATAATTAAGTACCTTTTTATTAAGTACTTTTTGAGTTATAAGGCTTGAAATAATTTCTTAATTTTACATAAACCATAAAATATCTAGTAAACCATTCATTTTTCGATTATCTTACCTTCATACTTTTATGTACAAAATAATGAGAGGAATCAATTGGTGTAAAGAAAACACATAGTTGTTTCTAAGAAAAAATATGTAATTTGCAATTAACAATTCCATATTTTTTCTTAGAAACAACTATGTGTTTTCTTTACACCAATTGATTCCTCTCATTATTTTGTACATAAAAGTATGAAGGTAAGATAATCGAAAAATGAATGGTTTACTAGATATTTTATGGTTTATATAAAATTAAGAAATTATTTCAAGCCTTATAACTCAAAAAGTACTTAATAAAAAGGTACTTAATTATAGTGTTTTGGAAAGCTCTCGAGATAAGCTACAAGAATATGCAATGAAAAATAGGGGTTCCCATTTAAAAAATTCAAGTCGACCTTGACATGACCTTCACGACGCCACCCAAGGTCAATCAAATTTACCCATGTAATGCATTACTTTATCTTCAACAACTTTTGTCTGAAACATTTTTCAAAATAACCACTTCCTTTGCTTTAAAATGGGGTGTACGGGTGGTCTGAAACACCCGGTATATGTATATAATATATATATATATATATATATATATATATGTTATATATACATACATATATCATGTGAGTGCGTGTATATATATCTAAAGAATTGTAAATATATTATATAATTTAGCTTACATTTGCTACAAATTGTAAGACAGAGCGATAAGTCAGTTCATTTTCCGCTCGAGATCCCCACTTATACTCCAATTGTGATGGATCATTCTTATCTACTATTTTTTCAAGATATCTTTCATTTATAAAATCCTGTATGTAAATAAATAGAATTTAAATATGCATTATTCTGCATATGCAATAAAATTAATAATCATGTTATTTCTTACTACTGTCACCAATTGTTTCACATCACCAAAATATTCATTTTGGAAACTGTTGTTAGTTATGATGTTTAGATTACGGAGAAAATTCCATAATATATCTGTAAAAATATTTCCTAGGTAATATTCACATTTATCAGATTTCATATTATTATTATTTATAATAAATGACAATAAATTACAATAAAACTATTAAATAATTATAATCACCTTCTTGGCACGCTTCACCATGCATAAAAATGTGAACAAGGACAAGATATAATAGCAATTGCTTACTACTATTATGGAAAATAAGATGTGGAAGATCATTTTCTATGTTATTCACCAATATATATCTATTGCTTTCGATTTCCACCAGTTCAAATCCAAATACCTTTCAAATTAATGAAAAATCAATGAAATCATATGAAAAATACTTTTTAAATCAATCTTTTACTTTTTTAAAGTTTATAATTCCAAGAATAAAATTTTAAAAAATACATAAAATTCCTATTTTAAAATAGTTTGCTCTTTACAGAACAATTATATAACTATATAAAAATTATATATATATATATATATATATATATATATATATACATATGTGTAATTATAAAATATACAGACAAATATACCTCAGACAATTCTCTGTTCACTTTCTCTATGATTGTACGAAATAATCTGGCATTTCCATTCAGTACATTCTTAACAATTTGAGTCTTCTGTACAGGCTGTTTGCTCGTATTTGCCGCAAACACATATCTTATTACATTGCTAATTAGTTGCATTTTCTCTTGTGCTTCCATGTCTTGCGAATTCATTAACTGTGATTCTAAAACAGATGAATTTCTAGTACTTCGTTGTGATGATCTTACTTGGCTGCTTGTGCCAAATTGATCTTGCGATAAGAATATATCACTGCTACTCTCTCTCATGCTTCGAGTATTTTGCGATCTTTTTGTTTTACCTAAAAACAATTATCATTTATTATATGCAACAACAATGATGATGGCAACTGATTGCCATTCATATAATTTAGAAAAAAAAGGTTTTATCATACTTATGAGAATTATATAAAAATTCTTTTAAATTTAAAAAAGTTTTTTCTCTTTTTGTTTAAATCTATTTATACAAAAAAAGTCCAAAAGCGGGTCTTATATACAATAAAAATATAATCTTACTCATTTTGGTAAGTGTTAATATTGAACAAATGTCACTTTGAAGCCCAGATTCTCATATGATGTATTTTGCGAAATTTGGAGAAATCTTCGGTCTTTTAAGATATCCGACAGCAAAATTCGTTTCGATAAACTCAAACTCCGAGTTTAATCTCTGAGATACAACTCATGCCCGCCTGCTGTGTTTTGAATCACTTCTATCTGTAAACAACACGTAGATAAACATAGGTAGCTTGAAATCATAGAGAAGACAGAAAGATGTCATGGCCCGCTTTGAGGTGATCTCTGGAAGCGGTACTCCCTCTGTGGACATCAAAGCGTGGACATGAACTACAAAACCAATGTCCACGAATATTCTCAGAGGGTAACATATATGTCTCTATGATAATATAAATAATATAAATAAAAATATAAATAATTTAATTAATAATAATTTATTATATAAAAATATTAGTATGTTCTCTCTTTTCACGCTATTTATTTATTTATGTGCCTTTTTCTTCTTCTCTCAACATCATTTATTTATTTATTTATTTATTTATTTAACTCGCTCTAAGTCAGTCTTTTAAAATGCAAAACTAAATATTATAAAATTTGACTTCGGAAAAGCGTGGTAAAACAATTGAATAAATTCAAATCATTAGCATAACAAAAAGTTCCGTGATACATCAATCGTTTAATAATTAATTTAAAATAAAATATATTTCTATAATTTAAAATTCCGTATATATGAAGTACGTAAAATATTTCGGCAGAGAATTATCATTAATAATAACGTGTTTGGCCTTGACGATGTATAGCAAGCGCGCTATAATACATGTCGCGGCTTTGTCATCATTCGCACGGTGACACTCGAGTAATACGGTAGTGACGAGAAACGCTTCGTATATTGTAATTTTTGTACTAAATACGATTACAATTAGTATGATTATGAATTATTATTGAAACATAATTTGCTATAAATATTAATAATTAAAGATTAATTAACTTTTGATAAACGACTTGAAACTGTATATGTATAGCAACAGCATAAATATTTATCGAATCGTAATAATTCATCACTGGGAATAAAAATTGAAACAGAGGATACATGAAGGAGGATAAGAAAATTAAATATATGATGATCTTTTGATCATCGATGCTTATTATAATATTTCTTTAACAATATTAGAATTAAATATATTTCAATCAATGCTTTAAATTTTCTCAATCCTGCTTAATTAAACAATATACAATTTAATCGAGAGTCGATAAAATGATAGGAATCCAACATATTAAATAATCACATCGATGTTTGCAATCTTTACGAACAATAATTATTATTTTAATATTTAGAGTCACAAATATATTCCATCCGTGTTACTTTATTATTCTACTTGACAATCTAAATATAATTGGGGAGATATAATACAATTGTGAGAGAACACGAAGTAAAACAATCGAATTATAGATGCAAATAATTAGCATAACGAAAGACTTCAAGATGAATGGTTTAATAAATAATCAATTAATCTTAATCAATAAATTAAATTACTTCTATAATTTAATATTCCGCGCACAAATATTTTATATTACAGAAAATATTTCAGCAACGAGAGACTTATCAATAACACCGTGTTCGACCTGGATAAATAGTATCGCGCTATTGTTAATATGTGACACGGTTTTATTATCATTCGCACAGTAACCTTGAGTAGTGACGTGAGAGACGTTACACATATTATCAAATTCTTTCTTTACGTAGTCAACCTTGTCGATATAAACAGTACCGTGATAATGTTTCTGACTGACGATCATTCGGTCAATGGCTCTCGAGCAGTGAGGTAGTGATGTGAGACGTTCCATATATATATATTATCAAATATATATTATCAAATTCTTTCTCTAACTACAATTGCAAATGCAACGAGGAACTTTTCGTGAATGAGTATAAGTGCAATTCACGTGGAATTCAAATGAGTGCAACCGGAATTGAAGTGCAACGAGGATAAAGTGAAAAAAAAGAAAAAAAGGAGGTCTTGGAAATGGATAGATCAATAAGATGTAAGTCATTAATATTTTTATAAGTTATAAAATTTATATAGTATCCTACAAAATTAATTATATATTATATTATATATAAAATTATATGCAATATAATATAACCCTCCCATGGGGTACACCTTGTCGCGGTGGGAGGGCTTAGTACCTGGACGGTGCCTTGAGGTTTATCATAAATTTTTCTATTTATGATAAATCTTAAGCTGCCTGAATGGGAAGCGAAGTACCCTTTCGCCTCAGTGCCGTCAACACGGACGATAAGCACTTCGTCAACGCGTCGCGTTAGGTATATACATATTAGGGAGTGCCGTTAAAGGTATATACATATTAAGTATATACATCGCGCGATCTAATATAAAATTTTTAATCGCATCGAAATAGTGCGGGAGTGCCGTTCAGTATCGCGCGTAAAGTAACGAAAATAGCGATATAAAAATATCGTTCGCGAGTGCGGGAGTGTCGTTAAAAGTATCGCGCGCCAACAACATGAGAGGAGGAGGAGACCTGGGAGAGGCATCTTGCATCGGCGGAGCAACCTGATGGTGAATATTTATTATTTGTATATCAATTGGTATAAATTGTACGGATAATAATTCGGTCTTATTATTGAAATGAATTAAAAAGAATAAAGAAAATGATTTTTATAAAAGTCGTATAAAATTTTCTATTTAAAAAACCGTCTCAAAAATTTATAAAATTTTTCCACACGTTTATCTCTGCTTATTATTTTATATATCGGATATAAAATTCCAAGCGATAAAAATTTTTTGAAATATTGATTGCATTTTGTGAACACTATTATAAATGAATTTTATATTTGTATGTTATAGACAACTAGCTTCGATAACAACAACTCCGCTGTTGCGCATCAGTGCCGGTGAGTGAATAAAACTTTAATTTAACTTTAAGGTAACGGATTCGTAGACATTGTAGATGTAGATGTAAATGTAGATTGTAGATTGTAGATGGTAATAAATTCGTTGCCTTAAAATGGATGAGCTAGGATAGATTAAATTAAATAACTATTAATAAATTCTTTCGAAATGCTTTGCATCTATTGCGAAAATCTATTGAAGTATTAATTTAAAAAAAAAGATCAAGAAAAGAAAATTTTTTGTAAAGTTTTGTCTAATTTATTAAATAAAGAGCACGCATTAATAATTTTATCAATTTTTGGTGCTACTTTATTTTTATAACGCGCACTTATTTTATACTAATTTCTTATAGCTCATCCATCGTAGAATTTGTTTGTAGATATTGTTTTTAAAATTTACTTTAACTTAATATAAAGCCAAATGATTAATTAATTAAATAATTTGTAATATCATAAAAGTTACATACACATGAATTTTATATTTTATTATAAAATATAATATAAAGAAATTTGTAGAAATTGTAATTTGGCTTTATTCCCAGGTAGCAAGCACATGTCATTTTAACGTTCCAACTGGTCATTTTTGTCGACAAAATAACTGATTCGTTACATGACTTTATATTGACGTCTTGATATAACATTATTTTGACGTCATTTTTCAGTCATGAAGTGAAGGTTATTTTATTATTAATATCATTAGTCAGTACATCGATCGCATAAAAAAAATCTTTTAAATTTTTTTATATAAAATGACTTTCGTGATCAGACTTTTTATATATTTACATATATATTTAAATTTAATAGGATTGTTAGGGCTATCAGGTGATTATTAAGATTTTTTAATTTTCTTTTCAAGAAGTAGAGGATTGTTAGGACTATTATGTGATTAATTTAGGTGATTAATATATTATGTATCTTTTAAAGAATCAGGAAATGTAGGTCTAAATAATATTAGGGAAAACAGATTAATAAATATTTCAATAATTATAATTAATAAAAAAAATATAAGACTCGAAATATAAAATTAAACAAATCAGTTTTATAGCAATACGAGTCAAGTGTCGATCTTATAACACAATTATTTATTATACAATCAAATAAGTATGGAACAAATTATAAAGAAAAGTTAGCGAACGTTTCGACCCTATTTTTGGGCCATCTTCAGCGCAAATGTGATGATGTGATAAAAAACAATAATAAAAGATTTTATATCAGAGTCAATTACAAAGTGTGCCGTCTAAAGTAATAATAAATGCCTCAGTATCTTATTATTTTGACGATGCCTGTAATAAAATCAGTCAAATTTGTCAAAGAAAAAATTATTTAAAATTAAAAAACGAAAAGTGAAATAAATTAAATAAATAATGTAAACTAAAAATAAATAACAAAATAAAATAGTGTGAAAAAATGATTAGGGCTATTAGGTGATAAGGCTATTAGGTGATCATCGAAAATAAAATAATCAAACATAAAATAATGTAAAAAAAAGGATTGTTAGGGTTATTAAGTGATCATTAAAATTTTTTTAGGAAGGGACAAGTATGACAAGTAATGATAATTTTTGTTGTTAACACAAAGGAATAAACCACAATAATCCAAGAACTCAAAGAAGAGAATATATTGGATAGAAATAGCATAGTGATTGGAAATGATTAGAAACTAAAAGACAGTATGCGTACAATCTATTTATTAATAGTAATACTATTTTGTAATTATATTAAATTTTATAATTTAGTACATTGTATTATATAAAGTATTAAGCATAAAAGTTATGCGCGTATGAAAATTATAATAAAAATATATAAATAATGTTAGATATATTAGATTATGGAACATATGAATTCTTTATACAGTCAAACCTAGTTAAGTGAGATCGCAAGGGACAGCTCATTGATTCCACTTAAAGAGGTATCTCATTTACCCAGTTTCTCAATTATCCAGATTAAAACGCGCATGTCTCACTTATGAGGTAATTATCAAATAAAAATACGTACATAAATTAAGTATTTAAAACTTTATAAAGCAAATAACTTGGATTTTACCGATTTGATTCGAATGTTTGCCGACAAAAAGGCCCGAAAAGTACAATTTTATTAGACTTCCATAATGTCCGAAAATTCTAGTTTAACCTGTCTGTCTTCTAGAGGATCAGCAAAAAATTAAAAAAAAAATATAAAAAATGGAAATAAGAAAAAAATATAAAAAAATAAAAAAAAATATGAAAAATAAAAAAAAAACAAAAACAAGGAGCTACAAAAACTTTCCACGTCATTAGCTCTGGATAAAACTAAAGGAAAGTTCTCTAAATTTTCATATGCTATCATTCGTTTATATTCGTTTAGATTAGTAAAGCTGCTATGTAGTTTAAAAATTTTTGTAATCTAACTACAGATTCGTAATTAGCGATATTGAAAACCTCTAAAATCTTGAATGAGCTGAATGGGCGTTACGATAATCTTGCCCAGGGCGCCAATGTTGCTAAAGCCAGCTCTGAATATGCGTGTAAAAATTAAAGTAAGAGGAAAAATATTTTTAAAATCAAGATAGATGATATTTTTATTGCAATTTTATGATAAATATACATGAAATATTTATTTCTATTATATATATCGGCCTTTATAAAACAATCTTAAAAATATAGATTTTTAATCTGTAAATACTTAATCTATAAGATAAAGATAATTATAAGTAACTCGCCGACTGAGAGTTAATGCATGCTAATTATACTTTATATGTGCATGATAATTTATATGCATGATAATTTATATTTTGCGATTTTTGACGACTGAATAATGTGCGTTAAAATATGATCGTAATATCGCACGATAGACAAATTAGTCGTCAGAATGAAGTGGCCAGAAGTAGAGATAACTGGCTGGAAAAATACATGATCAATATTGGTCAAAAGATAGGTTGCACGATTAAGTAAAAATTTTCTCATTTAATTGTTGAGTAATATCGAAGCTTAGTTTATCTTTTCGTGATAATATTTTTTTTGGAAAACCTTACAAAATGTATTAAAATTCCGGATACTCTAGAGTTAGACTAAGAGAGATATACCCCGTAATTGTAATTATTATATTAATAATTATTAATTATTAATCTAATAATTTAATATTATCTATATATAATCTATATATATTATCTATAATAAATCCTGATCTACATATATGTAAATATACATATAATAATAGAGACTAATTAATAAAAAGTTCGCGAAAATAGAAAATATTTGTTATACAAAAATAAATTACTGTCTGCATCGAGAAATTATATTATTCAGAATAAATATAATTTTTATTTTTGGCGAATTTGTACTGCTGAAAATAATAATTACAAATCAGTTAGATAAATCTTTTTATTGAAAATTATAAAATTTGTTTACTTTAATATACAAAAATATTATATTCTCTTCTAAATTAATTTACAAAACGCTCTATGTATAATATAAAAAGAGCAAATAGCATTTGAAAATATAAAATTGAAAATCGCATATTGCAATGCTTTCATCAAATTTACGAAATATGTCAAAGGATATGCATGTCAATTTTGTGACGTGTGTTAATCTCAATACTACATTACTACGAAAATTGTAAGTTATGTGCGATTTTAAAGAAACGACGAGAGGATTGTTGACTATTCCGCCAGATTTCGTGCCTTATATGGAGAAGCACAAATTATACGAATTCTTTTATGTAATTAAACTAAATCATCTTGCTCACTTTATCCGCTAAATCTTTTCGTTAATATTTATTGCATTTTATTATAATATTAAATATATTAATTTATTAAATATATATATATTTATTATGGTTTTATTATATTAAGATATATTCTTTCCACTTTTTCTCTCCGTTACATTACTTTATATATTATTATTGTATTATATCATAAAGAAATATTTATAGGAATTAGTGACGCAATTATTGATCCAACAACCCGAGGATCCAATAGTGTTTATGAAACAATGTATTCAACATGCCATACGAAAACGAGATATTGCCAGAATTATTCTTATAACTCCTCCGAGTTTCGGTATAATTTGAATCAAATGTTAACACGCTTAATTATAAAAATATTTTTATAATAAAAAATTTGCTATTTGTAATATTATTTATAAAATGCGATAAAAAACAAAGAAGGAAGTTTTTTTTAATTTATCAGTATAATATAATTATTTTTATTTTTAAAACTGGTACAACAAAATTCTTTTTCTCGATACAGACAAATTGACTTTCGCGAAAATTCTTCAAGAGGAAATTGGTAATCGCCCCGTAACTCTAAATGATCTTCGTGCTTTATCCTCTATTGAAGTATGCTGTTACCAAAATTATTTATTATTTATGAAATGCCTCAGGGAAAAGAAGAAAAATACGATAATAAATTTTTTATTTTACATATTCTTTATTTTATACATATACATATATATTTTAGAATATGTGCTGTTGCTATAATGCTAATGAGATTGCGATGAAAATGAAAGAAATGTTAATGTCGGGAATACTTCATGAATCTGGATGGACATTAGTTGGTATATATATAATTTAAATTTGTTTAATTTAGTCATTATTCTGAAATTATTCTGTCGATAAAATAATCGTTGAATATAATCATTGAATTATTAATTGGGGAAAATTGCAATAATTATAATATAAATTTCATGTTATTTATATTATTAAAACAAAACATAATTGAATCTCTCTTTTATTTTTCTTTTGTGTAAATGAAGGATTTACTCATAGATATACCAAAAAACAAAGAGGAAGCACGTGCGATGCAGCGTGTTGGTATAATACCAACACACGTAATACAAGTCATATCGTCAAGTGAAAACGAAACTCAAAGTATACTTACTGTATGATCAGTATTATTAATTCTGCTATTCTATCCATGTCCATTTAGATTCATTTTTAGTTTTTAAGCACAGTCAATCTGTAAAAATATAAGTCAAAATTTTTGTATTAAATGATATTAGAAATTTTACATTATTCATATATATTGATATACATATATGTTTATAAAATGTATAAAAATATGTAAAAATATATTAAATTAGATAAAAAATTAAAATTAAAATACATAGATATTTATTTAAAAAATACTCTTTCTCTCAGCAGAATTAAATATAATATAAAATTCTTACTATTTCTGAACATATAAAATTGATATATTTAATTCATTTTCTCGTGAATTATGTTCATTTTCAGAAGATGTAAGACAATCCAATTATAAGAGAACTCTTCAAGGTCTACATGAAGTTTATGCTAATCTTTTAATTGTTAGTCATTTGATTGATTTTCGATATTATAATGTTCAGTAATAATAATTTATTATTTTTTCTCTCTATTATTTATTAATAATGATATTTTATTATCTATTATTATCGGGCATTCTATATATATATATATATATATATATATATATATATATATATATAATATATTTAATGGAAAAAGCAAATTTTTATATTACGTTTATATTTTTATTTCTTAAGTTATAAATCATGCGAATAATAATAATATATTTATGTATTTTTTAATATTATAGTAATTTGTATAATTTATATTAAATTATATAGCATTAATATTGTTACGAGATTGGATCGTTAAAAAATTTCCTTTTAGGAAGTCGAAGCTGATGGTAAGACAATTCGTGAGCTGGGTAAAGATTGTGCAAAATTAACGAAGATCGGAAAACATTATGGGGCACCGTCGCTTTTTCGCATAGCTCTTATAGGTCCTCGAGGATCAGGTCGTCACTCTTTAGCAAAGCATATATCTGAGAGATTTAATCTCGTTCATGGTAAATTATAACTAACAAATATTAATATTTATTCTATTATATAGTTATTTATAATATTTATTCTCTCTCTCTTCCTCATATTAAAAACTTTATTAAAGAGATATATGTGTGTGTATCTTGCATAAATCTTTATTAGTACAACGAAGATGAGCGGGGAGAAATCATAATACATGTATTTCAAATGTACAATGCATAATATTTTTATAGTTGACTTTAATCATATTCTGGAGCAAGCATGTTCGCAAGAAATGGCTTTAGGTGAAATGTTGCGATTGTGCGAGCACAGATGTGGACACAAATTAAAATCAGAAGCGAGAATACAAATCGTCGAGGTACAATATATAGTTTGATAAGAATCAATTGAATTAATTTCACTGTTGTTTGTTGTCATTGTTGCTAGCAATATGTACTCGGATCCGAATGTCTTAAGAAAGGATGGATTTTAACCGATTATCCTAAAACTATGGAGGAGTTCAAGCTTCTGGATATGATACCTACTCCACCTAATAGGTACGCGCGTGCGCGTTCTTTCTTTTAAAATAATCATAATTCTGAAAATGCTATAATTATGATTTTCAAAAATATGTTTAGAGTAATAATCCTTAAAGTGGACGTGCAAATATGCAGAGAAAGACTCTTAAATTGTCGACATAACATCGTCACTGAAAATGAACATAATTGTCATTATCTTGCATCGTGTGAGTCTTTAGGAATAGATCCAGACTGTAAATTAGATGTTTGCTCCAAAGATTACAAGGATATCGTTGAGCAAGATGTAATTGATATATTAATATTCTTGTAAACATTCTCAGTTGAAGTTTATTTAAATATTTCGTTATATTTAAATTTATACAAATATTTTGTGTGTGTGTTTTACTAAAGTTTAAAATACAAAAAACCTCTAACCTATCTTTAAAGAATTTGTTAAAAGGAAGAAATTTTATATACTAATTTTTAAGTTAAATTCAAATTTGAAATATTTAAAATTTTCTTTATTGTTACTTGCATTGGATACAGCTTTGGCAGTACCAAAAGAATATAGAAGATATAATGCGATATGCGGGGGAAACTGCAACCATAATAGATGCAACGGATGAGAGAAAATTCGTGAGGGAAAATCTGGAAGCTTATCTGATGCGACCAACACCGTCCGCGAAACCTAGAATCCCACAATTACCACCTACAATCGATCCACTGGACGTGGAATTCGATCCCGATGACGAACCCGATCCGAAAATCTTCGATGACATACGCGCACCAGAGCCTGAATATTCTTTTATCTAACAATTCTATATATTTAAAACATCTCTATAGAAAAGAGGCAAATATACAAAATAAATAGCATTTTTCACAACCTTCTTTTATAAATTTCTTGTATATATTTCTAATTACTTCATTATCTTTTTCTTTTCTTCTCTCTCATGAGAAATCCCTTCATTTCTCGTCCCCCCGTATAGAAAATATAAATAGATATATATATATATATATATATATATATATATATGTGTGTGTGTGTATGTGTGTGTGTGTGTGTGTGTGTGTGTGTGTGTGTGTGTGTATCTGTGTGTGTAATATATCTAATATATCTAATTTTTAAATTAATTAATTTTTATTGTTACATCTACGAATTATTAAATTTAAGTATTTTGTTGATCAAAATGATAGAGAGTAATAAAAATTTTTATAAAAAATACACAGCACGACAGTTGTGATTATTATAATGATATCAAAATTAGTTAATGAATGAAATGTGTCACAATATTTTTTCTTTTAAAAATAAATTTTCGAGCAAATAAATTGTCATGATATTTTTTTCTTAATAATCAAAAAAGTCTAGAAATCTAAAAACAAGATTGAAATATTTTACGTATCCTGCTATAAGTAGGTAATAATCACGCAGACGATATGTCAGCTTTTTCCAAGTTTATCAAAATAGAATATAAAATCATCAATCAATCAAAGATAGAATCAAATATCAAAGATAGATTATTGACAGGCTTTTCTATTTTATTTAAATTACTGATTCAACGAAAGCAAAGTTTTATACAATTATCAGTAATAGATCTCAGACAAATGCTTATATCAATAAGATTTCTATTGTAAAAAAGCTTTTATTTGTGAGTATTGATAAATTACCTGTTGCACTTTGCAGCAAAAGAGTGCATCGTAAATAAATAACATATGTTAAAATATGAAATAAAGATTTAATATATTATCTAATATATTAGACTTGTTGCAAGAGATTTTATATATTTGTTATAATTTGTTATATTTGTTATAATGTTTAAAGAGTTGGAAGATATTTCTCTTAAAGATGAAGAGTGTCTTGCAAAGGTACACGACAGAATAAAGTCACGAAACTAAAAATGAAGAAATGCGCCTGCGTGGCTTTCGTAGCTCTTTCCCTAACAATAATGTTTCCTTATTTACATAAAAAATAGAAATTCAATTTTTTCTCGATATTAAATCGATTGGTTAATAACAGACATCATTTCTACAAATGTTGCGAAAATATGTTTCTGATCTCATAATAGTACCTAATGTCGCTTTACATTATACATAAATTAGAATAATTTATGCTAAAATTTACGCTACGAGAAAAAATATCTGGACGATCAATAAAAAGGAGAGGAGTCGGATAGTCCGACTTCCGCCAATTTTTTCGCAGTTAGTGTTCTAACCTCGTAAAAAGATGATCAATCTTGAGACACAAAATTTTAAATTAAGCAGAATTCTATTACTCATTATTGGGCTGTGGCCTTTACAACAATCGAATCTAATTCGACTTCAGTTTATTTTCATGTCCATTATTTTAATAGCGGGCGTTATATTTCAGGTAAAGACTTATAATTATATCTCGATATGATAAGCCATAGCAAATTAATCTTTTGCAACCAGCAACTTAAGAATACCTTAATTTAGATTGCAATTATATATGTTATTATACATTATAATATATATATATATATATTTTTTTTTATATAATTACAATTACGTATCCCATTTTAATACACACACATAATCATTTTACATAGAAATGTAAGAAATCTAATGCGATACAGAATTCATAATTTGTCAATAGCTTTAAAAGAATAATTTGTTTATGCAAACTTGTAATATAAGATTATTTCTTATAGCTTACGGCATTTATTACATTAAGATGTACTCTGGACCTCATCGCTAGAGTTTTATCTTGCGTATTTTTCTCTATGTTTTTTGTGATAAAATACAATTTATTTCATTTTAACATAAAAGCTGTAAGTTTTGATAGATTTTAAGAATATATAAGAACTGATAGCTCAGAAATTTATAGTTGACCCCGTGAAAAGAAAAATATATTCTTGTTGAATAAAGTTTATAAAATATACAGTTTTTAATACATAAAATGTATATATACACATACGAAACAATATACAAAGTCGGTGATAAATAATAGGTGAAGGATTTATTGATGAAACTTCAGGATATATGTAACGGATTAAAAGATGAAAACGAAATTATTATTATGAAACAATATAGTCGCTATGGAAAACGTTATGCAATTGCATTTATAAGTAAGATAATATTTTAATATTTTAAGATTTGTTTACATGTTTTTATTGTATATTTAAGGATACTTTAGGTTAGGTACTTTATTGGATACTTAAGGACATTTTAGGTATAATACTAATGTACTTTTACATATTTATGAATAAAAACTTTGTAGTAATGATTGAAATCATATGAAATAAAATAATTAATAAAATTAAAATGAATATATTTTTATTAAGTAATATTTAGGTATTAGTATCTTTAAAAAAACATACTAAAATAATATATACTGATATAAAAAACGTATAACTAAAACTAAAATAAAAATATAATTAGTAAAGATATACGTTCTTTAAGATTATTAAAGCTAGTTTAAAAAATTAGTTTATAAAGAAAAATATTCAATATCAATATTTTAAAATAAAAATAATTGATAAAAGAGTAAATAACAAAAAATGATATTTTGGAAATGGCAAAGATTTAAATTAAATGATTTACTTATTACACACAAATATTGTGTATAATAAGATACTAAGTTGTCATTGCTGCCATTTTTTATATATTAAATTAAATTATAAAAATGTTATATGTATATATATATATATATATATATATATATATATGTACTTTTACTTAAAATGATTTTGTAGGAGAAATTTATATGACAATTTTATATTTGAATTCTCTTAGTATTTGCTGTTTGCTGCTCATTTTCTATCACGATAGCTATGTTTTGGTCGAGTATTCTGCAAATTACTTTAGGAACAAATGTAACTCAATCACGTCGCTTGCCGATTACTATGGAGTACTTTATTGATCAAGAAAAGTATTTTTATTGGATTTTGTTACATATCGGTGTGGCATCATTCATCGGAACGATTGTAATACTAGGAATAGGATCAGTGCTTATTATGTATGTTCTACATATCTGTGGTATGTTTAGAATTTCCAGGTAAGAAATAAGCAGAGGGAAATAAATAAGAAATTTTTAATTTTAAGCAAAATTCGATTATTATAAACAAATATAGTGCTTACTTTATGAAAGCCAAAGTTTACTATTTGATAAATGTATTAATTATAGTTATCGTATTAAACGCGCAATGCACATCAATATGCTAGAAAATATTAAACCGAGGAAAGAAAATTTAATGTTGAAAGGAATAATTAGTGCCGTAGATATTCATCGACAAGCTATAAAGTTAGTATCTCTAGTCCACGATATACATATATCGTATGACTAATAATAATTCTTTGATCCTACAAGATTATCTAACTGTTTGGTATCCAAAATAGAGACAATGATGTTATGTTTAATAATATGCGGAGTACTCACTCTGAGTCTCAATCTCCTTCGAGTAAGTCTCATATTATGATTTTGTCCTCTATTTTCAATCAATATTTAACGTTTTATATATTTTATAATATATTGTACTTTATATTATATACTTTTTCTCCTTTTATTTTCGCTTCTTTCTCTCATTTTTTTGCTAATATTTTTGATTTTACAAAATATATGATTTTTACGTATACTATGTAAATCAATCATAACCATACATCAATAAATAAGAAGTTTTAAGTTAAAGTTTGTAAGTAATGTTTTTTTTTAGAAAACATGAGAAATGCTAATATAAATTCGTTGCAATCACGATCTTGTATTATAGATTTTTCAGATTGCTTCATATGGAGATGATGTTAAGGAATTTTTAATTCCTTTTATACTTATTATTATCGATATCGTATACATGTTTATAGCTAATTATTTGGGACAGAATATAACAGATCACAATAATGACGTCTTTGCTACCGTGTAAGAAATATTATTTTCGACAGATTGTATAAAGTCTCATATCTTAAATATTATTTTATTAATTCTAGTCAGAGGGCCTCTATATGGACCCCAAGTTCATTTCAAAGTATGCTTCTAAGTTAAGAAAACGACATTATTTTCGTGGTTTTTCCATAATTTCACTATCCGGGAAGAGATCGTAATTGATATTACTAGTAGCTTTAATCGATAATTGTGACACAGAGTTCAGCTAAAAACCACAAGGGCCCTTTAATGCCAAATTTTTTTAATTGATTTCAATTTTTTTATTTAAACTAATAAATTACAGTTATAATAAGATAATTATAAAGTATAACTCAAATATTGAAAAAATCAACTGAAAAATATTATTATGGCAAATATTTTATGGTTCTAATCAAATTATTAATTAGAACTGCAGTTTTCACAGAAAATATTTTGATCATTTAAATTATGAAAAGATTGTATGATATGAGAAACTTTACGTGCGTTAGATAATTATATAGATATATAAGGAGTTGATAAAAAATACAAAAAATTTTTTATATAATTTTTTATTTTCTTTTAATTTTCTCATTTTTCAATTCTTAAATTTTTCACATATATATATGTCTAAATATTTATTAAATATATATTTTTTAAAAAATGCAACATATTACCACATAATTATATTTTTCTAATAGTTTAATGTATGTTTTTTGAAACGATGTTTGAATTGCTAAAATCAATTAATCAGGAAAAACTAATCAAATTGATGAAAAAATGATTTAAATGAAAGAAAGTGAAGAAAAAAATGTCGTTTTTTAAACAAAAATTTTAAATAACATCTGCATTTAATCCGCCTAGGGTTAGTACGTTTTTGCGTAGAAATATATGTATATGCCTATACGTTGCTACCTATAGGTATGACGTTCAATGGCATGTAGCACCTTTACATATACAAAAAGTAATACTGTTTCTGTTGCAAAGAGGTACCAAAGATTTCACTATAAGCATTGGTCGATTATTCGTCGCATCATTAGAGTGTTTTACTACGGTAAGGATAAAATAATAAATATATTATTAAAATATAGATTCTTTCATTCAAAGCTACATATTACAAATAAATATTACAGTTGGTGAAAACTTCAGTCTCTTATTTTACTGTTGTGTATTCAACGCAACAATAAGGTAAGGAGGATGTTACATTGTCTCTAAAAATTTCGATTTTTCTTATAAACGATATATAATAAGACATGTCAAATATTATTTTTAACTGTCTAATTTATATTTTACTGTTATTTTTACTGTTTGTGAATTTTTAAATTTAAGTATTTTTTGTAAAATTGAAGTTAGAAATAAATATATATAAATCAACAGTCGATAATTGTAAAATGTCTATTGCTACTGTGCCCTCTAATTGTAAATTCTAATTGTAAATTAGAAGTTTTACATATACCTTACTCAGGTCGACCCTTTTATTAAACAGTATGCGTTTTTTATTTTTACCAGATATGTTCAATGTTTTCAATAATGAATGATGTTTATCTCAAAGATGTGTACGCCATGAGTGTGAACAATAGAATGAAATATGTAAATTTGGTACAAAAAATGTAGCAAATACGCATGTGCAACTTTCGCGCAAGTAATTTTTTCGATAGATATTTTCTCCTATTTTCTTATGGTAAACACCCGCTGGAACATCTCTATTATATCGATCGTATAATTAGGCATTATTGCGAAAAACACCGTTACATTATAAATTTTACTTTTACGTTATATAGTTGCACAAAATTACACAAAATTATGTGAAATTTTATGCTAAAGTTTACATCGGAAAAGAAAAGTAATAAAATACTTGATCACTCAATGGAAATTCAAAGGGATAGTGAAAATTCTCTCTGACTTTCTCATAACTATTTGTGCTTTGAACGTCGTAAAAAGATGATCGGTTTCATGGCACAGAATTTTGAATTAAACAGAATTCTATTACTCATTGTGGGTTTGTGGCCTTTACAACAATCGAATTTAACACGACTGCAGTTTATTTTCATGTCTGCTATTATGACAGCGGGTATTATATTTCTGGTAAGACGTTATTTTATACTTTATTTGATATAATAAATCATCGCAAGTTTAATCTTTTATAAATGAGCACAGTATTCAAAATAATCCCCAAAAACTTACCTTTTTAAAAAAAGGTAAAAAAAGGGCGCCAAGTTTATGCACTAATTGTATCCAACTGTCATATTGTCTACAAAAATAGTGATATAAAAAAATTGCGCCAACTAAGAATAAAAATTTGTACAAAATAAATAGAAGGAAGGAAACTTGTACAAGTTAAATAGAAATATTTTAATTGAAAACATTGTTATACAAAATAGTTGCTTTAATTTTCAAAAATAATAATATTAATAGTTGCTTTAATTTTCAAAAATAATAATATTAAAAAATTAAAAATTTTTTTAAAAATTGGAATCTGAAAATTAATATAAAACAAGAAAGATTTAATTAAAAATTTTAATTAAAAAAACTTGGCGCTGTCAATTTTATTAATATATTGTTCAGCTTAAAAGCCTAAATTTTCAAATGTAAATCAATATAAATTAATTAAATAAATTAGATCATTAAATTTAAATGTTAGACTAATAATTGGAATATGTTCCAATGTTTTAAATTTCCATATTATATAAAGTTGATAAAATTGAAAAAACATAAGCTTGAATAAATCTCATAGAAATTTCTAAAGTAAAAAGTATAATTTGTGAAAATAATATAAGAATTATAATAATTAAATTACTAATTGAAGATCCAGAAAATCATAAGAGAATTAATAATAAATGTCCAGCAATTATATTTGCTGTTAAATATATATTTAATTGGAATATATGCCAATTTTATTGGAAGCGCCAAATTTTTTTAATTAAAATTTTTAATTAAAACTTTCTTGTTTTATATTAATTTTCAGTTTCCAATTTTTAAATAAATTTTTAATATTATTATTTTTGAAAATTAAAGCAACTATTAATATTATTATTTTTGAAAATTAAAGCAACTATTTTGTATAACAATGTTTCAATTAAAATATTTCTATTTAACTTGTACAAGTTTTCTTCCTTGTAGTTCTATTTATCTTGTACAAATTCTTAGTTGGCGCAATTTTTTTATATCACTATTTTTGTAAACAATATGACAGTTGGATTCAATTAGTGCATGAACTTGGCACCCTTTTTTTACCTTTTTTTAAAAAGGTAAGTTTTTGGGGATTATATCACTTCTTTTTTTAGTCTAATTTGCTAAGAGATATTATATTAAAAATAGTATGTATATATATATATATGTATATTCTTTTAATATATAAGCAAATTATATAAAAATATATATAGAATATGTATATATAACGTACATTTTATATATATATATATACATATATATATATATATATATATAATTAATATATTTATATTTAGCTTATAAAATATATATATATATATATATTTATTTACCTTGCTCCAATTATCATACCGTACTGGCTCTTGCCAATTTTTAATTAATAATTTAATTATTTATTATTTATAACTTGCACTTTATCACTACTCAAAATGCGGTTAATGATACATGTCACTAATGACACATATGACACATGTCATTAATATCGAAAAGCGACGCTAGCGCAATCTTCTGTCGAGAATAGGAAAAGGACGTTTTTGATTTTTATGTGTTGTGTACATGTGTGTTGATGACCATGATGATGATAAAGATGTTTCTTAATAGAAAATTTTCATATTTCGACTTTGCATTATGATATCTCCGTTAATAGATCACGCAGCGCAAAAATAAAGATACTTTCTTTATACAATTCAAACTCGCTCTATCAATTAAGATAAGTAAGAATTCGATCCGTTCAGCCGTTATTGAAATCCGATAATCTAAGTTACTCTCAACTATCCGACTCGCGTATATAGATATACGGAGTGCGGCACAATGCTTCGCATGAACTTGATGCGAGACACTACCTACTGGTGTCTCTTGATATCTTAATTTGGAATATTATGAAATTATGATATAAGCTGTATTAAAATATATAGAGTATATAATTACAATTACGTATCACATCTTAGGCGAATCACATACAAATGTACAAAATGATACCTAGTGCGATATAGAATTTATAATTTGTCAATCGTTTTAAAAGAATAATTTGTTAGAGCTTAATTTTAATAAAAATATTTCTTACAGCTTATGACATTTATTACATTTAAATGTACTCCAGATCTCATTATTGAAATTTTATCTTATGCATGTTTATGTAGCATTGTTGCGATACAGTATAACTTATTTTATTTTAATATAAAAGCTGTAAGTTGATAGTTTATAAAATTAATAGCTTAAAAAAACTAATAATTCACATATATGAAAAAATATAGTTTCTAATATATAATATATACATATATATACCAACACTCACAAACAATATACATAAAGTTGGTGATAAATGACAGATGAAGGATTTATTGATACAACTTCAGGATATATGTAACGGATTAAGAGATAAAAACGAAATCGCTATTATGAAAAAATATAATTACATTGCAAGCCGTTACACAACTGCATTCACAAGTAAGATAATATTTTTAGATTTTTTTATATTTATTTATATTTTTCTCTCTCTTTTTCTTTCTTTCTCTCTGTCTTTATTGCACATACAAATTTTAATGGGAAAGAAATTGATATCGATAGACATTTTAATAATAATTTTTTAAATTAGTGTATGTGTTATATGTATTTTGCATATTTACATGTATGTAATACATCACAAGATATATATAAAAAATAATATAAAATATAATATGTCCAAGAAATCAAATAGAAAAAAGGTATTTTAAAGTTACAATAGTTATAACTTATGTGAATATCTACTTATAAAATTTCGATAGAAATTTATATATTAAATTAAATTATATAAATGTTATATGTAAAAATATATATATGTATATGTATATATATAAATATATGATATAACACCTGAATTAATTTTAAAAAAATTTGCAACAGAAATTAATACAATTGAATTAATACAACTTGAATTCTTTTAGTAGCAACCGTTTGTGGCATATTTGTTTTTATAGTTAGCATACTTTGGCAGAATATTATGCATATTATATTACCAAATGTAACTCAATCATATCAACTGCCGTTTAAAATGGAATATTTTATCGATCAAGAAAAATATTTCTATTGGATTGTGTTATATGTCAGTATGGGAGTATGTATCGGGATGACTTCAATGATAGGAATAGGATCTTTCCTTATCATGTATCTTCAATGTACCTGTGGCATGTTTAGAATTTCCAGGTAAGAAACAAACGTAGAAAAAATACAAAATTTTGAATTTTATACAAAATTTTATTCCTTTCTTGAATATAATACTTATTTTTACAAATTTAAAAGATATAAAAATAGTATTAAATATTAAAATAGATATTAAAGATATTAAATATATTAAAGATATTAAAAGATATTATTATACAATAGTATATATATTACAGTTATCGTATTAGATGCGCAGTGCATATTAATATGCTAGAAAACATTAAATCGAGAAAAGAGAATTTAATATTAGAAGGAATAATTAGTGCCATAAATATACATCGGCAAGCTATGAAGTTAGTATTTTTATTCCGTGATATACATATATAATATGACTAATAATAATATTTTGGTCTTGAAAGATTATCCAAACTTTTGATGTCTAAAATTGAAAAAATGATGTTCTGCATAATAATACTTGAAGTGATTTCTTTGAGTCTTAATCTTTTTCAAGTAAGTTTTATATTATGTCTTTATAACTACTATTTTCAAATAATATATACGGGATATTAATATATACGGGATGGTTTAAAAGTTTGGAAACTACAAATTATATTTGAAAATAGTAGTCCTGTGGGAAAATATTTTAGACAAAAGTTGTAGAACGATTAGTTTAAAATCTATTTATTGAACTTATAAGTTTGACTTTAGATTGCGTCGCCAAGATCAGGGCAAGGTTACCTTAAATTTTTTATACGGAACCTACTTTTTATTGCATATTCTTGCTCATAGTTCATCTTGAGAGATTTTCAAAACACTGTAATTTATAAAAGTTGAAATAATTTCTTAATTTTACATAAATTATAAAATATCTCGTAAAATATTTTTCGATAATCTTACCTTAATATTTTTATGCACAAAATAATGGGAGAAATCAATCGATGTAAAGAAAACACATATTTGTTTTTAAGAAAAAATATTTAATTGGCAATTAATAATTACATGCAGCATATGTATACTTTATATTAAGATTTTTTTCTTTTTTTCTCCCACGTTCTAGTTAATATTTTTGATTTTGCAAAATATACGTTAAATATACGTTAAATATATGTTTATGTATATATAAATCAATTCATATCCATTCACCGATAAATAAGAAGTTTTATTGTAATATTTTTTTAGAGAACATGAGAAATGATGACGTAAATTTGTTAACGATCTTGTATTGTAGGTTTCTCGGGTTGTTTCATACGGATATGATATCAAAGAGTTGTTAATTCCTTTTATATGTATAACTATCGTTATCTTAAATATGTTTATCGGCAATTATGTTGCACAGAATGTAACGGATCACAACAATGACATTTTTGCTACTGTGTAAGAAACATTATTTTTGACACATTGATGATATCTCGTATCTTTAGGATTATTTTACAAAATGCAGATATGTTAGTGTGTTTTTGTGTAGAAATATATACATTATTGTTATCAGTACATGATTGAATAGGTATGACGTCCAGTGGCATGTAACACCATTACATATACAGAAAGTAATACTGTTTCTGTTGCAAAGAGGTACCAAAGATTTCACCATAAGCATCGGTCGATTATTCGTCGCGTCATTCGGTCATTTTACTACGGTAAGGATAAGGTAATAAATATATTATTAAAATATAGATTCTTTCTTTCAAAGCTACATATTACAAATAAGTATTGCAGTTGGTGAAAACTTCAGTCTCTTATTTTACTGTTATATATTCCACGCAATAATAAGGTAAGAGGATGTTACATTGTCTTTAAAAATTTCGATTTTTCTTACAAACGATATATAATAACCCAATAATAAAAAATTATTACCACAACGTTATTATAATGATATTCACTAACATAGTAATGTTGTCAAGTATGTAGTTTTTAACATTGTATGCAACATTATTATGAACAAACTTTGACACCGATTTAGAGGTTTCGGTAATGTTGAAATAACATTTTCTATGTTGTTATAAGTAATATTGTATTAATGTTGTTTTAACATTCTGATAATGTTTCTCATAAAATTAAATCAATAATAAAATAACATTAGTATCAACATCTACATAACTTAATATTAATATTACAATAATATTAATTCTAACATTAATTTAAGACTTTTAGAACTTTCACTGAAAAATTTGAGAACAAATATTTAGACATATCTCTAAAAATAACTTACAAGATATTATAACACAATGGAAGAAACACTTTCCTCTTCTTTCGTGCAGCACTATAATTCGCAAAAACACTGTAACTTACTTATTATGCGAGATTGTGTAAGAGCATGTGGCACATTGGCAGCCGGTACGAGTGTTCCGAAGTCAAAGAACAAAAGAATAAATCATGCATACGCAATGGAGTGTATACGCATATCCCACCGAATGTTGCCTCTATTAGGTGTCGTCATGCCCGTCACGAGAAAGAAATTAAGATATATTATGAAAAAAATAGTCTAAAGATATATATGAAATAAATAATACGACGTTTAATAACAACGCGAACGAACTTGTAACTGGATGTTATATTTTTATTTATAATAAACATATTAATAACATATAAAAAACATTTTGACTAATGTTTCTAAAATATTTTATTAATATTTTAAGAGGGATGTTATTAAATAACATTTTTTAAATATTTATAAAACATAAATTAAAATATTTTTTAAATGTTATTAATAGGTTTATTAGAATATTTTAGAAATATTTTGAAAATATTCTAATAAACGTATTAATAACATTTAAGAAACATTTTGACTAATGTTTCTAAAATATTTTGTTAATATTTTGAGAAGGATGTTATTAAATAATATTTTTAAAATATTTATGAAACATAAATTAAAATATTTTTTTAAATGTTATTAATACATTTATTAAAATATTTTTAAAATATTTATAAAACATTATATCATAATGTTTAGAAAATTTATATAAAATCAACATTTTAGAATGTTAATCAAATCTTTCTTGCTTCCTGGGAAGGCATGTCAAATATTTTTTTTAACTGTCTAATTTATATTTTACTGTTATTTTTACTATTTGTGAATTTTTAAATTTAAGTATTTTTTGTCAAATTGAAGTTAGTAATAAATATATATATAAATCAACAGTCGATAATTGTAAAATGTCTATTGCTACTGTGCCGAATGTAAATTAGAAGTTTTACATATACCTTGCTCAAGTCGACCCTTTTATTAAACAGTATGCGCTTTTTATTTTTACCAGATATGTTCAATGTTTTCAATAATGAATGATGTTTACCTCAAAGATGTGTACGCCATGAGTGTGAACAATAGAATGAAATGTGTAAATTTGTGGTACAAAATATGCAGCAAATACGCATGTGCAACTTTTGCGCAAGTAATTTTTTCGATAGATATTTTCTCCTATTTTCTTCTATTTTCTTATGGTAAACACCCGCTGGAACATCTCTATTATATCGATCGTATAATTAGGGACATTATTGCGAAAAACACCGTTACATTATAAATTTTACTTTTACTTTATATAGTTGCACAAAATTACACAAAATTATGTGAAATTGTATGCTAAAATTTACATCGGAAAAGAAAAGTAATAAAATACTGGATCACTCAATGGAAATTCAAAGGGATAGTGAAAATTCCCTCTGACTTTCTCATAACTATTTGTGCTTTGAACGTTGTAAAAAGATGATCGGTTTCATGGCACAGAATTTTGAATTAATCAGAATTCTATTACTCATTGTGGGTTTGTGGCCTTTACAACAATCGAATTTAACACGACTGCAGTTTATTTTCATGTCTGCTATTATGACAGCGGGTATTATATTTCTGGTAAGACATTATTTTATACTTTATTTGATATAATAAATCATCGCAAGTTTAATCTTTTATAAATGAGCACAGTATTCAAAATAATCCTCAAAAACTTACCTTTTTAAAAAAAGGTAAAAAAAGGGCGTTAAGTTCATGCACTAATTGTATCCAACTGTCATATTGTCTACAAAAATAGTGATATAAAAAAATTGCGCCAACTAAGAATAAAAATTTGTACAAGATAAATAGAAGTACAAGGAAGAAAACTTGTACAAGTTAAATAGAAATATTTTAATTGAAAACATTGTTATACAAAATAGTTGCTTTAATTTTCAAAAATAATAATATTAATAGTTGTTTTAATTTTCAAAAATAATAATATTAAAAAATTAAAATTTTATTTAAAAATTGGAAACTGAAAATTAATATAAAACAAGAAAGTTTTAATTATTATTATAATAAATCATTGCAAGTTAATCTTTTATAAATGAGCACAGTATTCAAAATATCTTAATTTGGAATGTTATGAAATTATGGTATAAGCTGTATTAAAATATATAGAGTATATAATTACAATTACGTATCACATCTTAAGCAAATCACATACAAATGTACAAAATGTTACCTAGTGCGATATTGAATTTATAATTTGTCAATCGTTTTAAAAGAATAATTTGTTAGAGCATAATTGTAATAAAAATATTTCTTACAGCTTATGACATTTATTACATTTAAATGTACTACAGATCTTATTATTGAAATTTTATCTTATGTATGTTTATGTAGCAATGTTGCGATACAGTATAACTTATTTTATTTTAACATAAAAGCTGTAAGTTGATAGTTTATAAAATTAATAGCTAATGAAAACTAATAATTCACATATATGAAAAAATATAGTTTCTAATATATAATATATACATATATATACCAACACTCACAAACAATATACATAAAGTTGGTGATAAATGACAGATGAAGGATTTATTGATACAACTTCAGGATGTATGTAACGAATTAAAAGATAAAAACGAAATCGCTATTATGAAAGAATATGGTTATATTGCAAGCTGTTACACAACTGCATTCACAAGTAAGATAATATTTTTAGATTTTTTTACATTTATCTATATTTTCCTCTCTCTTTTTCTTTCTTTTTCTCTGTCTTTATTGCACATACAAATTTTAATTTTTGGGAAAGAAATTGATATCGATAGACATTATAATAATAATTTCTTAAATTTGTGTATGTGTTATATGTATTTCGCATATTTACATGTATGTATACATCACAAGAGTTCATTAAAATATTTGTCACATATGCAAATCTATAAAAAATAATATAAAATATAATATGTCCAAGAAATCAAATAGAAAAAAGGTATTGTAAAGTTACAATAGTTATAACTTATGTGAATATCTACTTATAAAATTTCGTTAGAAATTTATATATTAAATTAAATTATATAAATGTTATATGTAAAATATATATATGTATATATATATATTTATAAATATATATATGTATATATATATATATATATATATATATATATATATCATATAACACCTAAATTAATTTTAAAAAAATTTGCAACTGAAATTAATACAATTCTACTTAAATTCTTTTAGTAGCAACCGTTTGTGGCTTGTTTGGTTATATTTTTATGATATTTTGGCCGGATATTATGCATATTGTATTACCAAATGTAACTCAATCACACCAACTGCCGATTAAAATGGAATACTTTATCGATCAAGAAAAATATTTCTATTGGATTGTGTTATATATCGGTGTGATAGGATGTATCGGGATGACTTCAATGATAGGAATAGGATCTATCCTTATCATGTATCTTCAATGTACCTGTGCCATGTTTAGAATTTGCAGGTAAGAAACAAACGTAGAAAAAATACAAAAATTTGAATTTTATACAAAATTTTATTCTTACCTTGAATATAATACTTATTTTTACAAAGGTAGAAGATATAAAAAATAGTATTAAATATTAAAATAGATATTAAATATATTAAAGATATTAAAGATATTATAAAAGATAATATTATAGTATATATATTACAGTTATCGTATTAGATGCGCAGTGAATATTAATATGCTAGAAAATATTAACTCTAGAAAAGAGAATTTAATATTAGAAGGAATAATTAGTGCCATAAATATACATCGGCAAGCTATGAAGTTAGTATTTTTATTCCGTATACATATATAATATGACTAATACTAATACTTTGGTCTTGAAAGATTATCCAAACTTTTGACGTCTAAAATTGAGACAACGATGTGCTGCTTAATAGTACTCGGAGTGATTTCTTTGAGTCTTAATCTCTTTCAAGTAAGTTTTATATTATGTCTTTATAACAACTATTTTCATATAATATATGCAGGATATTAATATATACGGGATGGTTTAAAAAGCTGGAAACAACAAATTATTTTTGAAAATAGTAGTCCTATGGGAAAATATTTTAGACAAAAGTTGTAGAACGATTAGTTTAAAATCTATTTATTCATCTTATAAGTTTTGAACTGGGTCGTCAAGATCAAGGTTACCTTAAATTTTTTATACGGAACCTACTTTTTATTGCATATTCTTGCTCATAGTTCATCTTGAGAGATTTTCAAAACACTGTAATTAAGTTACTTTTTATTGAGTATTTTTCGAGTTAGAAAAGTTGAAATAATTTCTTAGTTTTACATAAATTATAAAATATCTCGTAAAATATTTTTCGATAATCTTACCTTAATATTTTTATGCACAAAATAATGGGAGAAATCAATCGATGTAAAGAAAACACATATTTGTTTTTAAGAAAAAATATTTAATTGGCAATTAATAATTACATGCAATATATGTATACTTTACATTAAGATTTTTTTCTATTTTTTCTTCCACTTTCTAGTTAACATTTTTGATTTTGCAAAATATACGCTGTTTATGTATATAAATCATTTCATATCGATTATGTTATATAAATCATTTCATATCGATTCACCGATAAATAAGAAGTTTTATTGTAATATTTTTTTAGAGAACATGAGAAATGATAACGTAAATTTGTTAACAATCTTGTATTGTAGGTTTCTCGGGTTGTTTCATACGGATATGATTTCATAGAGTTGTTAATTCCTCTTGCATTTGTAGTTATCGGTATCTTAAAAATGTTTATCGCCAATTATGTTACACAGAATGTAACGGATCACAACAATGACGTTTTTGCTACTGTGTAAGAAACATTATTTTTGACACATTGATGATATCTCGTATCTTTAAGATTATTTTACAAAATATAGATATGTTAGCGTGTTTTTGTGTAGAAATATATACATATGTTATCTGTACATGATTGAATAGGTATGACGTCCAGTGGCATGTAACACCGTTACAAATACAGAAAGTAATACTCTTTCTACTGCAAAGAGGAGCCAAAGATTTTACTTTAGGTGCCGGTGGATTATTTGTCGGATCGTTAGAATGTTTCACCATGGTAAAGATAATAAATATATTATCAAAATATATTCTCAAAGCTATATATTACAAAATAAACATTACAGCTGGTGAAAACTTCATTCTCTTATTTTACTGTGATATATTCAACGCAATAAAAAGGTAAGAGGATGTTAGATTGTCTTTACAAATTTTGATTTTTCTAAACGATACATAATAAGACATGTCAAATATTATTTTTAACTGTCTAATTTATATTTTACTGTTATTTTTACTATTTGTGAATTTTTAAATTTAAATATTTTATGTCAAATTGAAGTTAGTAATAAATATATATAAATCAACAGTCGATAATTGTAAAATGTCTATTCCTACTGTGCCGATTGTAAATTAGAAGTTTTACATATACCTTGCTTAGGTCGACCCATTTATTAAACAGAATGCACTTTTTATTTTTACCAGATATGTTCAATGTTTTCAATATGAATGATGTTTATCTCAAAGATGTGTACGCCATCAGTATGAACAATAGAATGAAATGTGTAAATTTGTGGTACAAAAAATGTAGCAAATACGCATGTGCGACTTGCGCTCAAATATTCGCCCGATAAATATTTTTCCCTATAGTAAACACCTATTAGAACATTCCTGCTATTATATCGATCGTATAATTAGAGATGTTGCTGCGAAAAATACTGTCATATTATAAATATTCTACTTTTATCACTTTATATAGTTGCATAAAATTACACCAAATTGTGTGAACTTTAGTTGCCCTTCACAAAAATATATGTTAAAATTTATATCACAAAAGAGAAGTAATACAATATTCGCTCGATCAATAAAAGAAGAAAAGGATGAGTAAAGATTCTCTTTGACTTTCTCGCAGTTATTTCTGCTCCGAACGTCGTAAAAAGATGATCAGTTTCACCGCACAGAATTTTAAACTAAACAGAATTCTGTTACTCAGTGTTGGTTTGTGGCCTTTACAACAATCAAATTTAACACGACTTCAGTTTATTTTCATGTCCGTTATTATAACAGCGGGTACTCTATTTCTGGTAAGACAATATTTCATATTTTTATTTGAAATGATGAATCATCACAAATATATCTTTTACAATTAACACAGTACTTAAGAATATCCTAATTTAGGTTATAATAAAATTATTATATAAGCTATTACATAAGCATTACAATACATAGATTATATAATTACGTATCACATCTTAATCTAATGATATACAAGTGTACAAAATGATACCTAGTGCGATAGAGAATTCATAATTTTTAAATCGTTTAAAAAGAATAATTTGTTAATGCAACTTTTTAAGATTATTTCTTACAGCTTACGGCATTTATTACATTAAGATGTACTCCGGACCTCGTCACTGAAATTTTATCTTACGTATGTTTCTATAGTACTTTCGTGATACAGTATAACTTATTTCGTTTTAACATAAAAGATGTAAGTTGATAGTTTATAAAATTGATAACTTATAAGAACTGATAATTCACTAGTTCATAGCTTGATCGTGTGATAAAAAAATTCTGTTTAAATAAAATATATGAAAAAATATAGTTTCTAATACATAATATATACGTATGTACAAACACGCACACGAAATAATATACATAAAGTTGGTGATAAATGACAGATGAAGAATTTCATGATGCAACTACAGAATGTATATAACGGATTAAAAGATAAAAACGAAATCGCTATTATGAAAAAATATAATTACATTGCAAGCCGTTACACAACTGTATTCACAAGTAAGATAATATTTTTAGATTTTTTTTTAGATTTTACATTTTTTTCTATATTTCTCTCTCTTTATTGGACATAAAAATTTTAATTGGAAAGATATCGATAAACATGATAATTGGAAAGATATTGATGTCGATAAACATGATAATTTCTATATTTATAAGTATTATATGTACTTCGCATATTTATATGTATGTAATACGTCACAAGAATTCATTAAATATTTGTTACACATATAAATCGTATAAATAAGTATATGAAATAAAATAAAATATAAAAAATAATATAAAATATAATATGTCCAAAAGACCAAATAGAAAAAAGCCACTGTAAAGTTACAATGTTGTAATTTATGTGAACGACCGATAAAAGTTTCGTTAGAAATTTATACATTAAATTAAAATATACAGAGTGTCCACTTACTTTTGACATTCAAAGTGTGCAGATAAAGCGGGTTAAATAGAATAAAAAAGTTCTTCCGTTTTGTGTTCTTTATTAATTATTGCGAAGATTACAAAACGGTAGAACTTTTTAGAACTGAGTAGAACGTAAGGACTTTTCTATTCACAATAAGTTTAAGACCCTCTATTTGCACATGAAAGTTTCGATGATTATTACGGGTTACCCTGTATATATGTGTGTATATATGTGATATAACATCTACATTAATTTAAAAAAATTATAAAGAAGAAAAAAATCAATACGAAAAAAATTATAAAGAAGAAAGAAATTAATATGATTCTATTTGAATCCACTTAGTAGCGAGCGTTTGCGGCATATTTGGTTATATGCTTATCATATTTTGACCGGATATTATGCATATTATAATACCGACAAATGTAACTCAATCACATCGCTTGCCAGTTCCGATGGACTATTTTGGATCAAGAAAAATATTTCTATTGGATTGTGTTATATCTCAGTATGGGGGTATTCATCGGAACGGTTTCAACGATAGCAATAGGATCTATTCTTATCGCATATATTCAATGTACCTATGGTATGTTTAAAATTTCCAGGTAAGAAATGTACATAGAAATAAATACGAACTTTCGAATTTTAAATAAATTCTATTCCTAACTTGAAGAAATTTAATTATTTTTATGAAGGCAAAAGATATAAAATTAATATAATAATTACAGTTATTAGATGCGCAATGCATATCAATATGCTAAAAAACATTAAATCGAAGAAAGAGAATTCAATATTGGAAGGAATAATTAGTGCCGTAAATATACATCGGCAAGCTATGAAGTTAGTATTTCTATTTCGCGATATACCTATATAATATGACTAATAATAATCCTTTGGTCTTGAAAGATTATCTAAATTTTTGGAGTCCAAAATGGAGACCATGATGTTTTGCTTAATAATGTCCGGAGTACTCTCTCTGAGTCTTAATCTCTTTCGAGTGAGTTTTATATTATGTTTTTATGTCCTCTATTTTCAATCAATATTAATGTTTTACATATTTCATAATATATTTTATCTATATATACTTTATATTATATAGTTTTTCTTTTTTTATTTTTCCTCCTTTCTGTCATCTTCTTGCTAATATCTTTGATTTTGCAAAATATACTTTTATGTATATATAAAGCAATCACACCTATTTATCAATAAATAAGAAGTTTTATTGTAATATTTTTTTAGGCAATATGAGATATGAGTAATATTTTTTTAGAGAATATGAGAAATGATGACGTAAATTTGTTAATCACGATCTTGTATTGTAGGTTTTTCAGATTGTTTCATCCGGATATGATATCCAAGAGTTATTAATGCCTTTTGCATCTGTATCTATCGCTATATTATACATGTTTATAGGTAATTATGCTACGCAGAATGTAACGGATCACAACAATGACGTCTTTGCTACTGTGTAAGAAACATTATTTGATACATTGTATGAAATATCGTATCCTTGAAATTATTCTATTAAATTAAATGTAGATGTGTAGTGTGGTTTTTGTGTAGAAATATATACATATGTTATTTGTACATAATCGTATAGGTATGATGTCGAATGGCATGAAAGACCGTTACATATACAGAAAATAATACTTTTTCTACTGCAAAAAGGAGCCAAAGAGTTTACTTTAGGTGCCGGTGGATTATTTGTCGGATCGTTGGAATGTTTCACCACGGTATAAAGATAATAAATATATTATCAAAATATATATTCAAAGCTACATATTACAAAATAAACATTACAGCTGGTGAAAACTTCATTCTCTTATTTTACTGTGATATATTAACGCAATAATAAGGTAAGAGCAGAAATAGTAAGAAATAAATTATGATCAGGCAAAAATTTAGTTAACTAAACTTGGATATTATTCTTCACAAGTCTTATATTACGTTTAGAAATGTTAAATTTTAATTTCACAGTTTATATTTGTAGAAACATGAAAGCTCTCTGAAGATAAAATGTATTCATACACAAGTAAAAGAAGAGAGAGATACATAGAATACATAGATTACATAGATTACATAGACTACATAGATTCACATAAATTACATAGATTTTTGATGTATTAAAAACTGATTTTTCTCATTTTTCGATTCCAAATATAAGACACTGATATAAATTTACATTATTCCTAATTATATTTATATTATATTTATATTATTTTCATTATTTGCGATATATGTATTACTATATTATTTTTAAAAAAATAATGTATACATTTATATGTATACGTTTGTCAATTTTATCATTTATCTTTTTTTATATTTTAATGGTTTTATAATTGAAGCTCAAAAAATGAGGTGAAAATATTAAAATTTTGGAAATAATTGTCTTCAATAAGAATGTTATTATCTTTAGATATAATGATAATTTGAGTATTTTATGTAAAGATGTTGCAAAAATGTATACTATAAGAGAATCTTGAGAATGACACGTATAAAAATCTTATCTATAATGCATGCTATACAGAGTATTCATTTTAAAACTTTCCGTTTATTTCATGATTGACTATTTTTTGCGAAAAATGTCACAAGATGTCAATTTTGTTTTCGGTATGGAATTTAAATAGGTACATTAAATGCAACGAAATTTTTTCATCTTCTTCGTCGAGATAGCTATATCGTTCAAAAATCATAAATGTCCCGACGAAGGAGATGAAACATTTCCTTGCATTTAAATTCCACCTCGAAAACAAAATTGACGTCTTTCGGCATTTTTCGCAAAAAATTATCGTGAAATATACGAGTAGAAAGTTTTAAAATGAATACTCCGTATATTAAATAACAGATTTGATTAAAATTGTTTTTAAGAATTTTGATTTTTCCTATATGAGATATTTGTATAATGGAAACATATCAGAGATATTATTTTTAAATATCTAATTTAATCTTACCTTTAGCGTTGAAATTTTTAAGTTGAAGCATTTTATAAAAAAAAAAGTAAGCATTTTGTAAAAAAAAAGTAATAAACAAACAAAGCAACAACAATGTAACATGTCGCTATTTATTTTTTAAAATAATTTTTACCGCGATAATTGAGAATTATAAGTTTAACAAATACTATGTATGCACGTCCGATCAATCCTTTTAAACAATATACACTTTTGATCTTTACCAGTTAAATTCAATGTTTCTATTAGTTAATGACACTTGTCTCGAAGATCAGGCGTACGTCAGGAGTGCAGACAATAGAATGAAACGTATAAATTTGTGATACAAAAAATGAAGCAAATACGCATGTGCAACTTTCGCGCAAGTAATTTCCTCGATAGATATTTTCTCCTATTTTCTTATGGTAAACACCCACTGGAACATCTCTATTATATCGATCGTATAATTAGGGACATTATTGTGAAAAACACCGTTACATTATAAATTTTACTTTTACTTTATATAGTTGCACAAAATTACACAAAATTATGTGAAATTTTATGCTAAAATTTACATCGGAAAAGAAAAGTAATAAAATACTTGATCACTCAATGGAAATTCAAAGGGATAGTGAAGATTCCCTCTGACTTTCTTATAACTATTTGTGCTTTGAACGTCGTAAAAAGATGATCGGTTTTGTGGCACAGAATTTTGAATTAAACAGAATTCTGTTACTCATTGTGGGTTTGTGGCCTTTACAACAATCGAATTTAACACGACTGCAGTTTATTTTCATGTCCGCTTTTATGACAGCGGATATTATATTTATAGTAAGACGTTATTTTATACTTTATTTGATATAATAAATCATCTCAAGTTAATCTTTTATAAATGAGCACAGTATTCAAAATATCTTAATTTGGAATGTTATGAAATTATGATATAAGCTGTACTAAAATATATAGAGTATATAATTACAATTACGTATCACATCTTAGGCGAATCATATACAAATGTACAAAATGATACTTAGTGCGATATAGAATTTATAATTTGTCAATTGTTTTAAAAGAATAATTTGTTGGAGCATAATTGTAATAAAAATATTTCTTACAGCTTATGACATTTATTACATTTAAATGTACTCCAGATCTTATTATTGAAATTTTATCTTATGCATGTTTATGTAGTATTGTTGCGATACAGTATAACTTATTTTATTTTAACATAAAAGCTGTAAGTTGATAGTTTATAAAATTAATAGCTTATAAAAACTAATAATTCACATATGAAGAAATATAGTTTCTAATATATAATATACCAACACTCACAAGCAATATACATAAAGTTGGTGATAAATGACAGATGAAGGATTTATTGATACAACTTCAGGATGTATGTAACGAATTAAAAGATAAAAACGAAATTGCTATTATGAAAGAATATGGTTATATTGCAAGCTGTTACACAACTGCATTTACAAGTATGATAATATTTTTAGATTTTTTTACATTTATCTATATTTTCCTCTCTCTTTTTCTTTCTTTCTCTCTGTCTTTATTGCACATACAAATTTTAATTTTTGGGAAAGAAATTGATATCGATAGACATTATAATAATAATTTCTTAAATTTGTGTATGTGTTATATGTATTTCGCATATTTACATGTATGTATACATCACAAGAGTTCATTAAAATATTTGTCACATATGCAAATCTATAAAAAATAATATAAAATATAATATGTCCAAGAAATCAAATAGAAAAAAGGTATTGTAAAGTTACAATAGTTATAACTTATGTGAATATCTACTTATAAAATTTCGTTAGAAATTTATATATTAAATTAAATTATATAAATGTTAAATTATATATATGTAAAAATATATATATGTATAAATATATATATGTATAAATATATATATGTATATATATATATATATATATATATATATATATATATCTCATATAACACCTAAATTAATTTTAAAAAAATTTGCAACTGAACTTAATACAATTCTACTTGAATTCTTTTAGTAGCAACCGTTTGTGGCTTGTTTGGTTATATTCTTATGATATTTTGGCCGGATATTATGCATATTATATTACCAAATGTAACTCAATCACATCAACTGCCGTTTAAAATGGAATATTTTATCGATCAAGAAAAATATTTCTATTGGATTGCGTTATATGTCGTAGTAGCAACATGTATCGGGATGACTTCAATGATAGGAATAGGATCTATCCTTATCATGTATCTTCAATGTACCTGTGGCATGTTTAGAATTTCCCGGTAAGAAACAAATGTAGAAAAAATACATAATTTTGAATTTTAAACAAAATTCTATTTCTCCCTTGAATATAATACTTATTTTTACAAAGGAAATTATTACAAAGGTAAAAGATATGAAAGTAGTAAAAAAAATTAAAATAGATATTAAAGATATTAAAGATATTAAAAGATATTATTATAGTATATATATTACAGTTATCGTATTAGATGCGCAGTGCATATTAATATGCTAGAAAACATTAAATCGAGAAAAGACATTTTAATATTAGAAGGAATAATTAGTGCCATAAATATACATCAGCAAGCTATGAAGTTAGTATTTTTATTCCGTGATATATATATATATATATATATATATATATATATATATAATATGACTAATAATAATACTTTGGTCTTGAAAGATTATCCAAACTTTTGACGTCTGAAATTGAGACAATGATGTGCTGCTTAATAGTACTCGGAGTGATTTCTTTGAGTCTTAATCTCTTTCAAGTAAGTTTTATATTATGTCTTTATAACTACTATTTTCAAATTATATATACGGGATATTAATATATACGGGATAGTTTAAAAGTCTGGAAACAACAAATTATTTTTGAAAATAGTAGTCCTATGGGAAAATATTTTAGACAAAAGTTGTAGAACGATTAGCTAAAATCTATTTATTGATCTTATAAGTTTGCCTTTAGATTGCGTCGCTAAGATCAGGGCAAGGTTAACTTAAATTTTTTATACGGAATCTACTTTTTATTGCATATTCTTGCTCAGTTCATCTTGAGAGATTTTCAAAACACTGTTATTAAGTTATTTTTTTATTAAGTATTTTTTGTGTTATAAAAGTTGAAATAATTTCTTAATTTTACATAAATTATAAAATATCTCGTAAAATATTTATTTTCGATAATCTTACCTTAATATTTTTATGCACAAAATAATGAGAGAAATCAATCCATGTAAAGAAAACATATTTGTTTTTAAGAAAATATATTTAATTGGCAATTAATTACATGCAACATATGTATACTTTATATTAAGATTTTTTTCTTTTTTTTCCCACTTTCTAGTTAATATTTTTGATTTTGCAAAATATACGATGTTTATGTATATATAAATCAATTCATATCCATTCACCGATAAATAAGAAATTTTATTGTAATATTTTTTTAGAAAACATGATAAATGATAACGTAAATTTGTTAACGATCTTGTATTGTAGGTTTCTCGGGTTGTTTCATACGGATATGATATCAAAGAGTTGTTAATTCCTTTTGCATTTATAGCTATCGGTATCTTATACATGTTTATCAGCAATTATGTTACACAGAATGTAACGGATCACAACAATGACATTTTTGCTACTGTGTAAGAAACATTATTTTTGACACATTGATGATATCTCGTATCTTTAAAATTATTTTACAAAATATAGATATGTTAGCGTGTTTTTGTAGAAATATATACATATGTTATCTGTACATGATTGAATAGATATGACGTCCAGTGGCATGTAACACCGTTACATATACAGAAAGTAATACTGTTTCTACTGCAAAGAGGAGCCAAAGATTTTACTTTAGGTGCCGGTGGATTATTTGTCGGATCGTTAGAATGTTTCACCATGGTAAAGATAACAAATATATTATCAAAATATATTCTCAAAGCTATATATTACAAAATAAACATTACAGCTGGTGAAAACTTCATTCTCTTATTTTACTGTGATATATTCAACGCAATAATAAGGTAAGAGGATGTTAGATTGTCTTTAAAAATTTCGATTTTTCTTATAAACGATACATAATAAGACATGTCAAATATTATTTTTAACTGTCTAATTTATATTTTACTGTTATCTTTACTATTTGTGAATTTTTATATTTAAGTATTTTTTGTCAAATTGAAGTTAGTAATAAATATATATAAATCAACAGTCGATAATTGTAAAATGTCTATTGCTATTGCCGATTGTAAATTAGAAGTTTTACATATACCTTGCTAGGTCGACCCATTTATTAAACAGTATGCACTTTTTATTTTTACCAGATATGTTCAATGTTTTCAATATGAATGATGTTTATCTCAAAGATGTGTACGCCATGAGTATGAGCAATAGAATGTGTAAATTTGTGGTATAAAAAATATAGCAAATACGCATGTGCGACTTGCGCTCAAATATTCGCCCGATAAATATTTTTTCCTATAGTAAACACCTATTAGAACATCCCTGCTATTATATCGATCGTATAATTAGAGATGTTGCTGCGAAAAATACTGTCATATTATAAATATTCTACTTTTATCACTTTATATAGTTGCATAAAATTACACCAAATTGTGTGAACTTTAGTTGCCCTTCACAAAAATATATGTTAAAATTTATATCACAAAAGAGAAGTAATACAATATTCGCTCGATCAATAAAAGAAGAAAAGGATGAGTAAAGATTCTCTTTGACTTTCTCGCAGTTATTTCTGCTCCGAACGTCGTAAAAAGATGATCAGTTTCACCGCACAGAATTTTAAACTAAACAGAATTCTGTTACTCAGTGTTGGTTTGTGGCCTTTACAACAATCAAATTTAACACGACTTCAGTTTATTTTCATGTCCGTTATTATAACAGCGGGTACTCTATTTCTGGTAAGACAATATTTCATATTTTTATTTGAAATGATGAATCATCACAAATATATCTTTTACAATTAACACAGTACTTAAGAATATCCTAATTTAGGTTATAATAAAATTATTATATAAGCTATTACATAAGCATTACAATACATAGATTATATAATTACGTATCACATCTTAATCTAATGATATACAAGTGTACAAAATGATACCTAGTGCGATAGAGAATTCATAATTTTTAAATCGTTTAAAAAGAATAATTTGTTAATGCAACTTTTTAAGATTATTTCTTACAGCTTACGGCATTTATTACATTAAGATGTACTCCGGACCTCGTCACTGAAATTTTATCTTACGTATGTTTCTATAGTACTTTCGTGATACAGTATAACTTATTTCGTTTTAACATAAAAGATGTAAGTTGATAGTTTATAAAATTGATAACTTATAAGAACTGATAATTCACTAGTTCATAGCTTGATCGTGTGATAAAAAAATTCTGTTTAAATAAAATATATGAAAAAATATAGTTTCTAATACATAATATATACGTATGTACAAACACGCACACGAAATAATATACATAAAGTTGGTGATAAATGACAGATGAAGAATTTCATGATGCAACTACAGAATGTATATAACGGATTAAAAGATAAAAACGAAATCGCTATTATGAAAAAATATAATTACATTGCAAGCCGTTACACAACTGTATTCACAAGTAAGATAATATTTTTAGATTTTTTTTTAGATTTTACATTTTTTTCTATATTTCTCTCTCTTTATTGGACATAAAAATTTTAATTGGAAAGATATCGATAAACATGATAATTGGAAAGATATTGATGTCGATAAACATGATAATTTCTATATTTATAAGTATTATATGTACTTCGCATATTTATATGTATGTAATACGTCACAAGAATTCATTAAATATTTGTTACACATATAAATCGTATAAATAAGTATATGAAATAAAATAAAATATAAAAAATAATATAAAATATAATATGTCCAAAAGACCAAATAGAAAAAAGCCACTGTAAAGTTACAATGTTGTAATTTATGTGAACGACCGATAAAAGTTTCGTTAGAAATTTATACATTAAATTAAAATATACAGAGTGTCCACTTACTTTTGACATTCAAAGTGTGCAGATAAAGCGGGTTAAATAGAATAAAAAAGTTCTTCCGTTTTGTGTTCTTTATTAATTATTGCGAAGATTACAAAACGGTAGAACTTTTTAGAACTGAGTAGAACGTAAGGACTTTTCTATTCACAATAAGTTTAAGACCCTCTATTTGCACATGAAAGTTTCGATGATTATTACGGGTTACCCTGTATATATGTGTGTATATATGTGATATAACATCTACATTAATTTAAAAAAATTATAAAGAAGAAAAAAATCAATACGAAAAAAATTATAAAGAAGAAAGAAATTAATATGATTCTATTTGAATCCACTTAGTAGCGAGCGTTTGCGGCATATTTGGTTATATGCTTATCATATTTTGACCGGATATTATGCATATTATAATACCGACAAATGTAACTCAATCACATCGCTTGCCAGTTCCGATGGACTATTTTGGATCAAGAAAAATATTTCTATTGGATTGTGTTATATCTCAGTATGGGGGTATTCATCGGAACGGTTTCAACGATAGCAATAGGATCTATTCTTATCGCATATATTCAATGTACCTATGGTATGTTTAAAATTTCCAGGTAAGAAATGTACATAGAAATAAATACGAACTTTCGAATTTTAAATAAATTCTATTCCTAACTTGAAGAAATTTAATTATTTTTATGAAGGCAAAAGATATAAAATTAATATAATAATTACAGTTATTAGATGCGCAATGCATATCAATATGCTAAAAAACATTAAATCGAAGAAAGAGAATTCAATATTGGAAGGAATAATTAGTGCCGTAAATATACATCGGCAAGCTATGAAGTTAGTATTTCTATTTCGCGATATACCTATATAATATGACTAATAATAATCCTTTGGTCTTGAAAGATTATCTAAATTTTTGGAGTCCAAAATGGAGACCATGATGTTTTGCTTAATAATGTCCGGAGTACTCTCTCTGAGTCTTAATCTCTTTCGAGTGAGTTTTATATTATGTTTTTATGTCCTCTATTTTCAATCAATATTAATGTTTTACATATTTCATAATATATTTTATCTATATATACTTTATATTATATAGTTTTTCTTTTTTTATTTTTCCTCCTTTCTGTCATCTTCTTGCTAATATCTTTGATTTTGCAAAATATACTTTTATGTATATATAAAGCAATCACACCTATTTATCAATAAATAAGAAGTTTTATTGTAATATTTTTTTAGGCAATATGAGATATGAGTAATATTTTTTTAGAGAATATGAGAAATGATGACGTAAATTTGTTAATCACGATCTTGTATTGTAGGTTTTTCAGATTGTTTCATCCGGATATGATATCCAAGAGTTATTAATGCCTTTTGCATCTGTATCTATCGCTATATTATACATGTTTATAGGTAATTATGCTACGCAGAATGTAACGGATCACAACAATGACGTCTTTGCTACTGTGTAAGAAACATTATTTGATACATTGTATGAAATATCGTATCCTTGAAATTATTCTATTAAATTAAATGTAGATGTGTAGTGTGGTTTTTGTGTAGAAATATATACATATGTTATTTGTACATAATCGTATAGGTATGATGTCGAATGGCATGAAAGACCGTTACATATACAGAAAATAATACTTTTTCTACTGCAAAAAGGAGCCAAAGAGTTTACTTTAGGTGCCGGTGGATTATTTGTCGGATCGTTGGAATGTTTCACCACGGTATAAAGATAATAAATATATTATCAAAATATATATTCAAAGCTACATATTACAAAATAAACATTACAGCTGGTGAAAACTTCATTCTCTTATTTTACTGTGATATATTAACGCAATAATAAGGTAAGAACAGAAATAGTAAGAAATAAATTATGATCAGGCAAAAATTTAGTTAACTAAACTTGGATATTATTCTTCACAAGTCTTATATTACGTTTAGAAATGTTAAATTTTAATTTCACAGTTTATATTTGTAGAAACATGAAAGCTCTCTGAAGATAAAATGTATTCATACACAAGTAAAAGAAGAGAGAAATACATAGAATACATAGATTACATAGATTACATAGACTACATAGATTCACATAAATTACATAGATTTTTGATGCATTAAAAACTGATTTTTCTCATTTTTCGATTCTAAATATAAGACACTGATATAAATTTACATTATTCTCAATTATATTTATATTATATTTATATTATTTTCATTATTTGCGATATATGTATTACTATATTATTTTTAAAAAAATAATGTATACATTTATATGTATACGTTTGTCAATTTTATCATTTATCTTTTTTATATTTTAATGGTTTTATAATTGAAGCTCAAAAAATGAGGTGAAAATATTAAAATTTTGGAAATAATATTGTCTTCAATAAGAATGTTATTATCTTTAGATATAATGATAATTTGAGTATTTTATGTAAAGATGTTGCAAAAATGTATACTATAAGAGAATCTTGAGAATGACACGTATAAAAATCTTATCTTTTATGCATGCTATACAGAGTACTCATTTTAAAACTTTCCGTTTATTTCATGATTGACTATTTTTTGCGAAAAATGTCACAAGACGTCAATTTTGTTTTCGGTATGGAATTTAAATAGGTACATTAAATGCAACGAAATTTTTTCATATTCTTCGTTGAGATAGCCATGTCGTTCAAAAATCATAAATGTCCCGACGAAGGAGATGAAACATTTCCTTGCATTTAAATTCCACCTCGAAAACAAAATTGACGTCTTTCGGCATTTTTCGCAAAAAATTATCGTGAAATAAACGAGTAGAAAGTTTTAAAATGAATACTCCGTATATTAAATAACAGATTCGATTAATATTGTTTTTAGGAATTTCGATTTTTCGTATATGAGGTATTTATATAATGAAAACATATCAGAGATATTATTTTTAAATATCTAATTTATTCTTACCGTTCTTAGCATTCAAATTTTTAAGTCGAAGCATTTTATAAAAAAAAGTAAGCATTTTATAAAAAAAAGTAATAAACAAACAAAGCAACAGCAATGTAACATGTCACTATTTATTTTTTAAAATAATTTTTACCGCTAATTGATAATTATAAGTTTATCAAATACTATGTATGCACGTCCGATCAATCCTTAAACAATATACACTTTTGATCTTTGCCAGTTAAATTCAATGTTTCTATTAGTTAATGACACTTGTCTCGAAGATCAGGCGTACGTCAGGAGTGCAGACAATAGAATGAAACGTATAAATTTGTGATACAAAAAAATGTAGCGAATACGCATGTGCAACTTTCGCGCAAGTAATTTCCTCGATAGATATTTTCTCCCATTTTCTTATAGTAAACACCCGCTGGAACATCTCTATTATATCGATCGTATAATTAGGGACATTATTGCGAAAAACACCGTTACATTATAAATTTTACTTTTACGTTATATAGTTGCACAAAATTACACAAAATTATGTGAAATTTTATGCTAAAATTTACATCGGAAAAGAAAAGTAATAAAATACTTGATCACTCAATGGAAATTCAAAGGGATAGTGAAGATTCCCTCTGACTTTCTCATAACTATTTGTGCTTTGAACGTCGTAAAAAGATGATCGATTTTGTGGCACAGAATATTGAATTAAACAGAATTCTATTACTCATTGTGGGTTTGTGGCCTTTACAACAATCGAATTTAACACGACTGCAGTTTATTTTCATGTCCGCTATTATGACAGGGAGTATTACATTTCTGGTAAGACGTTATTTTATACTTTATTTGATATAATAAATCATCGCAAGTTTAATCTTTTATAAATGAGCACAGTATTCAAAATATCTTAATTTGGAATGTTATGAAATTATGATATAAGCTGTATTAAAATATATAGAGTATATAATTACAATTACGTATCACATCTTAGGCGAATCATATACAAATGTACAAAAGGATATCTAGTGCGATATAGAATTTATAATTTGTCAATCGTTTTAAAAGAATAATTTGTTAGAGCATAATTTTAATAAAAATATTTCTTACAGCTTATGACATTTATTACATTTAAATGTACTCCAGATCTTATTATTGATATTTTATCTTATGCATGTTTATGTAGCATTGTTGCGATACAGTATAACTTATTTTATTTTAATATAAAAGCTGTAAGTTGATAGTTTATAAAATTAATAGCTTAAAAAAACTAATAATTCACATATATAAAAAAATATAGTTTCTAATATATAATATATACATATATATACCAACACTCACAAACAATATACATAAAGTTGGTGATAAATGACAGATGAAGGATTTATTGATACAACTTCAGTATATATGTAACGGATTAAGAGATAAAAACGAAATCGCTATTATGAAAAAATATAATTACATTGCAAGCCGTTACACAACTGCATTCACAAGTAAGATAATATTTTTAGATTTTTTTATATTTATTTATATTTTCCTCTCTCTTTTTCTTTCTTTCTCTCTGTCTTTATTGCACATACAAATTTTAATGGGAAAGAAATTGATATCGATAGACATTTTAATAATAATTTTTTAAATTAGTGTATGTGTTATATGTATTTTGCATATTTACATGTATGTAATACATCACAAGATATATATAAAAAATAATATAAAATATAATATGTCCAAGAAATCAAATAGAAGAAAGGTATTGTAAAGTTACAGTAGTTATAACTTATGTGAATATCTACTTATAAAATTTCGTTAGAAATTTATATATTAAATTAAATTATATAAATGTTATATGTAAAATATATATATGTATATATATATATATATATATATATATATATATATGTGTGATATAACACCTAAATTAATTTTAAAAAAATTTGCAACAGAAATTAATACAATTCTACTTGAATTCTTTTAGTAACAATCGTTTCTACCATGTTTGGTTATATACTTATGATATTTTGGCCGGATATTATGCATATTATATTACCAAATATAACTCAAACACATCAACTGCCGATTAAAATGGAATATTTTATCGATCAAGAAAAATATTTCTTTTGGATTGCGTTATACATCGGTGTGGAACTATATCTCGGGATTACTTCATTCATAGGAATAGGATCTTTCCTTATCATGTATATTCAATGTATCTGTGGCATGTTTAGAATTTCCAGGTAAAAAACAAACGTAGGAAAAATACAAAATTTTGAATTTGAAACAATTCTTAAATTCTTAAATTCTATTCCTATTTTGAATATAATACTTATTTTTACAAAGGTAAAAGATATAAAAATAGTATTAAATATTAAAATAGATATTAAAGATATTAATGATATTAAAGATATTAAAAGATATTATTATAGTATATATATATATATATATATATATATATATACTATAATTATATATATATATATATATATATATATATATACTATATATATATATATATATATATATACTATAATAATATCTTTTAATATCTTTAATATCATTAATATCTTTAATATCTATTTTGTATCTATTTTATATCTATTTTGTATCTATTTGTATCTATTTATATATTTATATATATATATATATATATATATATATATATTACAGTTATCATATTAGATGCGCAGTGCATATTAATATGCTAGAAAACATTAAATCGAGAAAAGAGAATTTAATATTAGAAGGAATAATTAGTGCCATAAATATACATCGACAAGCTTTGAAGTTAGTATTTTTATTCCGTGTTATACATGTATAATATGACTAATAATAATACTTTGGTCTTGAAAGATTATCCAAACTTTTGATGTTTAAACTTGAGACAATGATGTTCTGCTTAATAGTATTCCATGTGATTTCTTTGAGTCTTAATCTCTTTCAAGTAAGTTCTATATTATGTCTTTATAACTACTATTTTCAAATAATATATACGGGATAATAATATATACGGGATGGTTTAAAAGTCTGGAAACAACAAATTATTTTTGAAAATGGTAGTCCTATGGGAAAATATTTTAGTCAAAAGTTGTAGAACGATTAGTTTAAAATCTATTTATTGATCTTATAAGTTTGACTTTGAACTGGGTCGCCAAGATCAAGGTTACCTTAAATTTTTTATACGGAACTTACTTTTTATTGCATATTCTTGCTCATAGTTCAGCTTGAGAGATTTTCAAAACACTGTAATTAAATTATTTTTTATTGAGTATTTTATTGAGTATTTTTGAGTTATAAAAGTTGAAATAATTTCTTAATTTTACATAAATTATAAAATATCTCGTAAAATATTTATTTTTCGATAATCTTATCTTATATTAATATTTTTATGCACAAAATAATGGGAGAAATCAATCGATGTAAAGAAAACACATATTTCTTTTTAAGAAAAAATATTTAATTGGCAATTAATAATTACATGCAACATATGTATACTTTATATTAAGATTTTTTTCTTTTTTTTCTCCCACTTTCTAGTTAATATTTTTGATTTTGCAAAATATACGATGTTCATATAAATCAATTCATATCCATTCACCGATAAATAAGCAGTTTTATTGTAATATTTTTTTAGAGAACACGAGAAATGATAACGTAAATTTGTTAACGATCTTTTATTGTAGGTTTCTCATGTTTCATTCGGATATGATATAAAAGAGTTGTTAATTCCTTGTACATTTATAATTATCAATATCTTATACATGTTTATCAGCAATTATGTTACACAGAATGTAACGGATCACAACAATGACGTTTTTGCTACTGTGTAAGAAACATTATTTTTGACATATTGATGATATTTCGTATCTTTAAGATTATTTTACAAAATATAAATATGTTAGCGTGTTTTTGTGTAGAAATATATACATATATTATCTGTACATGATTGAATAGGTATGACGTCCAGTGGCATGTAACACCGTTACATATACAGAAAGTAATACTGTTTCTACTGCAAAGAGGAACCAAAGATTTTACTTTAAGTGTCTGTGGATTATTTGTCGGATCGTTAGAATGTTTTACCATGGTAAAGATAATAAATATATTATCAAAATATATTCTCAAAGCTATATATTACAAAATAAACATTACAGCTGATGAAAACTTCATTCTCTTATTTTACTGTGATATATTCAACGCAAGAATAAGGTATGAGAAAAAATAATAACAAATAAATTATAATCTTGCAAAAATCTAGTTAACTAAAATTGGACATTATATTCTTCACAAACCTTATATTACATTCAAAAAAATTAAATTTTAATTCCATAGTTTGTACTTGTTGAAACATAAGATCTCTTTGAAGATGAAATGTATTCACACACAATTAAAAAAAGAGAGAAGTATATAGAATACACAGATTACATCGACTATATAGATACATTCGCTTAAATTACACAGATTTTCAATGCATCAAAAATTGATCTTTTTCATTTTTCGATAAATTTGAGATATAAAATACTAATACAAATTCATTTCAATTTACATTTTCAATTATTCTTAATTATATTTTTATTATTTATGACACATGTGTTATTTTTAAATAAATAATGTATACCTTGATAATTTTTGAGTCTATTTTTTAAATATTTTAATGGTTTTATAATTGAAGCACTAAAATAATGCAAAAAAACAATTTTGGAAATAATACTGTTTTGAGTAAGAATATTAATATCTTTAGATTTAACGATAATTTAAGTATTTTATATAAAGATGAAATGTTGCAAAACGTATGTAAAAATTTATTATAACATAATCTTAAATAACACACGTACAAAAATTTTATCTATTACACATGCTATATATATTTAATAACAGATTCGATTAACATTATCTTTAAGAATTTCGATTTTTTGTATATTGTATAATGAAGACAAATCAGATATCATCTGTGAAGTTTAAGCATTAAAAACAAAATTTTTTTTTTAATTTTTTTAAATTAAATTGAAATAAATAATAAACATATAAAGCAACAATTGATAATTGTAACATGTTATTATTTAGTTTTTAAAATAACTTTTCCACGCTAATTGATAATTAGAAATTTAACAAATACCGTACGAACAAATCTGACCGACTCTTTTAAACAGTATAAGCATTTGATTTTTGCCAGAAAAGTTTGTTTCTCAATATTGTGATCCTCGTTTCGAAAATCATACGTACATCATGAGTACGAACAATAGAAATGTGTAATTTTGCGTACAAAAAAGTAGCTAATACATATGTGCGACTATCATGCAGGAAATTTTCGCTCGATCAATATTTTTTCCTATAATAAACACCCTCGTTGAAATATCTCCGCTATTTTATCGATTGCATAATTAAAAACTTTATCGCGAGAAACACTTAAAAATTGTAAATATTTTACTCTTACCGCGTCGAATCTTTGCGTCGGCTTGTCTTATATGAAATAATAATAAATTTACATTGAAAGAGAAAAGTAATAGATAGACAGATAGATTGTCTGATTTTTTCAAAAATGCCGGGTATTGTTAGAATTTGCTGATTTACACAGCACCCATTAACAATGTCGAGATACTTCGTCAACGTGTTGAATAAGGTTATCAGCAAATTTGAGCAATACCCGGAATTTTTGAAAAAGTCAGGCAATCTATGAGACGTGTTGAAGCATGTATTCAAGTAAGAGATGGTCATTTCTGGTAAGCTTAACCATGTTAATTTTATTGGTAAAATAAAACTATTGGTGAAGGTTGTAACTCTCAGAAATAAGATCATATCAGACTTGTGTTATATAAACTTTTTTTCTTATTTTTGTCCTGAATCTATCATTGCAATACTTTCCACTTATTAGGAAACACTCTGTATAAATATTATGTGTATATAAATTACATGCCTAAGTAAATTAAAATTTTTTTAAAATTATTTAAGGTATTTTTCTAAATTTAAAAAATTTTACAACACCCCTAAATAAATTTAAAAAATTTAGCAACAAAAATTAATACGACGATTTAATATTAGAATCCTTTTAATAACGGGCGTTTGCAGCGTTTTTGCTTTTACGATCATTTTACTTTCATTAAATATTTTCCATATTATATTACTGATAAATGTAACTCAATTACATTACCTTCCGTTTAAGATGGAATTCTTTATCGATCAAAAAAAAAAAAATTCCATTGGATTTTGTTATACGTCAGTGTGGCAGTATGCATTAGTGTGGCAGTATGCATCAAGATAATTGAAACAATAACAGCAGAATCCATCGTTATCATGTACATATGTTTAATGTATCTGTGATATGTTTAGAATTTCCAGATTAAAAACATACACAGAAATAAATAGTATAGAAATAAAATTAATTTGACAAAAATTTAGTTAACTCTAATTTGGAATATTTCTTTATTAAAATCTTTTTTTTTATTATATTTAAAAGAGTTAAATGTTTTAATCTCATAGTTTATATTTGAAGAGAGAGATATATTTTATAATGAATAGGTTTCATATATACGAAAGAAATATCCAGATTTTGAAAATAATACAGTCTTCAGTAAGAATCTCATTACTTATACATACAATTTAATAATTTTTATGTATATATGCAATGCTATAACAGAATCTCTTAAAAATGACATATAAATTATTATTTATTATGTACATACATACATACATACATATATATATATATATATATATATATATATATATATGTACATACACACACACACACACACACACACACACACACACACACATATATATTATATACATATATATCAATAAGATAATCAATAGATTTGATTAATATTAAATTGTTTCAATAATTTCGATTGTTTGTATTAGCTTGTAGCTTTCGTTTATGCGATGTTTAATGAGATAATGATATCAAATGTAATTTTTATACTAATTTATTCTCATTATTACGGTCTATGAATTATTTAGTTTAAGTATTTCGTTGATCAAAATGATATAAGAGAGTAATAAAGATTTTTATAAAATATACAAATATACAAAGTAAAAATTGATTATTGTATTATGTTAGTATTTAAAAAGATAACTTTTATCACACTAATTTGTAATTAAGAGTTTAACATATCATATATAGATCTGATCGATTTTTTTAAATAATATGAACTTTACTAAAAAAGCACGATGTTTTCCATAGTAAACGACATTTACTTAAAGAAAATGTACAAGTGTACATCACGAGAGCGGACAACTGACAATGAGTGAAAGGTGTAAATTTATGATACAAAGAAAGTACCAAATACGCATGTGCGACTTTCGCGCAAGTAATTTGCTCGATAAATATTCACTCCCTTATTTTCTTATACCTCTATTATAAGTATTACTCTTATTTCTTATTTTCTTAAACATTCGCTCAAACATCTCCACTATTACATCGATTGCATAATTAGGACATTATTGTGAGAAATAATATTAAATTGCAAATATTTTACTTTTATCGCATCGTATATTCGCTTTGGCTTACGTTATATGAAATTATGGAATTTATGTTAAAATTTACATCGGAATAAAAAAATAATAAAATATCTGATCGATTAATGAAAAAAGAAAAAATAAGGGAATACTTCCGCGGCGATTTTCATGCGGTTATTTGAGCTCTAAATATCACAAAGAAATGATCGGTCTCGAGACTTATAATTTTAAACTAAATAGAATTCTATTACTCATTATTGGCTTGTGGCCTCTACAACAATCGAATTTAACTCGACTTCAGTTTGTTTTTATGTCTACTTTTCTGATGACAAGTATTATGTTTCAGGTAAGTCATTATTTCATATCTTGATATGATAAGACATCACAAATTAATCTTTTAGAACCAGCGCATAACTTAAGAATATCTTAATTTAGATTAATAAAGTGATAAATTATAATACGTATAGTACATATAATTACGTATTTCATTTTAATTCAATTATTTTATATATTAATATATGAAATGACATCTTTTAGTGTGACACAGATTTTATAGTTATTTTGCTTTAAAAAAAGTAACTTCTTAACGGAAATTTATAATAGATTATGTTACTTGCAGCTTACAACTTTCTTAACATCAAAATGTACGCCAGACTTTGTCGCTAAGATTCTGTCTTCCACATCTTTTTTTAGTTTAATCGCGATAAATTATAACTTATTTTATCTCAACATGAAACCTGTAAGTTGATAGCTTATGAGATTTGTAATTTATAAGAAATGATAGTTCACAAGTTAAGTAGTTTGATCGCGTAGGATGATTTGTCGAGTAAAATTAAATAAAATAATTTTTAAAATTATATATATATATATATATATATATTTATATAAAATATAATAATATATATACATATATATATATATATATATATATATATATAAACATATAAAAATAATTTACACAACTTTGTTGAAATGATAGGTGAAAAATTTATTGGTACAACTTCAAAATATATGTAACGGATTAAAAGATGAGAACGAAATCGCTATCATGAAAGAATATAGTTGCAATGCGAAACGTTTCACGATTGTACTGACAAGTAAGAGAATATTTAAAAAATTTTTAAAAATATCTATATTTCTATTTGACAAGTAAGTTATAAAAGTTTCAATGAAAGTGAATTTGACTTCGATAGATTATATTGTAACAATTTCTCTGCATATTTATGTATAAGTATAATACATTAGACAATTTTATTAAAACATTTGTCACATATACAAACATATACAAACTAATATCAAATATGACGAAAAAAGTCAAATAAAAAAAATGAAATTATATGAATAATTATAATATAATTATATAATATATAAAATAAATATAATTATATATGAATAAAATTGATTATAATTTACTTAATTTATTTAGAAATACGTACATTAAATTTAGTTATATAAATGTTTTATATATATATATATATATATATATATATATATATATATATATATGAGACATAATGATACTTCAATCAATTTAAAAGACTCTGCGAGAGAAATTAATACAATAATAATATATTTTAATCTCTTTAGTACTTGGCGGTTTTAACATATTTGTAATTATTGTCGCTGCAAATTGGTCAAGTATATTCTATATTATACATCCGATAAACATAACACAATCACATCGCTTGCCGATTACAGTGGAATATTTTGTCGATCAAGAAAAGTATTTCTATTTGATGCTGATACATATCATCGTATCATTGTGCATTGGGACAATTGTAATGATAGCAGTAGGGACAATGCTTCTTGTATGTTTTCAATATACCTGTGGTCTGTTTAGAATTTGCAGGTAAAAGACAAACATAGAAATAAATAAAATTTCGGATTTAAACAACAGTCCATTATTATCTTAAACAAATCAGTGTTTATTTGACAAAAAAGAAATACGGATACATATTTTAATTACAGTTATCGTATTAAACATGCAGTGCACGTCAATTCATTAGAAAATATTAAACTGAAAAAAGGAAATTCAATGTTGAAAGGAATAATTAGCGCCGTAGATATACATCAGCAAGCTATAAAGTTAGTATTTCTATCTTATGATATCTTCTATCTTATGATACATATAAGTATAAAATATATATGTCTAATAAAATACTTTGATCTTGATAGTTTATGCGGACTTTTGGAATCCAACATTGAGATAATGTTGTTTTGTTTAATATTGAACACAGTAATCACTTTGAGTCTTAACTTCTTTCGAGTAAGTTTCAAATTATTTTATATTTATTATTTATATTTAAACAATACTTGATATCATGAAACATAGTAATCTCGGAATAGCGAGGCATCCCATGTACAATATTTATGTATACGTGTTGGATACGTGTTGAAAATATTTTAAATTCTTTATAACAACTGAATTCCTAATGCATTCTTAGTTAACAATTTAGGTCTCAATTATATAAAAAATGTGTTTCCATTTTCGCTCTAATCTGTTCTTTATCTAACCTGTTTTATAAATATTATATGATGCAAAATCTTGATATAAATTTTTTTTAAAAGATATTGCCCTTCTCCCTCCCCTCCGGTCATCGCGTAACATATACAGATAATAACACATTGCGTTAGATTTAAAATTTGATAAAATTTGACAGATTTGAGATTTAATTTGAAGATTAGACAAATAAAGAAAAATAAAAGTTTGAAAGTGTAAAAAAGATGATGTATAATTTTCGAGGAATATTTGCAATAATATAATTAATTTTAACGACTTGTTTAGTGGATAAGTAGTAATGTTTGAAATTGCATGTTTGCCTGTTTAGTGGATGAGTAGTAATGTTTGAAATTGCATGTTTAAATGGAAAGTAATGTATCGGCATTTTGATACTTGCGAACCTTTATATTACGCAATATTTAATTATTTTATATTAAGTGTCAAGTTTGGGAACGTTGACTCGAGCATTGATAAATCCCGACAATAATAAAAAGTTAGAAATACATTTTTTAATATTAATCTAAACATACGTAATAAATATTTTTAAATCAAAAATAATTTATGTCATAGATAAAAAAAAAATTTATTTATAAAAAATTTAAAATATTATATATTTTACATTATACGTTTCCTTCGAGATAGCATTTTTTTAAAATAGATTTAATTAAGTAATTACATTTCACATTAATTTTTATAGATCACATCCAAATAATATTTATTTATCATATATAAATCTTCAAAATGCTCTATATAATAAGAGAGTGAATCCATGAAGAAATAACAAGAATTATATATAAAATACATTTGTAAAATTGTTTGAGATTAACAATAGCAAGAACTATATTGTGTAGTATTTTTTTATGGAATAATATAAAATAGATTTAGCATAAGTATCTGCTCTTATTTGGCGCAATTTTTTTATCCTTTTTTATATTCCTTTGAAGAAAAAAAAAATTATTATTACAACAATTAGTTTTCAATAATAAATATTTTTTAAATATAACTCTATTTTGTACAGATTACAAATTAAAATAACGCTATTTCGTAAAAATATTTTATAAATGTAGATTTTATAATAGTTTTATTATAACAGTTTTTTTAATAATATTCGTTTTTCAATTAAAACATACAGTTGGTGTTTTTTTTAGAAAGTAAATTTTTAGTTATTTTATATATGTATATTTTACAGTATGTGTATATATTATTTACTTTATTAAAAAAGACTATATTTTTTCCTTTTTCTCTTTTCCTTCCTTTGTCCATCTTTTCCTTATTGATATCTTTGATTTTGCAAAATATATTAATTTTTTTTATAAAAATCAATTGTAATCGTTTGCGAATTAATACAAACATTCTTATTGTGAGTAATGTTTAGAGAATGTAAGAAATTCAGATGTAAATTCATTACAATAATAATCTTCTATTTTAGATTTTTCAGATTGTATTATCTAGATATGATATTATGGAGATTATATTTCCCTTTCTATTTGTAACTGTCAGTACTATATACATGTTTCTAGCTAATTATATTGGGCAGGATATAACGGATCACAATAATGACATCTTTGTTACTGTGTAAGCAACATTGTGTTTTAGAGAGATTGTATAAAGTTTGCATCTTACAGGATGTTTTTATTAAAATGCAAATGTCAATGTTGTTCCATAGAAATATATGCTATACATGCGTAGGTATGACGTTCAATGGCATGTAGCTCCACTACGTATACAGAAAATGATACTATTTCTACTACAAAGAGGAACAAAAGATTATATCATAAATGTCGGTGGACTGTTTGCCGGATCGTTGCAGAATTTTGCTACGGTAAAAATTATAAATAAATTATTATATAAATACAATCTAGGCAACATATTACAAATAATATTACAGTTGGTGAAATCATCGGTCTCTTATTTTACTGTTATATATTCAACGCAATAATAAAATAAGAAGTGAGAAATAATAATGAATAAATTGTAATCTAGCAAAAATTTAGTTAACCCTTTAGTTAAGCCTTAATATTACAACTATATACTTTTAAAAATTAAAAATAATTTATTATTAATCCTATAGTTGATACCTGAATAGACATAAGAGATTTCCAAAGATATAAATATATTTAATTAAAGATATTACATAGATTTCAATGCCTCAAAAAAACAGAATATTCTGTCTCAAATATAAAATATTAATATATAAATTCATTTATATTTATAATTTTTAAATTTTGTTTTCACTGTTTATATTATTATTATTAATATTTTTATTATTAATATATGAATTGTCATATTACTTCTGAATAAATAATTTATTCATTGTTAATGTTATTATTGCCAAACATTTTTATAGCTTAATATTTATTATAACTTATGGCCAAAGTGCAAAAAAAGCATTCAAGATTTGAAAAATAAAGCTATCTTCAATAAGAATCAAATATTCGTTTTACTATTACATATAAGTTCATAATTTAAAAATCTTATGTATGTAAAGTTAAAAGAGATGATTTTTAAGATGACTATTCTTAAGAGATGATTATTCTTAAATATGATATCTATATAAAATTAGTTTTTATATATGCTTTTTATAAAATATTTGATTAATATTTGATTTTCTTTAAGTATTTCAATTTGTTACATATGCGATTTGTATGCGATATGTTAAGCATTATTTTTAAATGTTCATTTATTCTTGCTGTTAGCGTCTGTAAATTTTTAAGTTTATGCACTTTTTAACATAATAAAGTAAATAATAAATAAAACGACAGTTGATAATTGTAACATTACTATTTAATTTCTAAAATTATAACTTTGATTGCTAACTAGTAGTTCAATACATACTATGCACAGATCCAATCAGTCCTTTTAAACTTTATGTGCTTTTGATTTTTACCAAAAAAGTTCGATGTTTTCAATAGTGAATGGCATTCGTCTCGAAGGCAAGTGTACGTCACGAGTGCAGACAATAGAATGAGACGCGTAAATTTCTCGTATAAAAGAAATAACGATCACGCATGCGTTATTTTCGTAAGCAATTCGCATAATATAATTTCTCTTCTTTTCTTATGGCAAACACCTGTTGGAATTACTTCGCTATTAAATCGATCGCATAAGGACTTTATTTTACGATAAATATTAAACTAAATATTCTATCGTGTACAGCTGCGTCGACTTGTGTTGCACAAAATGATATGAAATTGATGCTAAAATTACAAATTAAAATTACGGAAAAGAAAAATAATAAAATGCTCGATCAATAAGAAAAAAAGAAGATAAGCGAATCGATTCGCTGATTTTCTCGCTTTTATTTGTGCTCCGAATCCCGTAAAGAGATGATCGATCTCGAGACTCAGCATTTTAAACTCAATAGAATTCTATTACTCACTATTGGCTTGTGGCCTTTACAACAATCAAATCTAACTCGATTTCAGTTTATTATCTTTTTTAGTGTTTTGATGACAATTATTATATTTCAGGTAAGATAATACTTTTTATTTTTATATTTTATTTTATTATTTCTACTATATTTTAATAATTATAACATAATAATTTGTTACTATATTGTGCACACGATTTCAAAATATTTTAATAAAATTATAAATTTTTTAAATAATTATTTTAATAAAATTATAAAAAATATTTATATTAACTATATTATAATAATGTAAAATCGTAATTATGCATCACATTTTAATTCAATCATTTTATATACAAATGTTTGAATAAGCATTTAGTTATATAAGATTTATAATCCACGTCGCTTTAAAAGAGCAATTTCTTATATAATGTAAATTTATAATAAAATTATTTCTTTCAGCTTATGTCATTTATTACATTAAGATGTACTTCGGATCTCATCACTAATGTTTTATCTTCAACATGTGTGTTTAGTATTGCCGCGGTAAAATGTATTACATTTTGTTTCAACCTGGAAAATGTAAGTTGAAGCTTATAATGGATAATTGATAGTTAAAAGATGGATGAACGCGTAACAGAAAAAAAATTTTGTCGAGTAAAAAAATCACAAATAATAATTGTCAATACATATTATGGATGTACACGCCAATATAATACATACAAAATTATTAAAATGACAGGTGAAGGATTTATTGGTACAACTTCAGAATTTATATGACGGATTGAAAGATAAAAACGAAATTGCTATTATAAAAAAATATAGTTGCAATGGAAAACGTTACACAACTGCATTTACAAGTAAGATAATATTTTTAAATTTTCATTTGCCTACATTATTAGACATATGAGTATAAGATTGTCAATGGAAAAATATTGATGCCCATATTATATTATTTACTTGTTATTTATTTTATATATATATATATATATATATATATGTGTGTGTGTGTGTGTGGTGTGTGTGTGTGTGTGTGTGTGTGTGTGTGTGTGTGTGTGTGTGTGTGTGTGTGTGTGATGTGTATGTAATTCATATGGGCATATTAAAACATTTTTCATGTATACAAATATATAAAGTACCACATGCGACTAAAAATATCAAATCGGAAAAGAAATTGTAAAGTTACAATTAATTGTAAAATTATAATATTTATTAACGATTAAAATCGATTATAAATGTATTACAGATTTATGTTAAAAATACAATAAAATTACATTTAATTAAGACAGTTTTATTTAAAAATTTAATTATGTAAATATTATATATATATGATGTACATTTAAAGCAAATTAGAAGCTTTTATAAAAATATTGATATGACGATATTTGAATTCTTTTAGTACTTGCCATTTGCTTCATATTTATTTTTGTTGCTGTATTTTGGTTGCGTATATTCTATATTATATATCCGATAAACATAACTCAATCACATCGCCTACCAATTACGGTGGAATACTTCATCGATCAGGAAAAGTATTTCTATTTGATTTTGTTACATATCAGCGTGGCGTTATGCATCGCGGGAACGGCAATGGTAGCAGTAGGATCAATGATCATTGTATATTTTCAACATACTTGTGGTATGTTTAGAATTTGCAGGTAAAAAACAAATATAGAAAATAAAAATAAAAATAAAAATAAAATGTTTCGAATTTTAAACAGCATTCTATTGTTATATTGAACATATCACTGTTTATTTGAAGGCAAAAGAAAATAATGATTAATATTTTAATTACAGTTATCGTATTAAACGCGCAGTGCACATCAATTTATTAGAAAATATTAAACAGAAGAAGGGAAACTTAATATTGAAAGGAATAATTAGTGCTGTAGATATTCATCGCCAAACTTTGACGTTAGTATTTCTATTCCATGATACACACACACACACACACACACATACACACACGTGTGTGTGTGTGTCTAATAATATTCTTTGTTCTCAATAGTTTATGCAGACTTTTGGAATCGAACTTTGAAGTAATGTTGATTTGTTTAATACTAATCGCAGTGATCTCTTTGAGTCTTAATCTCTTTCGAGTAAGTCTCGTATTATCTTTACACTCAGTATTTGCAAACAATACTTAATATCACACGGTAACATCACACGAAATAGCGGGACGCTATTGTGTATCTTGTGTATCTATGTATGTACATACAATACGAATAAGATAATTAAGAGTACATGAGATCGGATTTTAATAACGACTGAATTGCATCGAATTCCAAATAGATTCTTAGTTAATAATAACTGAAGTTGCAGTTATAAATGGAATGTGTTTTTGTTTTCCCTCTATTTTTATAAATATATATTTTATGATGCAAAATCTCGAAGTAAAATTTTTTTTAAAAGACGTCTTCGCCTCCTCTCTCGTCATCGCGCAATACATATTAACACATATATATGTATTGCGTTAATGATTTTGAAATTTGACAAAATTCAACAGATATGAGATTTGACAGCTTTGATATTATACAAGTAAATGAAGATAAAAATCTTAAAAGTTTGAAAAAGTTCATGTATGCATAATTCCCAGGGATATTCGTAATATTTGTGTGATTAATTTTAATGACCTACTTAATGGGTGAATAATAATTTCGGTTTTAAATCCTAAATAGATTTATGTTATATTATATCTTCAAAAGCGGAGTCCTCTCGTAAGGGAAGGCGGAACCCACTGTGTTCACGCATGTATTTTGCAAGACGAAGCGAAGGCGGATTAAATGTAGAGAAAACTTCGTAAAATACATGCGTGAACGCAGTGGATTCCACTCCCCCTCTCTTACAGAGGAGCTCCACTTCCGGAATATATAATGTAACCTAAACCTATTTTTGACTTACAATTGAGTTTGAGTTACATTATACAGGATATCCGATAACTTTTGACACATCCAAAGTGTGCAGGTAGAGCTGATTAAATTGAGTAAAAAATCCATTATCGATCTTCACATTAATGAGAAATTAATTAAAAAAGATCGGCCAATTCATTCCCATTCTTTTTTCTCTTTTCCTTTCTTTTTCTCTCTTTTTCTTTTTGTTATTTTGCAAAATATATATTATTTTTATCTCTGTTCAATCAAATTCATCTCAACTATGCCAATTAATAAGAACAGATTCGTGAGTAATATTTAGAGTACGTAAGAAATGCAGATGTGAATTCGTTACAATGGTAACCTTGTATTTTAGATTTTTCAGATTGCATCATCCAAAGATGATATCAAGGATATTTTATTTCCCTTTGCATTTGTAACTATCAATATCCTATACATGTTTATAGCTAATTATCTTGCGCAGGATTTAACGGATCATAATAACGATATCTTTACTACCGTGTAAGAAACATTATTTTAGAGAAGTTATTTGAATTCTCGCATGTAAAGAATTGTTTTATTAAATTTAAAAATTAATGTTGCCGCGTAAAAATATACGTATATATTATCTATACATTATTATGTAGATATAATGTTCAGTGGAATGCCGCTCCGTTACATATACAGAAAATGATACTATTTCTGTTGCAAAGAGGCTCCAAAGATTTTACTATAAGCGTTGGAGGACTATTTGTCGGATCATTGGAGTGTTTCGCTACGGTAATGATTATAAATAAATTATCATACATAAATTATCATATAAATAAATTTTAGACAACATGTTACAAATAATATTACAGATGGTCAGAGCATCGGTCTCTTATTTTACTGTTATGTACTCAACGCAATAAGAAAATATGAAGAACAAAATAATAACGAATAAATTATAATCTAGCAAAAATATAGTTAACCAAGTCTCAATATTATAATAATATTACATTTAAAAATTAAAAATAATTTATTAATCCCATTTAGTTGGTGTCTAAATTAACATAAGTTTTCCAACGATATAAGCATTTAGAGAAAATTTCTAAAGGTATAAATATATTTAATTAAAAATATTAGATAGATATGAGATAGATTTTCAATGCATTAAAAAATATAATAATATTCGATTTTAAATATAAAATATTAAGATAAATTTATTTATTAATATTATTATTTTAATATTATTTATTTATTAATATTATTATATTTATATAATTTTCAACTATTATTTTTAGTATTTATATTGTTGTTATTATTATTTTCACTATTAATATACGAATTATCACATTACTTTCGAATATGCAAAGTGCATATTGCCCAATGCGCAAAAGAAAAATTAAAATTTAAAAAATAATGTCATCTTTAATAAGAATCATATTATTTTTATTTCGATATAGGTTGATAATTGGAATGTAAAATATATGTAGAGTTATGTATGTAAAGTTAAAAAAATGATTGTTTTTAAAAGGACGTATAAAATTAGTAATTATATATGCTACTATATAAAATAACTGACTAACATTACATTGACTAACAATACATTGCATTGTTTTTAATTTTTTCTTACTTACGATTTATATAACGTCAAAATTATTCAGAAGTGCTTAATTCATTCTATGGCACAGCGCCTGTGTATCTTCAAGTTTAAGAATTTATTTGGTCAAAGTGAAGTAACACAGATGTATATAAACGTATATATATGTATAAATCAATAGTTAGAAATTGTAACCTGTCAATATTTAGCTTTTCAAATGGTATCTTTCATTACGTTATTGTTAATTAAAAGTTTTAACATATAACATGCACAGATCGATTTTTTGTTAATGGCATAAGTTCCTTACTGGAAAGGTCTCATGCTCTCAATAACGAACGATATTCGTCTGGAAGACCAAGTGTACATCACGAGTGCGGGCAATGGAATGAGACGTGAAAATTTACTGTACAAAAGAAATGTTTAATACGCATGTGCAACTTGTGCGCAAGTATTTCGCTAGATAAATATATTCACATCTTCTTTCATGGCAAATACCCGCTGCAATTTTTCTTCTATTAAATCGATTGCATAATTAAGGACTTTATTGCGATAAACTATGAATATTCTGCCTTTTCCGAGTCGTATAATTGTGTTGCCTTGTATTACACAAAATTATGTGAAATATATACTAAAATTTACGTAAAAAAATAATAAGATTACTGGTAAATTAATGGAAAAAAGAGAGAAAAAGCGAATCAGCCTGTCGATGTCTCGCAGTTATTTCTATTCTGAATATCGTAAAGAGATGATCAATCTCGAGACTCAACATTTTAAACTGAATAGAATTCTGTTACTCATTATTGGCTTATGGCCTTTACAACAATCGAATTTAACTAGACTTCAATTTATTTTCTTGTCTACTATTTTAACTTCAAATATTATGTTTCAGGTAAAGCATTATTTCACAAATATGTGTTGATACGATAAATCATCGTAAAATAATCTTTTTATAAACAGCATACGATTTGAAATCGTTTTTAATTTAGTCTGTAATAAAATTATTGCACGAACTGTATATAATGTATTATAATAGTGTATAATATATGACATCTTAATTTAATCATTTTATATTCAAATATACAAAAAGGCATCTAAAAATATAGTATTTATAATTTATTCATAACTTTGATGGAGTAATTTTTTAATATATATTTGTAATATGATTATTTTTTACAGCTTATGACATTTGTTACATTAAGATGTACTCCGGACCTCATCACAAAAGTTTTGTCTTCCACATGTTTTACTAGCACATACGCAATAAAATACAACTTATTTCATTTTAACATAGGAGCTGTAAGTTGATAGTTTATAAAATTGATAACTTATAAAAACTAATATATGGTTCACAAGTTTATAGTTTAATCGCGTGACAAGAAAAACATTCTTGTCGAATAAAGGTTACAAAAAATATTTTTCTATTAATATTTTATATTACGAATATATACATACGCGCACGTACATAGTACATATACATACGAAAACAATATACACACCTATGCTTAAATGACAGATGAAGGATTTATTCATGCAACTTCAGAATATATGTAACGGATTAAAAGATGAAAACGAAATCACTATTATGAAAAAATATAGTTGCAATGCTGAACGTTATACGATTGTACTGACAAGTAAGAGAATATTTTTTAATTTGTAATTTTCAACTGCACATACATTTTTATTTGATATATATATAAGTTACAAAAGTTCATTATAGAAGTATCAATTTAAGCGATTTTTAAGCGATGGATTATAAAAATTTCTTAACATATTTATACGTTAAATGAGTTTATGGAAACATTTTTTACATATGTAAATGTAAAGATTAATATCAAATTTAATATGATCAAAAATAGGAAAAGAATACAATAGGAAAAGAGAAGTTTTAAAGCTTTTACGATAGCTATTATTATACATAAGATTATACACACACACACACACACACACACAGAGTGTTTCATTTTAAGTGATGCAGCTAAATATCTCTTAAAATAAAAAAGATTGCCAAAAATGTTTCAGACATAAGTTGTTTGACTCGAAGGGGGACATAAGATGATGCCATTGGTTCGACTTTGAATTATTGTTTGAAGACCATCTAAAGATCACCTATTATTTTTTTTAACAAAACCCCTTATTTTATATTATTTATTCTTATAGCGTATCTCGAGAACTTTCCAAACTTTATTATAAAGTATTTTATCATTGAGTTATGAGGCTTGAAATAATTTCTTAATTTTACATAAACTATAAAATATCTAGTAAAATATTCATTTTTTGATTATCTTACTTTAATACTTTTATGTACAAAATAATGAGAGGAATCAATTGGTGTAAAAGAAACATAGTTGTTTTTACGAAGGAATATGTAATTGTTAATTACAAATTATATTTTTTCTTAGAAACAATTATGTGAACTTCAAACAATTATCCAAGGTCAAATCAATGGTATCATCTTATGTCCCCTTCGAATCAAACAGCTTCTGTTTGAAACATTTTTTCAATCTCTTTTACTTTAAGAGACATTCAGCTGCATTACTTAATATAAAACACTCTGTATATATTAAAAATTAATATATAATAAATATTATATATATTAGTAATTTATTAATATATAAGTTGTTAATTGCATTTAAAACATACACAATTAAATTGGATTATATAAATATCATGCGTATATGTAAAATAATACCTAAATCAATTTGAAAATATTTTGCGAGGAAACATAATATATGACGAATCCATATTTGAATTGTTTTAGTATTTATTATTTCTAGCATATTTGCTGTTATCGTCGGATTTATTCGATCGAGTAATTTCTATATAATATTATCCATAAATGTAACTCGATCACATCGCTTGCCGATTACGATAGAATACTTTATCGATCAAGAAAAATATTTCTATTTAATTCTGTTACATATCATCATGGCGATATGTATCGGGGCAATTGCTACGCTAGCAATAGGAACAATGCTTATTGCATATTTCCAACATACCTGTGGTATGTTTAGAATTTCTAGGTAAGAAACAAATATGGAAATAAATATGAAAGAAGTTCATTCATTATTATATTTAAGTTTTAGGCCCATCGGGCCTATTAGTAAGGAAATCTCTGTCAAATTATAAGATATCATAAAAAAAATTGAAAATTTATAGGTGTCAATGACTTAAACCTCCGCCAATCAATATTATGACCTTATCAATATTGTTACATAAGATGTTTTTACTTTGTTATTTACGTTTAATATTTATGTTAATACTATCTAAAACTATTTTTTCTTTAATGCTATCTGTAATTAATTAATACATTATTATTTGTAAAGTTATTAATATAAATAATGACTGAGGCAGAGGGGGAAAATACAAAATGGGCGAACTTCCTTCAAGTTTTATATAAAATCCTATTGTTATCTTGGATAAATCTAATGCTTATTTTATGAAAGAAAAAATACACATCTTGTTAAATATATTAATTACAGTTATCGTGTTAAACGTGCAATGCATATCAATATTTTAAAAAATATTAAATGGAAGAAGGAGAATTTAACATTAAAAGGGTTAATTAGTGCTGTAGATATGCATCGGCAAGCTATGAAGTTAGTAATTTATTCTTTATGCTATTCATACCTATATATATATATATATATATATATATATATATATCCATATATATATGGATATGTATATCCATGTATGTATATGTACATACACACACATTATTCTTTGAGTTTCATAGATTATCCTGGCTTTTGGCATCGGAAATTGAGACAATGTTATTTTGTTTAATAATGCTAGGAGTGGTCTCTTTGAGTCTTAATCTTTTTCGAGTAAGTCTCGTATTATTTTCTTATATCGATTAATTTTTAAACAATATAAAATATTAAGAGTCACAATATCTCGCGATGGAATAACGAGATATCTCAGATATTTATTGTATATACGAGAGTCGACTAATTGAGAGTACTTAAGCTTATCGGACTTCAATAACAGCTGAATTGTATTCTTAATTGATACCTCAGTCAGAGTCATAATTATAATATAACTTTTATATTCTATATTTTATAAGCAAATATATTATGATGTAAAATCTCAATATGTGAAAGTTTTTTTTTTAAGAGACGCAATGTCTCAAAACACGCGGCGCGTATATGAACGTACATATAATAAAAACATATAATAAACATATAATAAAAATGATAATCTTATTCTTTTTTACTAAATAAGTATAACTAATAAATATTCTTAAATTATAAGTTTGTTATAAAAAAATCTCATTAATAAGTGTAAATAACATTTAGAGAATGTGAGAGAAGTGATGTAATTTCGTTA